AGTCAAGTTTTCCTATGTAAACTAATAAAATTATATTTTTCATTGTAGTCTTTCAGCCAAACAAGCATATAATTTTAATTTTTCAAAAAAAATATCTTTTAAAATTTTAATGATTCAGTAATTTGAAACTTTTTATTTCTTAAAACATTTGAGTAATTTTAAGATATTTTTCTATGATATTCTTATATAAAGGGTATGTTTAGAATGAAAAATATATTTATGCCAATATATATATATATATATATATATATATATATATAAACATTTGAGTAATTTTAAGAAATTTTTCTATGATATTCTCATATAAAGGGTATGTATGTATGTATGCTTATATAGTTGTATTTACATAATTATGTTATTTGGTCAAGTTTTTCCATCCAATTTGACAAAATTATATTTTTATTATTATTAAATTATCCTTGAGTTATACAAGTATATAATTTTAATTTTTTGAATAAAAAATATTTTTAAAATTTTTAATGGTTTGGTAATTTTAAAATTTCTTATTTCTTAAAATATTTTGAGCCTTTCAAAATGTAAAATATAATTTCGTCAATTTAGATAGAAAATTGATTGAAAAACAAATTAGAAAATTAGATATTACTAGTTGGTTGCCCGCACTACGCCGCGGGTCTAGTAGAACAAAATTATTTTTAAATTTTTTAATTATAATATTATATTTAATTAATTTTTTCTAATTTTTTTAATAAATTTTTTTATTTAAGAAACATAAATCATTCTTTTTTATGGATTGATTTTAAAATTAAAAATTTTAATAATTTTAACTAAAAAATTAATCAAGAATTGAAAAAAAAACTTTAAAAATACAATTTTCACACTATTGTGTTAAAAAAAAATAAAGTTATAATAAATGGACAGAATTTTGCAAAAATTAACAAACAAAAAAATATTCTTATTTAATGTCGATAAGAAGATTAATTTGTGAAATTATCCACGCAATGCTACAATTAAATAGAACAAAATCATTTCAAAATGTTATAATTTTTTCATTAATTTTTTATTTAATTATAACTTTTTTTGGTGTGTTTTTCATAAAATTTCTTCTTAAAAAAACATGATTTATTCTTTTTTATTCAGAGATTCTTAAATAAAAACTTGTAATAATTTAAACCTAAATTATTAATTAAGAATTCAAAAAAAATATCTATAGTTTAAAATTATATTTTTTTATAAGAATGTATCAAAAAAAAAATTTACAATTAATATATAGACTTGTATAAAAACTAACCAATGAAAAATAACATTTTATTTTTATTTAATGTTGGTGAGAAGATTTTTTTCTTGATGTATATGCATTTGATCTATATATATCTATTTACAAATAATCAATAAGATTAACATAAAAACAGTAGTTAAATAATTGGTTGGTTCTTTTAAAAAATTACTTTAATTATTTTATTTTAGATAAATTGATTCTATAATGTTAAAAAAATATTTATAATAAATAATTTGTATTATGTTGGAAGATATATAATTAATTTTTAATAAAATCAATAATTCAATAATTTTTTTATACGTCTTGATCATTCCTAGTAAACGGATTTAAATTATTTGAAATTCAATTTTAAGCTTTGAGAATAAAATAATTATATATTTATATATATGTAACCATCATTTAAATATTCAAAGAATTCATGATATATATTATACCAGTTTATTTTCTAGAAAAGAGAAAACAATCATGTTTTAAAATTTTATTCTAAAATTCAAACATAGAGAAAAATAAATTATATAATATCAGCAAATAAAATTTCATATAATTGGATGAAAATTTTCATAAAAAAATGATAAATTTAAATAATAAGAGTAATTTTATAAGCTAAAGTATATGTTAATTTTAAAATATAAAAAGATATATCATATAATAGTTAGTTTATGTGGAAAAAAGTTACGATTGATTTTTTAAAATTTTAACACCTAATTAAATAAAAAAATAAATTGATTGGAAAAAAGCAAAGGAAAAATTAAATTTTCAAAGTTTTAATACCCAATTAAATAAAAAAGAGCATAAATTGATGAAAAACACCAAAGAAAAAAAGACATGTGTAGTGCATCGGTTAGAAAATTAAAAGTTTTATTATAAAATTTTAGGAACTACAATGAAATAAATTAAAAATGACAAAAAAAAATTGTTGAATGAACAGTTTTCACTGTTCAAAAACTAAAATAGATAAATAAATCAATCACACCAAATAAGTGAGGAATTACTATTCATTCACTATTCAAGTGAACAATAAACTCCTCATTTCTTTTAGTTTTTAGTAGAATAAAATATAGTGACACAATTAGAAATATAAAGACTCATTAAAGACCTTTCTTTTTCAGTCATGAGCATTTTGAAAATAATACTGATATTAGATACTATTCAAAAAACACAATAAACCTAATTAAAAAGCTTAGAAACTCATTTTATTATATAATAACATATTGAACAATTTCAGATAATACATTATTTTAATTTCAGCAGAAATCAAATAATATAGCAAATGACAATATTTTCGTACGTGGTTACAAATTTTTTTTTTGACAATTTATTAAGTATAAATTTTCTGAACTTAAAGAACATGTGTGTCAATTTTTAACACGATACCATTATCTTTCTAATGGTATCAATGGTGCAGATGAGAAAAACTTGAGATTTTTTATAGTTTTTATCGAGAGTTTGGTGGATCATTGCAAAATGAAAAACGAGTTATAAATGTTTTTAAAAATTTCTTAAATTCAGTCAATTGTTAGATCGTGATTCGATTAACATAGCAAGAAACTTAAAATCTATGTACCTCATATATTTTCTCAGTTGAATCCAGTATTTTCAATGAAAAAAAATATATGGTTTCAAAAATATATTAAAAGTAATATAGATTTGTTAATATTCATTATAGTACTGCAAACAATAAATTTATATGGTTAGTGATATAGTAAAAAACTTGCAAAAAAAAAACAAAATTAACATCAGCTACAATAATAAATTTTGGCAATTTGATATTTTCAATATTGGATAACTGAAAAAAATATATAAAATTGGAAAAATCTTGTCAGAATTGAGGATATTATTTTATGCATATCCATATAACACCTTGTGGTAATAAAAATCACAGTAAGAAGAAACAAAATTACAGTATAATAAAACCTCATTCAAAAGATCAAATGATCGAATTGAAATTCTTGTCTAAAAAAGAAAAAATATATTAGATGGGTTTTGTAATTTAGTAGTTGTATATAAAATAAATAATTATCTGTACAATAAAAGAATTCTTCCAAAATTGATTTTTCTTAAACCAAAAGACTTTTGTAGAACAATGATTGTGGCTCAAATATTATATATGTCTATAACTCACTAGGTAATTATATACTTGCCCATCGCCTAAGACTTATATATACATACAATGACAGATAAAAATACACTACAAACAAAAAAGCATACTAAATTTAGTATTAAATAAAATTGATAAGAAAAAATAAACAAATGACAGAAAGAGCCTGGTAAATACCAGTTATAATATATATATATATATATAAACAAAATACTAAATGCATAAAAGTACTAATTTATCTAATCTTGATATTGTTGATTAAAAAAAAATACTTGGATATCACATAAAGAGAATCAAAATAAATCTCTAACAATTTTAGGGAAAAAAAAACATAAATCTATAGAGAATATAATTTTTATCAACAAATTAAGCTTCTTCTTTTTTAAAAAAAATCAATAAATAAATAAATTTAACATATTTCTCTGAGTATGTATTCAAATAAATAAATAAATTTAACACAAATCAAATGATTAAAATTATACTAAATAAAATCATACATATTTCTCTACTCTTGTACATAAATAACAATAAATAAATTTAAAACTTCAGTACATATTCAAATAAATAAATCATAAATAAAACTATTACTTTGACTTTTGCATATAGGTAATTGAATTAATATCTTATGTCCTTATAAAATAGGTCAATTTTTTAACATATATTTTTTAAAAAGTCTCTAATTTATTTTTATATTTTGAAATTATTTCTAATCTATTTTTTTGGGTCAAAATTTGCAATCAATTTTTAATAATTAATCTTCATATAGATCACTTATATTAAATTACAAAAATAATTTTATCAAGTTATATACTATCTACAAATCATATGCTTAATTTGATTTAATGTCAGAAATTTTAACTAAAAAATAGAATAAAAATTAGTTCAAAATATATAAAAAATTAAAAGTATTTAAAAAAATTAAACAATTAGCCTATTATGTAATAACTGACGAGAATATTAACCTACTTAATTTTCAAGTTTCAACAGCGGCTTGTAGCGATCAGGTGATTTACTTTTCCTGTTTAATACATATACATATGCATATATATACACCAACACAATAGCCACGTTGCAGGCGATTTCTAATAGTTGCTAGAAACCGTCGGTGGATTGGCTGAGACTGTTGACCATTAGGAAAAAGACCCAAGAGTTTGGCCCATGAAAAGGCCTCCTTTAAAACTTTTAACAAATTATAGCCCAGTATTACTCTGAGTCGGCCACCGAGCCCAATGTATTAAAACAGAAGCCAATTTCAGTGGTTTCGTTGGATTCTTTTATAAGTAATTTTAGCTTTTTTTATTTAGTTTTTACACAAAGTTTAATAAACCTTAGAATATACAATAAAAAATATATTTTTATATAATTCTTAATCTAATCTAAATTGAATTGAAGAACCGAGGAAGTGGGCGAGAAAATGCACATCCTTTACTTCATGATCATCTTTTAATTTAAATCCTATTCATACTGATTTATTATTACAAAAGAAAGGAACGGAACTGAAAATATTAGAATATACTTCTTTATATATATATATATATATATATATATATAAAACAGATGGTAGCGAATTACGGTTGTTGACTGGTAGGTTTTTTCGGTGGAGATCACCTAAACTCCCACGTGCTATTTATCTAATCTTTCCCAAGCTTCGAAAACAAGCCAGCTATGGAAAAATCGAAAGGTGATCAAGACAATCATTCTCTGTTACAATTCCTAGAATCTCTCAAGAAAGCTTCAAAAGATCTACAAACCAATCCCATCTTCGTTACAAACGATCCCCAACCCACCACGGAAACTATTTTAAACCTTGAAAGAGAAGCAGACCTCATGTTATGTAGTGATCCAAATCTTTTCAAGCTTTCTCAATTATCATGCAACCTTAAAACCCTTTTAGAAAAGCTCAAAAAATACAAAGAATGTAGCCTTAAATCCTTCCTTTGCCGCCAAATCACAAAGTATGAAATTTACCAAGTTGCATGCACTATGGAAGTTGAAATTCGGACATGTATTGATAAAGAATATGTACAAAATCTTGTCGAGACACTTCGAGTGGTGGGCTTTGAGGAAGAGAAAGTAAAGGTCTTGAAAGAGTTCAAAAACCGATTGTCAAAAGGTTTTGATAGAGAGTTTCAAGAATTGGTTCTCAAAGGGAAAGTATTTTCCATTCTTGAATTGTTACTTTGTGACTCAACTTGCTCAAAGAGAGTTAGAGAACATGTAGCTCTTGCTATAGTTGCTTTGGTTAGATTCAATAGAGATGTGTTTGTAGGAATGGTTTTCATGGGCGGAATTGTCCAAGCCTTAATAACAATGGCTTCTTGTTGTTCAATGCAAGCTCTTTGTTTACTTGTTTCATTGATTAGAACTCCATTGGTTGATGAAATGGAATTGCGTGGAGAGATCCCAAAAATTGTCAGCCTTTTTTGCAGCTCTGAAGATTTGTCAATCAAAGCTGGAACAATGGATTGTATTTGTGAAATTGCTCATTTTGGTAGAATAGAAGTGATTAAAGCAATGCTAGAAAAAGGGTTGGTAGAGAAGTTGGTGGAGTTGCAAAGATCAACACATGACGAAGAAAGTGTAAAATTGGGCTTGGAAATAGATGAAATGGAAAGGGATTGGCTATTTGGAAGCTGCGTTGCAAGATTTTCTGTGCATGTTGAAGTGGGACAAGGATTGAGCCAAGTACAGAAAAAGGAGATTAAAAGGGAAATGTCGAGGAGGATCAGAGAGGCCTCTGTTTCTGAGGCAGAGGCTGCCACTATTATCGGAGAGGTATTATGGGGTTCTTCACCTTGCAATTAGATTTAGAACGGCTACTTTGATCTTATTGTCATTTTTGGTTTCAGAATAACTTCACATCCTAAAACAGGCCATTAACTGGGGCTTCTTGATTTTCAGCATGCCCTCAGCATGCCCCATATAGTTTCGATTAGTATTAATAGTTTGGCGATGATAGAAGAAGTTGGGACATTGTTTTTTTTTTTTTTTTTTTTTTTTTTTTTGCTTTTTTCATAAAGGGTCATTAGTTTTGTAGCATAGCCCTTTTAGATGTACTATTTTTTTTTTTTTTAACTTGTAATTTCATAATTCAAGTCCTAACTCATGTAAAGTACAAGAATCCTGAGTTTTTTCTTTCTTTCAAATAAATGCTTCTTTTTTTCCCTCAAAATGTGATAGTTTTAAATTTATTTATCAAATAAGGCACGTTGTGGCATGTAAGTTCCACATCAACAATTTATGTCAACTTTTTTTCTTCTAATAATATAATTATAATTTTTTCAAGATCTTTTTGTCTTTACATTTGTTTTCTTTCACAACGGCAAAATGATCTTTTACTTTATTTTCTTGCATTCGTTCGCCTGTTAAATTTGATTTTTTCTTTTAGAATCATGAACTTGATTTAAAATTTTTTCTTTCAACAATCCTTGATATTCACTAAATTTCTCACGAATAAAGAACAGTTATACAAGACTCTATCTTTAAGATTTTTTTTCTTTTTTCTTTTTTTAACAATTTTTATATTGATGAAGATTGAGATTGTTGAATATGTATAAGAAATAAAATAAAGATCATGCAAGAAAAAGAAAAAAAAATGATGACAACATTAGAAGATTATTGGATTTTTTTAGGCCAATATCTGACTTTTAACTAGCTGAAATTTGTAGTTCAAAAGAAAAAGGATTGTATGTACCCATATTTCAAAATAATATTCATTGCTTTTATATGAAACCCAAGTTTCATCTCCATGTGACTCACAATAATAATGAACTTTGTGCAAATGTTAGATCATCATGGCTAGGGATGTTCGTTCGAGTTTTCGGTTTAGTTTCGAAATATTTTAATCGATTTTTGATTAGCTAAATTTTCAAAAAAGAAAAAAAAATTGAACGAAATGTTATTTGGTATTTTGGTTAAAAAACTAAAATTTTGATTTTGGTTTTCGGTTATTTAGTTTTTACCTTTTTTTGGAAAAATCTAAAAAAATATATCATATTGAACTATTAATATTTGGTACAAAATCTCATGTTTTTGTTGATGAGTATAAACTTTTTGCCCAATTAGGTATGGTTGTATGGTTGGAGATTTGGTATTTGAACATATTTGCAAAATCAAGTTTGAAATATAAATGCCTACGTTAAAATTTCACACATTTATCCGTTGTTTCTTTGTAATTGAGATGAAATAAATTTAATTTATATAGACAATCTTGTTTGAATATTTATGTAAATGATCACAAGACTTTAATGCTACTGCATAATTACTCAAGGGGAAGGAGGAGGGGATGAATGTCCTCTCTTCAAAATATATTTATATAGTAAAAAAAATTTTTGGTTTTATGGTTTCACCAAACCCAATATTAAAAACCAAACTAAACTTGAAAGCCGAAATAATTTTGGTTCGGTTTTTATTTTTTAAAGTTCACATTGCATAATTACTCAAGAGGAAGGAGGAGGGGATGACTATTCTCTCTTCAAAATATACATGTATAGTAAAAAAAAATTAATTTGGATTTGTGGTTTTCACCATACCCAAAAATTAAAAACCAAACTGAACCCGAAAGCTGAAATAATTTTGATTCGTTTTTTATTTTTTAAATTTAAAAAAAAACCAACTCGGAATTGATATTTCGATTTGATTAGGTTCAATTTTTTGGTTAAAACTAAATAATGAATACTGATAATCATGGCATCTAAATGGAATCTAAAGTTTTGGCATATAGAAGCGGGGAAAGGGATCAAGATCTTGTCCTTTAATATCATAATATAATATGGTATACTTATTGATTAGAGAAATATATTTTTATCTTTAAAAGTTTTCTTTTCAATTATAATAAGGGTAAATATAACACTTAAAGGTTTTTTTTTTTTTTTTTCATAAACACTTAAGTCACATGACCTACATGTTTTATTTTTGAAGTTTTTAGATTTTTTTTTATATATTTCAATGTCAAATTTTTTTATTTGGTCAAAAAAATTGATCGAAAAAACAAGTTGAACTTTTCAAATATTTTCACGGACAAATTAACGAGATGCAATAAAAAACCTAAGAACGTATAGGAGATTTGAGTATTATATAAAAACATATGAATATATTTATCTTTATAATAATATAACTATTTTAATCAATTTGTAATTAGTGAAGTAAGAAAGAAATGACATGGATTAATTAAGTCTTACATGACATAAAATATCTTAGTTTGAGAAATAACTATACAAGCACATTATTTTGATTTTTTTTTTTTTAAAAAAAGCTCCTAGTAATAAAAATAAAATGGGATGCTATAAACAAGGTGTTCAAATAATTACACATATATGCGTACTTAGTGTACTTGATTGGATGTTAAAAATTAACCAATATAAGCTTCGTGGACCACCTTCCATTATCAACCATCCAATTAACAAAAATAATACTTATCAAAATAATGATCTGTACATCACACCCATCCCCATCTGTCCAAGTGGATCAATATCAGGCTCCGAGTTGAGTTCGTTGTCTCTTTGTCTCTTGATGTGATTTTTTTGGTGTTGCTATCAGATTTAGAGACATCAAGGTTTTCAGACGCTCCAGTGGAGAGAATTTTGTGCGCTGGGAGAGACCATTTTTTATATATATATTTTTGTATATATTAAATGATAGATTACCAAACTCTTTTTTTAAAAAACTTGTAATCTCATAATTCAAGAATCCTGAGCTTTTCTTTTTTTCTTTCAAACAAAGGCTTTTTTTTTTTTTTTACCCTTAAAATGTGATAGTTTTAAACTTATTTATTTATCAAAAAAGGCACATTGTGGCATGTAAGTTCCACATCAATAATTTATGTCAACTTTTTTTCTTGTAATAATATAATTATAATTTTTTCAAGATCTTTCTGTCTTTACATTTGTTTTCCTTCACAATGGTAAAATGATCTTTTACTTTATTTTCTTGCATTCGTTCACCTGTTAAATTTGATTATTATTTTTTTCTCTTAGAATCATGAACTTGATTTTAAATTTATTTTTTCAAGAATCCTTGATATTCACTAAATTTCTCATGTTAAATTAACGAACAATTATACAAGACTCTCTCGTTAAGATTTTTTTTTCTTTTTTCTTTTTAACAATTTTTATATTGATGAAGATGGGTATTGTTGAATATACATAAAAAATCAAATAAAGATCAGGCAAGAAAAAGAAAAAAAAATGATGACAACATTAGAAGATTATTGGATTTTTTAGGCAATAGCTGACTTTTAACTGGCTGAAATTTGTAATTCAAAAGAAAAAAGGATTGGATGTACCCATGTTTCAAAATAATAATCATTGCTTTTACGTGAAACCCAATTAAGTTTCCTCTCCATGTGAATCACAATAATAATGAACTCTGTGCAAAATGTTAGATCACCATAGCATCTGAATGGTATCTTTAGTTTTGGCATAGAGGGGTGGGTGGTGGTGAAGGGATCACCATCTCGTCCTTTAATATCATAATATGGTATATTTATTGATTAGAGAAATATATTGTTACCTTTTCTTTTCAATTATAACAAGGGTAAATATAATACTTAATTTTTTTTATCTATAGATTTTTGATTGCATCCCATTTATTTTTAAAATTTTTTAAAATATTAAATTTGTCATTCCGATTAAATTTTTCGATCATGATTTTTTTTAAGAAAAATGCCTTTTACTAAAAAAAATAAACACTTAAGTCACATGACCTATGTGTCCTATTTTTAAAGTTTTTAGATTTATTTTTATTTTTTTAGATTTTAATGTCAATATTTTTATTTCGTCGGAAAAATTGATTTGAAAAACGAATTGAATATTTCAAATATTTTTTATAGACAAAAGAGATGTAATAAAAAAACCTAAGAACGTAAATGTAGGACATTTGAGTATTATATATATAAAAACATACAAGTATATTTATATTTGAAATGATATAATTATTTTTATCAATTTGTAATTAGTGAAGTAAGAAAGAAATGACATAGATTAATTAAGTCTTGCATGACATAAGCCATCTTAGTTTGAGAAATAAATATACAAGTACATTATTTTGATAAAAAAAAACTCCCAGTAATTAAATAAACAAGGTGTTCAAATAATTACACATATATGCCCACTTAGCAATTGAATAATTGATTAGATGTTACAAATTAACCAACCAAATATAAGCTTTGTTGGTCAACCATATTCTAATTAACAAAAATAATACTTATCAAAAGAATGATCTATACATCACACCCATCCCATCTGTCTAAGTAAAAGACTTTACGTACACGACAAAAACCGCAGTATAAAAAAATTGATTCTGCTATTTAAAATATGCTTCTCTGGTCAGCACGCTTAATTGCATTCCTTATCATTTTATACTCAACTATTATTCCTTTTCTTTACATCTATACCTACCGTATAAGTAATTTATCTGTTCTTAAAGGATCTGCTAATTATGGGCTCGATCTACCTCCTTTAGAATATCCTACCAATTAATTTCATGGTTGTGACTTAAAATTCTTATGATCAGCTTCTATGTAATCTGACGGCCAGGTTGGCTCCTGCCAAGAGCATCTTGTTGGTCAAAGGGATTCCCATTATAGCTACCGGAGATTCAAATGATCATGTTATATTATGACAATTTATCAAAAATACCATAGATTGTTTTTTATTGGATCATAAAAATAGACTTATATTTCATGTACAAAAGCCTAGGAAGCACATATACTTTAAAAATGTCCTCTTATCCACTTTGGACGAGTATCAGACAGGAACACGTATTGAATACAATCGCATATATACGCATCAGATAGATAAGAACACTGTAAAAAAAATAAAAGAATAAATTTAAATTTGGATACGTAGAAGATATGATCAGAATACGTGACGGACACATTTAGGATAGGTGGAGGATACGACTGTGATTTTTTAGGATTAAATTTTATTTTTTAAAAATAAACTTTGTTCAAATATTCTTTTAAAATCTAAAATCATATTCATTAAAAATAATTCATTTTTATTACTCTCCCAGTAAAATTACTCTTATATTCAATGTGGAATGTGAACATATAAGGAAAAAAAGAAAGAAAAAACTATAATATTCATATCCGCACAAGCTATATTTCAAAGCACATATATATATATTGTGAAAAAAAAAAAAAACAAGGCATATAGCTGAAGATAATGGATCCCAGAGAGTCAGCACAGACCAGAATGTATCCCAGTGATGCATATGCCACTAATCGATTTTGGCAGTTGCATGCACTATGAAAATGGATGATGCATTTAAGCACGATGAAGAAAGGTGGCATTCACTATCAATAGACCTGTTTAAGAATATGCCACTCATTAGACCAGTTAACTTATTTGATTTATTAATTAAAATTTACAGCAAATTTGTTAATAAATAATCCAATCTTTTCATGAATTTTAAATCATTTAAAAATCAATTTTTCAATTTTCATTTAAATCTTTATCTAACTACTTTTCAATTCAATTGAAATTTAGTTATTTTGTGAAGTTTTTATCAATTCTAACTGTGAAACTATAAATAATTTGTACATGATTGATTTTTTTATTAATTCTAATAATAAAACTACCCATAATTTATATGAGATTGATCTTTTAACTCCCTAATAACTAAAAATAAGCTCAAATTTATAGATGCTTTGTTATTTTTTCAGTACTTTTTTTTCTTTTAAAATATTCTTTAATTACTTATTTTTTAGCGTTTAGAAAGAAAAAAACAAAATATTTATAAGTTTTGATATATTTTTAACTCGTTGAGGAATTATACTTATATGTTAGAATTGATGACAATATATAGAAATATCTAATTTAAAATGAGAAGCAATAGAAGAAAAATCCAATGCAAAATTAAAAGTTGAAAAACCCATTTTCAAATAACTTAAAAATTAAAAAAAAAATTAAATGGTTTAGCCTCAAACTTACAATATATTGTAAGTTCTGTGCTTGTCCGTATTTCATTAATCTAAAAACAATGACAAAACTCAAAATGTTATTACGGATCTATATATTATATTATACGTTGCTTTTTTTTTTTTTTTTTTTGAGAAAAAATATACATTAGTGCTATTCTTTTTAAAACAAACTCGCAAAATATCAACTATTCATGGAATGGATTCCATTGGTAGATACCAAAAATGCCATACTCGACTAACCAATATTTTGAAAACAAAATGAAACACAGATTAAAATTCAACTACACTAAATTTAATCCTGTGATTTTAAGAGTTTATTTTTCTGTAAAATTTATTAAAAAGAAATACAGAGACAACAAATGCCATCTACTTTAATTCGAGATAAAAATCACTCCGTGTCTTTCTATTATTTAGTATTATTTAATCTAAATCTTCTATTTATGTATAGTACAAAATAAATTATATACTACTTAAAATTAGAATATATCTAATAGACTAATTATATGATGACACGTTACTAATATTAAAAAAAACTAATTTATTTCAATTTGAATTATACATGGTTTTCTGGATAAAGAAATTTAATTGAAAATAATGAATAGTATAAGAATACAGAATGAATTTTGCTCTTTTAATTTGCTTACCATAACAAGTAAACTGAAAATCAATCCAGGTATAGGCTGACCTGAACTTCCCTCGTGGTTTCGATGGCCAACAAATATTTCTGTGCCGAACTTTTTCGGACAGCTATCGCGACATATTTGGAGAGAGAGAGAGAGAGAGAGGGCGATCCACGTAGGAGAGAGAAAGAGACAAGTACGGTAAATATAAATTAGCCGTGTTTGCTCCCCACGTTACCTGTGATTTACCGTCTTGGAGCGTAACAATAAAAAGTATTATTTTGCATATTTAAACTAAATTCTTTCTTAATTGAATTTTAAATAGGTCAATTACCTTCTGTTCGATTTTTTTTTAAATTCAAACCATTAATTATGATGTGAGAATAAACCTATTTACTAATTAGGTATATAAAATTATAATCTCATATTTTTCATAACAAAAATGTTTTTAGTGTCTTAAATAATCTTGTGTCGTACAATGTTTATTGCATCATAAATTAGCTTATTTTGTACAAAAAAAAAAAATCTGAAATTAAAGTCCCAACAGTTTCTTGTGTTGAAAAGGAGATATGGAGTATTAAGGCGTAAAAGATTTGTGCCAGAATACCTGACGGTTTGAAGAAAGAAAAACTACCAATTAAAAAGGATTAACAAAAATAACCACCAAAGCTTAAAAGGAAAATGTAATTAACAAATTAAACGTCCTTCTCTCTACCTTTGCTCCCTCCCTCCCTCCCTTTTTCTAGTTAAATTCTCCCTTCGTTTGCAAGAATCTCTTCCTTTGTTTTTTGTTTTGTTAGCTCACCATTATTTACACCAGCCGCCTGGTTAAGCATTGAAGCACACGCCAGCTATGCCTGAGAGATCTAACATCGCCTTTGACCTTTCATTTTTCTTGCAAAAGTTTTGTAGTCATTAATTACAGTTGATTATACATGCGTTGTCGGTGTCCAGTAAAATACTCAAATTAAGATCTGAGGGATTTTACAGATCTCTGAAATTCTTTGGCTGTGTTCTTTATCTAAGGTTTTTCTTAAAATTTGTGAAACAGTTATGGGTTGGAGATATAAAGCTGGTTTGTTCTTGATAGCTGCTGTTGTTATTATATGGGTCACCTCTGCTGAAGTTACCCAGGTAATCATAAATTCTTTGGTCACGTGTTTTTTTTTTTTTTTTTGCATTTATTAGTTTTGTTGAGAATTGAATTGCTTTGATGTTTGTTAAATTTTTGAGTCGTTAACGAGTCAGCGTTTATGCAGTTTGCCCATTTATTGAAATCAGCATTTCCTTTGGTTTTGTTATGCGTGAGATGCTTTTTTTTTTTTTTTTTGTCAAAGAAATATAGTCTTGTGCGTTAAAAATTCAAATTGAGATTGCTTAATTATAAAACTCTGTTAATTCACCCTTTTACATTTGATGGGTGGTGTGAGCTCTTTTCTGTAAAGATACTTTGGTTTACAAAGAAATGAGGTGAAAAGAAGGGAGTGCCGAATTTTTTGCCGAAATTGAAAATGACCGGGCAAAAAATTGTTGGTTTTTAGTCGAGTTGGTGATCAAAACAGTGGAAGTAATGTATATGAACATACGAGAAAACAACACAGATATGTAATAACATAAGTACAATCTCTCTATACTGTCTGGTTTCTTTGCGAGGGAACGGACTATAGGTACATGATTTTAGGAATATGTTCGGTAAATTGTTTGCTATGGAGAAGACTTGAATTTTTATTGAAAGTTAGAGAAACGTAACTTTTATGTTAAGGTTTTGGTGCATTTAATGTTTGGCCTGATGAACGATGTGTTGATATAAAAATGCATTGCCCGGCAGGATATCTTTACAGATTATAAGCAGCCATTTGCAGTGACATATCTTGGAGCTTCTCTTATGGTGGTTTACCTCCCAGTGGCATTCCTTAAAGATTGGATTTGTAATCTGCTAAAGCGACAGTCTTCTAAAAGTGGTAATGATGCAGCCAACATAAATGGGTCTTCTGATGAATTAAGCTCTCCTCTAAGTAGCAAAATCTTTGAAATGGAACTTCAGGGAATTTTGACTAAAAAAGGCAGTGAACTGGACCTTGCATCTTCAGAAGAAGGAAAGCCATTAGTTTCTAGACACAAGGATGATTTGAATGTTCTGAAACATGACAAAGAACTCACAACCAGAGAAATTGCTATGTGTGGTTTTTATATTGCCCCCATCTGGTTTGTAACAGAGGTACTGTTTCTTCAGGATTATCTTTTCCTTTATGCCTTCTGCCACTATAACAATCAATTTGATCTATGAATCTAATATTGATTGAGGGAAAATATCAACATTGCCTTATGCATGTAAAAGATGAAGATAAGGATTTTTCTATATTACTTGTCCACATATGCTTGCTAGGTTCTCTAGTCTTTTTGGCAAAAGCTTTCAGTTCATAAAATTAGCAGGAATTCAAGAAAGTTCATAGTTATTCTTTTTTGTTGTGGACAGTACCTATCAAATGCTGCACTAGCACATACGAGTGTTGCAAGTACAACAGTTTTGTCATCAACTTCCGGACTTTTTACTCTTTTCATTGGTGCGTTTTTGGGTCAAGATTCTTTAAATGCAGCAAAAGTGATAGCTGTCCTGGTGAGCATGGCTGGCGTTGCCATGACTACTTTGGGAAAAACTTGGGCTGCTGATGAGTCGCAACTAAGTTCATCTGTGTAAGTCTATTACCTCATATTTGTTGGTTATGCCGCCTTACTTTTAACTTCCCTATCTGTCAGCATAAAGCAAAATAAAGGACATTATTGATGCTGTTCAATATGCCCATATAAGTTACCTTTCTAGTAATGCACCATAACGAAGGAAAGAGTTCCAATTCAGGTTCCCAGTTCATTTTTACTAAAGTATGAATAGAAAAGTGATAGTTAAGGTTTGTTTTGTCTTCTAAGGTGAACATTGTCTGCATTGGAAATGTTATAGAGCACTTAATTAAATAGTGTACTGATACTTCTACATTCAGATGCGAATACTGTGGTTACTCTACCTGCATTAACATCTTATGCAGGATATAACTTCATCAAATTTCACATGTATTATTTGAGCAGTTATTATCTTATCAGCTTGCTCTTTGTAATTCATTTGTAAGCGTTGACAGTTGATATTTGTGTTTAGCAATGGCAAACGCTCTCTTGTTGGGGATCTTTTTGGGCTTCTCTCAGCCATGTCATACGGACTATTTACAGGTTGGGCATGGTCCCACTTGATTGCTTCTTATTTATTATTCCGTCATAGGTGGTCATTGTTTTAATTTTATTCTGCCAAATTACAGTGTTTGTTTCATTTTTCAATCTTGCTGCAGTGCTTCTTAAAAAGTTTGCTGGAGAAGAAGGAGAAAGGATTGATGTGCAAAAGTTGTTCGGATATATAGGATTGTTTACACTAGTAGCTCTCTGGTGGCTTGGTAAGATGTGTTATTTGTTCTCAGAACCATTTAGCATTTTCATTTCGCCAATCTCTTTTTCTTTTGGTTTTCTTGCCTGGATATATCAGATTATGAGAACTGACTGAATCAATGTTTTCTGTTGGTTTGTCAGTTTGGCCACTGACAGCCTTGGGAATTGAACCTAAGTTTACAATCCCTCACTCAGCTAGAGTGGATGAAATTGTTCTTGCCAATGGCTTTGTTGGAAGTGTCCTCTCTGACTACTTTTGGTACATGAAAGCAAACCTTCTTTATATTACTGCTTTATATTCATTATCCTAGCCTCTGATTCCAAAGTTGCTATGTTCCTGCTAGGGCATTGTGTGTTGTATGGACAACTCCGTTGGTGGCCACCTTGGGCATGTCCCTCACCATCCCTCTTGCTATGTTGGCTGATATGATGATTCATGGCCGTCATTATTCAGCAATTTACATTCTTGGTTCTGTTCAGGTAAGGAATGTCATGATTATAAAAATGCCTGTGAGTCAAGAAGTTTCCTTGACATCATGAAAAAGGATTAGCATCCATTATATCTGCCTCAAATTAAAGTACTGAAAGTTAGCTACTCTCTGTCATGTTCTTTTCCTTCCATTTTATGATGAAAAAGGTGCAATGTTGTTATTAGTTTAGTAACAATTTTCTGATCAGCACCCGCATTCATATAAAACCTTTTGTTTCGTGTTATGAAGTGATGATCACATTTGGATGCACAATTGAATGACTGGTTCCATTGTTTTTTAGACAGGAGCTAAAGTTTGTCATTTGTGTCTTTGCTGATTCTATGACACTGTAATCCTATCAATTTGATGTTCTTTACTCATGTGCTGCAGGTATTTGCAGGGTTCGTTATAGCTAATCTTTCGAATTGGTTCTCCAAAAAGTTAGGGTTATAGCATTTGGTGAAATCCTGGCCTAAAGCAATCCTGATTTTTTCACGGGGCTTTTTCTTCATCAGTTTGACTTGATATCAAATTCTTGATTTCATCCTCAACGTCTTGTTGTCTCTACAGAGAATTGACCGTCAAAGTATGTGTAAATGTAAGCCACAGGGTTTTATATTTTGGGATGATCAGGTCTGTTGGAGGGATTTACCCTAATTGTAATAAACATTTTTGTTCAAAGAAAAAAAAATTATGACTTTGCGAAAGTAAAGTTAAATTGAAGATTGCATCTTGAGATGGGTATGTTAAAGTCATAAGAAAAAAATAATCTAACAGAGTTTAATTCAAAATTTTATAAGAAAAAAATAAGTTTTTAAAAATCTTTTTTCATATTTTAATTGTAACTAAGTTTTTTTTTTCCCTATAACAAGCCTGATAGAGTTTAATTCAGAATTTTATAACTAAAAAATAATATTTTTTAATATTTTTTTATATTTTAAAATGGTAAAATAATTTTGAGAGAAAATTCCTTACAAAAAAAGAAAAAAATAATAATTTGGTATTCGAATGAGTCATGAGTTGACAGAAAAATTGACATTAGAATTTAATTGACAGTTTAAAAAAATTAATGGTCTTAAGTAGAAAAATTAAAATTCATATACTCTAATAAAAAAAAATAAAAATTATAATTTGATATTTTGAAAAATAATAATTACTATCAAAAAAGTATTTTGATGAAGTATTTGATTTATACCTCTTAAAAAATAATACACTAAATAAAAATAAAACTCATATATTTAATTGAAAAATAAGTTGAAAGTTGGCATGCTCATAATGCAATTCATCCGATAAACTTTAAATCAAACGGTTTGCAATTATTCTTTCACATAATTTTAGCTAATCAAAGCTTTTCTGATGCAATTATCCCATAAACTTTTAAATCTTTCACATAATTTTAGGTAATCAAAACTTTTCTTAGGTCCAATAATGGTTAATTAATTATAATTTTTTTTGTATTTTAGGTATAAAATTAATAAATATTGCAAAAATTTGTTACCCAATCAAGAATTCGTGTGAAGGAAAAAAAAAAGTGGGATCAGATGGAGCGAAAATATTTTAGAACAATTATCTAAAATAACAAAGTTTCACTCTGAATTACACAAATGCTCGCTCATCTGCACACGTTGCAGAGGCAACACAACGACTGAAACTTGTCTGAGACAAAAAAAAAAAAACAAAAAAGAGAGACAGAGAGAGAGAGAATCAACGCCGATAGGTCGCTAGACAGTCATGATCACATGACTTGATAATTGTAGTAAGGCACTAGCAAAAAGCTAAAAGCCGAAAACATAAAAGTGTGCGTGTGTAAAATATAATAAAAGACATCGATCATACCTACAGTTTCTGGCTATCTAGATTTTAGATAACGAAGTAAGTTTTAGGACAATTATCTAACATGTTGTATACTATTCATTGTGAAAAATACTTGCAGAAATTGATAATAAGTAAAAACCCCTTGATCTATTGTTATATCTAAGGATGATAATGAGCTGAGCATGAAACTGATATACTTCTTATGTGATCTAGTAAATACCTAATAAGAATGTTTAATTAGTATTGGAGTGGATAATATATATATATATATATATCCACTTATATGATTTCATGTATAGATACTCACTCTTTATTTTATTAATATTCATTAATTTATTTAAATTTTTTATTAACATATATGGATCTAATTGTATAAACTTTAAAAAATAAGGATCAAAATATTTTTTAAAAAACTTTGAGGATCAAAAGAAATTATAAATAAATGACCAAAATGCAAAAAAAAATTTATGGATCAAAAAATTTTTTAAAAAAATTATAGAAACTAAAATGAATATTTTTGATAAATTAAATTTAACAGGATATTTAATGGATATTAAATAGACTAAGTAAATTAGTATAAGATGGATATGAGTTGGATAAAAATTTATTTGATGATTTTTTAATAGGTAATTTATAAGATATTATTTTAATGACTAGGATAAAAAAATTAAATTAATAAGTCAGGTATCCGGCATTACCATTCCTAACCAGGATTGAATCTAAACGTATTTAGGTGTCATAGAATTAAAATCCACTGGCAACATATTAGAATCATGCCAGGATTGAAAAATAACATTTTTGAAGAAGAAGAAGAAAAGTAGTAGTTTTTGCATATTAGAATCAAAGCAAGCCATCATGCCAGGATTGAATCATGTTTTTAAAGAAGTTTTTGCATATTAGAAAAAACTTCTTTTTTTGGTAATTAGTGAAGGGTACTTGTTTTTCAATTGTTCTTTGATGTGTGGACTGGCCCAACTCACTTGCACTAAATTGTTGGGCCAGGTGCTTTTGTAACATGGTTCAATGCCACGGAATTCTGAGCCTAGGCCCATATTGAAGGAAAAACTTCTGCGAATAATAATAATAAAAAAAAAAAAAAAACCCAGAAACGGTCAAAGGAAGAATTGTAGTCGAATTGCATCAGCGGCAATAAATCACACGAAACTTTTTTTTTTTTTTTAAAAAAAAAGGGGTCACTGAATCTGGTTTTCATCAGCTGCTGAAGGCTTGAAGTTTTTCTGACTTCAAGCTGCTATCATGGCATCGATTGTAAGATCGAAACCGGTTATTCTCCTGCTCTTCGTACAATCATGCCTCTGTCTTCTCTCTCCGTCTCTCGCAATTTCATCTGGGTATGGTTTCTCAATTTAGTGTTTTTGACGTTAATTACTTATTTTGATGTTAATTAATATATTATTTTTTTAATTACTAGGTCTTCTCTTGATGGTTACGCCATAAATGGTAGAGTGAAGATCCCAGGTAATTTTTCGATGCAATTTACATTTTGTTAAGGTTTTTCTTATTATGTTCCTTGAACTCAATACTTGAGTCAATAATTTTAGCTTGAGAGGGTGTTTTGTTTTTTTATTTTTCTTCGTTTGTTTGGCTAAAAATTGATGGGTTTGCTGAGAAATTTTTTGGGCCGTCGCGTTTTTTGCTTGAATAAGGATCCGGGTTAGGATGCTCGGATAAGTTCTAAATCCTTTTGCTCTTTTTTTTTTTTTCTTTTTCTTTTTGAGAAATGTGTGAAATCAAGTGTAGAAAAGGATTTTCTTTTGTTTTATGAGAGCAATAATGGATAATGGATTTGATAATGGGATCTTGGCTGGAGATTCGTGTGAATTGAATGGTTCTAGTCTATTTTTGATAAATTTCATTTAATCTTAATTCAACTGTGAGAGAGTTCTTTTACCTTGGGAAAGGTGAGAAAAGTGATGCATAGCATAAGTTCATGATAGCAATTTCTTTGGAAGCAGAAGTCTGGCCTCTTTCTGTCAGGTGCATTTTGCAAAGTAAATTATATCAGTGTGATTTTGTTACTAATCTTAGTAATGCATATAACTTGAAGTTGTGACAGAGATTAGTTAGCCAGTACAAGTTCATTTTGCCTTGATGAAGATAGTATTGATAGATGGTTGATTTGTGGCTTATTTGTTACTAATAGCATTAATGATTACTTCTTACATCCATGTTTTCTTATTTGCGTACTTTTTCTTTTTTAGTTTGTCTAAGATTATTCAGAAATTTGTTTAGCAGGTATCGGTGCAAAAGGACTTGGAAGTCACGGAAAAATATCCAATGTCAAAGTTATCCTCAATGGTGGCCAACATGTTACGTTTCTGAGGCCTGATGGATATTTTTCATTGTATCCAACTGTTTTTTTCCCTTCTTCAGTGCATGGTTCTGTTCAAACTTAACTCGTGGTAGCTTTGAAACGCTTTCTTTAAATAGCATGATCCAATTCTTCATATATCCTTCTAGGTAGCCATTCTTGGGTATTTCTGCTAAGGGTTTCATAGAGTAACTATATTCACATATAAACTTTGATGCTGTAGCATAAAAGGGATGCTAATAAACACTCTCTATTAACTTCGTTCCTTGACTTGTCTACTAAAAGTCATAATGTGCCAGCGGGGACTCATTTAATTGAAGTGGCTGCTATTGGCTATTTCTTTTCTCCGGTACGTCTTTCAGTCTGTTAAGTTTGATCAGCGAATTATCATCTATTAGATTCTCATTATTGAATGTTCTTTAAATTATTTAGGTCCGAGTTGATGTTAGCGCCAGATTCCCGGGTAAGGTTCAAGCAACGCTGACGGAGAAAAGAAGGAGTCTGAGTGAACTGGTATTAGAGCCATTAAAGGAAGAGCAGTATTACGAGGTTGATCCTCCTCTTTCTATTCATCTTGATAGAATTAGTTTATGAACTACAAGCTAATCTTTTCGCTCAAATATCTTGTTTTCTTGCAGATTAGGGAACCCTTCAACATAATGTCTGTTGTCAAAAGTCCGATGGGTCTCATGATGGGATTTATGGTGTTGGTTATGTTTGTAATGCCAAAATTAATGGAAAACATGGGTAAAGTACTCTATATCTTATTTCACAATTGCATGTCTCAGTCGTGGCCTTGAGGAATTGCAGTACACTTAAATAGTTGTCTTGGCTCATAGATATAATTATTCTGAAATTCAATGTTTTGACCAGCAGAACAACATGATTTTTACTCAGCTGCTTCCAGTATCTACTAATTTGCTATAATTGATTCAAGAATGTCATGAAGACTTTTGTTGTTATTGTGGAATTTCAGGATTTAAAAGAGTCATTTATATGGCTATTCCTTTTTCACATGCATGGATTCTTTTCGTTACTGTGTTTTATATTCTTGACACTATTCGGCCATAGACATTAATTTTCTCGTACAAATTATTGAGGAAAACTTATTTTTAAGTATTTCTAGCAAGCAAAATGATATTTCGCAATCTTTAATTTGTAACCTTTCCAGGTCCAAGTATGTTTCCTTTATTTTAATTATTTCCTGCAAGCATTTGTCTCATGTCATATTCAAACACGTTGCTTCCACGTGCAAGACTCCTTGGACAAGCCTCATTTCACATGTCTGTTTCCCTTCAACCTTGCGTCAATGAGTTTGACAATTTGCTGTTTATATGATTGTTGATTTGAGCCTGGACTTCCATGACTTCTTTTTTTTCTGGAGCTTTTCGTGTTTAATACGAGCAAGTGCATGTTTGATGATAAGTGGAGCTTTTTACAACATCATGCTAGACTTGTTGACTTGACTACTGTAGATGACTTATGTTTTACACAACCAGCGGTTTTTTTTTACTTGTCTTATTAATCTGCTGTGTTTGACAATAGATCCGGAGGAGATGAAGAGAGCACAAGAAGAAATGAGAAACCAAGGGGTTCCATCCCTAGCAAGCATGTTGCCAGGAGCTGGAAGGAGCAATTAGAGATAAAGTGTGAACCTTCGATCTGAATCAGGGCTCATCCATTCCTTATTCAGAAGCTGAAAGTCGTATACTGTGATTACCATTATCGATTATTTCTTCCTTAAATTATGATTACTTCACTCCGACTAGTTGGGAGATGCTAGTTTTACTATGTGGACAACGCAGGTGGATGAATTTACGGGGAAAACACTAAATTTTGGACAACTCTGGTGGACAACCCTGTCCTGTCGTCATTACTCGTTAGTCTGTTTGCTTGATGAATAGACAAAGCCAAAGCCCTAATTCCATGTGCTTTGTCTCTCTGTTCTGACATGTTGATTCTTAAATTCGAAGCTTGTAGCAAAGAATTGAGTAAAAAATAGTTATTCCATTTGACAAAGATGATGTGAATGATCTATTTGGCTGTTCTACGTAAACAGCTTAGGGACTGCCTTCTGAAGCCACAATATGATCTGCTATTGTTGCAAAAAGATCTAGGGCCTTTTTTTTCTCTCCCTTTCTTATCTTGATAAATTCTATGAGTTGACTGGATTTGATGAAGTTAGGTGATCAACAAAAATGATTGGTAGAATGATGTTAATTTTTTAAGGAAAATAATTAGGTTCATGAGATTCACCAGGGATTTGCTCTGGAATTAATTTTGGAAAGAGTATTTGATAGAAATAGCTACTCTTGGTTGATCCATATTTCTCTTTTTCCTGGTACAAAATCGAAGCTGTAATAATGGTAACAAAGTCTCATGTATCAGAGACGAGCATAAATTCTAGATAATAGTAGAATATAAAACGCTCATATTTCATCTATCAAAGTGGAATAAAAGAAGCAATTTCTTTCACTTTCATCCATATCAGGCATTCAATTAATTTCCAATAAGTATATTAATTGCTAGATAATTCTCTGTTGCACTGTTTTCTTCTCCCGCATTCATTTGGTATTCGCTCGTCCTCTTAAAAGAGAAGGGAAAAAAAATAAATAAAAAATAAAAGAGGGTAAGGACCTCGCAAGTCTATGGATATTTATTGTTGGTATTGTAATGGATCTTATTCCATTTAGGCAAGAATAAAAGAAAAGGAAAAACTTAATACCATATACTTTCTCTTACATGCTACTTGATTATAAAAAATAGAGTGGTGTGAATAAAAATAAGAGTTTTATTCTCACTTTATAGTTATTTGATTGAAAAAATGAAATAAAAATGAAAATGAAGAGTGAAAATAGAAATAAAAATTAAACATAATTTCATTCTCATATGAGCGGTGGAAATAAAAACAAAAAACGTGAATGATATTTTTTATTTAAAATAATAATATATTATTTTTGTTTATTGTGTATCAAAAACTTTTGCCACCACCTCAATTGGTATTGGTTATAAAAAAATTTTGAAAAAAAAATTATTATTATTGTTATTCGCCACCACTCTTCAACCACCATCATTATTTTTATTATACCACCACACTATCATTATTGACAATGGTGATAAAATAATAATAATTATTATTATGTCATCACTTCTCTTCCACCATCACACTTTTATTATGCTACCGTTGTCACCATTATCTCTATTTTTCTTCCATTGTCATCTCCTATGATAATGGTAGTATTACCATCAACTTCTATTTATTATCATTTTACTTCACCATTGCTACAATTACTTCTATCATTTTTATTACTATCATAGTTGATGAAATTATTTTTTTAATTATTATTTTTATTCATATTAAAAATTAGATATTTAAAAATTTAAATTTTATTTTGATTTTTGATTACTATTTCAAATACAATATGAGAATACAAATGTCGTTTCAATTTTTTAATTTTCATTCTGATCCATGTGTTTCTATTTTGGATTTTTTATTTTTGGTATCCAAATGACACTTTAGAATTAGAATGCAAAGATATAAATCAACTTAAGTCGTTTCAATTTTAATATGATTTTCAATTAATTCACACAAGTCAGTTTAAATGGATAGAGTAAACAGTTATAATATTGAAGCACTAAAATTTTTCTTTGCCATTGTATTGCTGAATACTTACACAAAACTAGGAATCGAACAAAAAAAAAATATTATTATAATAAATTTCAAGAAGTTGCCTCAGTGATTAAAAAGATTTACTTTATTTTTAGATTTTTTGAATTCAAATTTTGAAGTTAATATTTTGAGGAATTTATTCTGTTAAATGCATCAAACCAAGATAAGGAATGCACCTTTAGAAAGAAAAAATAATAAATAAATGTGAATGTGGGAACAAATACACAAGCGGAGTACTTGGCACCCGATGATTTGGAAACGGCTCCACTTTCCAAATTCAAAGCAGAGCATCTGTTAGACTGTTACTTCATTTATTTCGTTAAACACTCCTCGGTTGTTTGAAAATCCCCAACAGCTCCAACCTCCAAATCTCTCTCAAATTTCTTCTTCATATCGAACAGTTCCTCTCCACCTGATAATATACGATCTGCATATCTACGCATACGTATAAATATAAAGTACCGCTCTCACCTTGGAAATGGAGAGCAGTATACCAATATCGACAAAATCAGAGCGAAGATGGAGATCGAAGTCGTTACAGACCTCTAAACCTTCTCTTGCTTTAGCTTTCTTCTCTTGCTTCGCTTGGCTCTACGTTGCTGGCCGGTTTGTTTCCATTATTTTATTATTTATTTCCCAATATCAGATTTATCAAAAATCACCTATATATATATATATATATATAATCGATGTAATCTGTGTGATTAGCCAATGCTCGCAGCTTCAGTTATTGAGATTTTTTTTTTGGATTTAACTGCAATTAATTATACTTGTTTTGAAGCTCAAATCGTGAAGTTAATTTAACTGTTTAATTTGTTTAATCGTGAATTTTTTAATAATTAAGCTAATTTTGAAATTTGGAAAATATTGGAAATAAATATTCATTAGGACTGTTTCGCAAAGCAAAAGCGGATATAATCTGTAATTGCGATTGGTTTAGCGATGAATGAGATCGTGGTAATTAGAGTTGTATAATTATAATTTGATGCAACTAGATTAGTTTTATTTAAGAATTGTGGATTTAATTTTAATGTGTTTTTGTTTTTTTCTTCTGTTTGGCTATGATTTAGGTTATGGCAAGATGCAGAGAACAGAACACTACTTTCTAATCTTCTAAAGAGAAACACTGCTCAGGTTCGTATATTGATCCGTTTTTTAATTTTTTAATTCGTTAGAGAAATGAAAATTGCACTAATTTCATACTTTTTTTGCATATTTGTTTGCAGAGACCGAAGTTTCTTACAGTTGAAGATAAGCTTGCTGTACTAGGATGCAAGTATGTTTTCTTTCTTCTTTATTTATTACTATTTTTTTTCAAAATTGTTTTATATATATTGTGATGTGATTTGGTGTTATTAATGGTTGATTGTTTATTTGTAGGGATTTGGAGAGGAGGATAGTGGAGGCAGAAATGGAATTGACTTTGGCTAAGAGTCAAGGGTACTTAAAAAACCAGTTGTCGGAAAATGGGTCTTCCTCGGGTAAAAAGTTGCTTGCAGTCATTGGTGTTTATACTGGATTTGGAAGTCACTTGAAGCGGAAGGTGTTTAGAGGTTCTTGGATGCCTAGAGGTTAGTTGGTAATTGATTAGATGATATGATGGCCTTGTAGTATATTCTCTTTTGGATTGGTGTTAAGGTTGCAGATTTCAATTGAATTTGTATACTGTGTTGGTTTCATTTGATTCCATGAATGTTCATCCAATAAAACAAAAAATTCTGGCATTATATGCATTTTATTCTCCTAATAAGGATTTTTTTTACTTTGAAAACTTTCCTTGACAGTTTCTTTTATGTCTAAGCATTTCATTTTTTTCCCTTGAAATCCTTTGTTTTCATTCTGGTTTTGATGTTTTTTAATTGAGGTTTATAGGAATTAAGTGGCTATTAATTCCTTTATTATCCTTGTCAAGTACATAGTTATTATCATAGATCTCTACGATCCTTGTTGACTTGACATCTTGAATTCCTTCATGGTGCAGGAAACAAAGAACAAACACAAAGCACACAAAAGAGAGTATGGATAACAATATTAGTTAAACTTTTTTATTCCATAAGACATGAAATAGGAAATATTGAAAATAGATGTTCTATACAAAATAAGACCAATCTAAGACATAGCAATCCTAGTTAGTATCCATTATAATTAGAATAAAATAAACCAAATCTCAAGTCTTCTTATTATGAGTTTCTGCTTGCATCATTGTAACCGAAGTGTTGTTGTTAGTTATGACATTGCCATGCTACATGTTATGTCTATTTCTTCTTTTGTTGGTTTCACAATGTGAATGATAGTCATGTATCCTTTACTTCTTGAAAAATAAATGACCAACATTATTGTTTCTTTTGTAGGTGATGCTTTAAAAAACTTGAGGAAAGAGGAGTAGTGATACGTTTTGTGATTGGTCGCAGGTTTTCCCTTGCACTTTAATCTTAATTGTAGTATCCGCACATCCTTTAGTATTATTTTTTCTGTTAATCAATTTGCTTGGTCTGATTCCTTTTTTCATTACCAGTATTATGGTTGAGGTAGCAACTAATGCCATGGATTTTATGATAACCTTAAACTGGCAGTGCTAATCGAGGGGATAGCTTAGATCGAAATATCGATGGTGAAAATCGTTCAACAAAGGATTTCTTGATTCTTGTAGGTGATTCAAATTCATGCTTCATAATTCATCTTTTTAAACATACACATGCACATTTTCTAGTATGATGTATTTTCATTAGTTATGATTTATGAATCTTGGCACTGACCTTTTGAAGTTTTATGCTTTCCTTGTTATATGTCCTGGATGAAAATTAAAACCTTTTCCTGTTCATAATCACTAGATATTCTTTAGAGTATCTTAAAAATGATATCCAGCATGCGTAACTCTTTATGCATAAAGCTCTCTTGCTTTCTTTAAGTCAAATTTAATTGCATGGTGTTCCACTCACTGATTACTTGGATTCCATGGGAAGGAGTTTAAGTGCACTTATCATGAATTTTGTTTCAGGAAGGTCATGAGGAGGCTCAAGAAGAATTGCCCAAGAAAGTGAAGTCCTTCTTTAGCACTGCAGTGCAAACATGGGATGCAGAATTTTATGTAAAAGTTGATGACATTATTAACCTTGATCTTGGTATAGCTTTCATGTCTTATCTGGTTATTTAAAACATACACCAAGGATATTCAAAATTTATTCATTAGAACTGCTTCTCATTGTCGTTTGCTCTGTTTTCATGTGTAGAGGGGCTAATTGAACTTCTTGAACACCGTCGCAATCAAGATAGTGCTTACATTGGCTGTATGAAGTCTGGAGAAGTTGTAACTGAAGAGTATGTGTTTTATCGTATTTTATTTCAGGCTAATTATGGTTGCCTACCTAGTTTAACATGTATGACATTGTGCAGACATTTAAATATGTGGTACTGCTTTATGGATCGATTAAATCTTTAATGAAGTTTTTGGACCTTTCTTCCCCATATATTTTGAGTGATCAAATTCATAGTACATGGCATTATTTTCCTAACTTATCATCCCTCATGTGTCAGTACTGTCATTCTGATCTGCTTGGTAGAATTAATGTGAAGTTAATTTAATATATTCCGTCAAGAGTGTTTGCTTATGCATGGAAATCATGAAATATACATACCTCCATTGTTTCATTTTCTTGTTGCATCTATAGTTACATACTGACCCAACAATCACGATGAAAGTAGGTTATTGGAATTTAGTTTGAGGATCTAACCTTTTATTGATTTTCAGGGGAAAGTCATGGTATGAGCCTGAATGGTGGAAATTTGGAGATGAAAAATCGTACGTGGCTGACTTGTGAATGACAAGTCAATAAGATGTTTGCTCTATATGTATTACTGATAAGTTTGGTTAATATCTGCTTTGTCAATTTATAGTTTGAATACTGCTTGAATGGCCACAAAATGGTTACACGTTGCTCTTATCATTTCAGGTACTTTCGACACGCATCTGGATCACTTCTTATACTGTCCAAAAATTTGGCTCGGCATATTGACATAAACAGGTTAGTTATAAACGGTATAACTGAGAAAGTTTTAGTGTGAATTCATGTTTTAATTTTGGGAGTTAGGATGAACTTGGGTTGGTCCAGGAGTTGTGAGTTAATGCAGTTTGGCTGATGATAAGAACTCTAGGATCAACATTAATAGCTCAACTACATTGGCTGATACATGTGTGAAGCTGAGGAATCAGTGGTCGGAAACCGCCTCTCTCCTCATTGTCCCATGGCCTTTGAGCTTTATGTGAAGTGCACAGAAGTAAGCAACCCAGCATGCATTTTGAAGTCAGCAAGGAAGATTTTTATATGGTAGTGATTTATAAGAACCAGAGTTCAGATAGGCATAATGGCAAGTAAGCTACTTGGTTCTTATTACAAGTCCCTGTGGTTGCATAAGAACCAGATTTCAGATAGGCTTAATGGCAAGTAGGCTGCTTGGTTCTTATTACAAGTCCCGGTGGTTGAGAAGTCCATCCTTGTGTTATTTGCGTCTGCAGAATTTTACTAATTAAGTTGTTGCAGATTTCATCACCCTTCACATGAGTTGCAAACTAATTCCAGTTCCTTATTGCATGCAGTGCATCTCTAAAGAGTTACACTCATGATGATATATCAGTAGGATCTTGGATGATGGGTGTCCAAGCAACCTATATAGATGACAACCGTCTTTGCTGCAGTAGCATTAAACAAGGTAAGCTTTCTATACGATGTCCTTTTGATAGAAGTGCACTTATTTTCAAAAGTGTTTTCCTTTTTCTCTTTTAGAGCTGTTCTTTTCTTTTCTGGGTTGATAGCTGTAGTCTCTGGATTTGATGGTAGAAAAGCATGTATAGAAAAGAGGAAAAGAGAAAACACACACACATGTAATTATTGAGTGATACTTCTTTTCTGCCAACATTCTTTATAGTGTTGGGCTCTTTTTAGTCCACTCTCTCTCTAACTCCTTTCCCTTGTGTGAATTTGAATTGAACTTTTCAATTAACTTTCCAAGCTACCTTTAATCTACCAGTGTACCTTACAACTTATACTAACCGTAAACATCTTGCTGTTCATTTGCAGACAAGGTTTGTTCCCTGGCTTGATCGGAGAGGGGGTCTTCCATTTCATCAATACAAGATCAAACTTCCTTTTAAGGTTGTGCATCAGCAAATTCAGTGAGATTTGCCTCCATCTCTCAAAGGTCATACTAAGCACCCATATTGGTCAAAACCTACAGAGCATTCATCGGATTATTCATTTTAGGTGCAGAGATTAGCCACATTCTTTTAGGATTAACACAGGGAAAATGCATGCTGCAATATTGGCGTTGCAGTTTGTGAACTCATCATTTATTTCTTTTATATCATCTAATTTTCCATCCCCTCTACAAGTCCTCTTTGTAATTAACGAGCATTTGGTGGAGTTAAACATCCTTTATTCTATACAGACGTAGGCATTGCTTGGAAGTTTGAGGTTGGCGCTAGGTTGAATTCCAAGTTTTGAACCATTTTTGTGATTAAGGATGTTTTGCCTAGTCGCAGAGCCAAAGAGGTTTGACCTAGCTATTTAACCTGAGCCAGTTCCGTAAATTAATGGAGAAGTGGATGGTGCTGCGTTCGTGTTTCCAGAATCTCATAGGGGATTGCATAGGCTGTGGGTTGCATGTTGTGGGCTGTACCAAATATGACTCATGGGCTACAGAAACCTGGCAGTGCTTGGCCTGTCAAGAGCTTGCTGGGCTAGGGAGATCAATGCTTGCGGGCTAGCTCAGCATGGCTCGTTAGTAGTCAGGTTGGGCCGGAAAAATGGTTGGCATGCGCGTATGAAGACAGTGGATGGACTCGATTCTATAATTCCCAAAGCAAACAGTGTTGTCCTCGTTACTAGATAAATTAAAGGATATTTCTTGAGCAAAAACATCACAGAACTTTAATAACGAAATCTACAAAACCTTTCTATTAACATCCCAAACCTACTAAAATAAAAAGGTTAAATAGGTTAAATTTCTTTTGAACTTCATTTAAAAATCGTCTTTGAATTTCTAATTTTAGTTTTGATTTTTTTTCTTAAAATTTGTCTGTCCTATGACTTTTAACTGTCGCTCCTAAAAAATTTAATTATTAGTATTTTGAATTTATATTTTTTACACACGTTAAGAAAAATTCAGTCTATTTTTTGGAAAAAAAATTTTCATAAATTTTCAAGGTCGTTTTTTACCTTTTTGAACATTAAAAATATAGAAAGAAAAAAAAACTCGAAGTGATATCAAATTTTTTGAAGAGTCTCAAATAAATCTTACTAAATAATTTCATCTTGAGGCTATATATGTAAATATTATTTTTGATAAAAAAAAAAAACTAAAAGATGAACTAAATTTAAGGAAAAAATAAGGTTTAAAAGAGATCAAACTCGAAATTAGGAGTTTAACTATTGATTTTTAAAGAAACTAAAATCATGAGAGATTTAATCAATTTATCTGCATAAAAGTAATTGATAGTAGACCACATAAAATTTAAGAAATTAGCATTTTTAAAGTTTTTCGTACGAATTTTTATCAAAATTGTATTGTTTTCACATATATATATATATATATATTGTTAGGTGATTCTAAAATAGATGTATAATTAAAAAAAAAAAATTGGATGTAAAGGTGATAATATCCTAATAGTTTGGTGGTATATTTGATGTTTACCTCTTTTTATTATTTTTTTTAACAAATTTAAAAGCACATCATGATGAAACGGCATAGCTTGAAACTGCTTTTTATCTTATTTTGTATCAGTAGAGTACTAATAATACAATATTGAGACCATTATGACCATAACCTTAAATCCTAACGTAGTTCTTATTTCTCAAAATTCGTGAACTCTGTCATTAGTATAAACTTGACGAAATTCTTTTTATTAAAGCCAAGGTTACCTGCCGGTTAAAGATGTCTTGTGAATCCATCATTTTCTATCAAAACATTGGCCAAAGATAAGATTTGAAAATGGCGTAAGAGAAAGCTGTTCGTGGAGTTTCTGCACAGTAAATTGAAATGTCTGTATGACAACTAAAAGATGCTGGGGAATATAAGGGAAATTAAACCTAGGAAAGAAAAGGAAAAGAAAAGAAGGTAAATTAAATTTCCTTCGACAAAAATTAAGTTTCGTTTGTTTAGATACATTAATAAAAAATAAAGGAAAATAAGCAATATATATATGTGTGTGTTATCACTAACGATGATTTAAAGTGATTTTTGAGAGGATATTTTGAGAAAAATACAGTTCTTTTATTTTCCTTGATTTCCACCCATCTGGGCCGAAATTTTATCAAACCAATAAGGAAATTTAGAGATTTTATTTCTTCTCTTTTCCCTTCCTTTCTTTTCTATTGCTAATTTTAGGATCCAAACAAAGAAAACTGACTTGATTTCCTTCCCATTCCTTAAATCAGAACATACACATGGAAGTGCTGATAATGATTTGAAATCTGTTCTAGGAATGCATTAGAATGGTATCAACTAGATCATTCTAAATTTTGCTTCACGCTACGACAACTGACTGACAGTAAGAACTCCTACGGAATGACACAAGCAGCAAATCAAACAAAACGTTGAGCTTTTCCATAAAAGATCCATTTCATGGGTGCGATATAATATAAGTAATGGGAACAGATAAAAAACAAGCTTTTGTCTTACAGGATCCGAGAAATTCCCTCTACTGTATCTAACTGCAAATTGCTTTCCCACGCAAGAAGTCAAGGAAGCAAACCTAGTATCGGAAATAGCTTTCCCCTAAAAAAGTCGCATGTGTACAAAAGGAAATGACCTTTACAAGGAGGATCGCATATAACAAAAGTTTTTCCCACGGAACAATGAACTTTCATCACTATCTCAAGCATACACAAAATGTGAAAAAGTTATCAACATCTCCAACTGCCATTGACCATGTAGCAAACAAACCTGTGAATTTTCCACTTGATCTGTTTCCAAAAAATCAAAAAACAGTGGGGTATTAAACGATTTGCAGACAAATATAGTAATGGGCAGTTACAAATAAGTCAACTTGTCGAAACGAGAGAAAGTTTAAACTAAGAGCAAGCATTTACTACGCAGGCTGCTCCGAAAGGCATTGTTGCAATCATGTGAGCGCTTGGATAGGCAAATTTTATAGCTTAAACAAGATAACATATCATGCACGTTATGAAGTCATTACATTTATTTAATAGAGGTGCTGATTCTATACTTGATAAAATTACTTTTCATCCCAAAAACCCTGAGACCAATCAAACTCATACCTAAAGACAGCTTGCCCTGGCTTTGGACATCATTGCATGGAAAGTAAACACAGGTAAAAAGCAAAAACTCTAATCTAACACATAGTAAACAATTTTGAGTAACTCAATGCAGTTTTGCTAAACTTTCGTGTCGACTCTCTTCTTACCTTAATTTAGTTTTTAGTCAAACAATGGGTGATCAGAAAATCATGCCGACTTTGTTTCATCAATTTCAACTGAAGGAGTTTCAGTAGCCAACTTTGTTTCATCAATTTCAATTGCAGGGGTTTCAGTAGCTTTTTGAACCCTAAGCCTTTTTGTCCTGAAATCAAAAGAGAGCTAACATGGTTACACATATCAGCCTTAAAAAAGGCGAACATATAATAATCAAAAGAACGAGTATATCAGTTACAAGGCTATAGCATTGCCCTTCAAGAACATGGTTAACTTTTTCTGCATGGAATACCAGTAAAAAAATACCTACATGCAGATATACAATAGCACCATTTTGCCAATAGCTCAAACATGCACCAAACATGAAGTTTTTGTGTGCTTCAATTCTTTGTCACGTGTCCAGCACCAAAGGAACAGATCAAAGTGCAATTGAGGCATTACCAAAATGAAAAGAAGCACTTTAGGCAGGTGGTAGCACAACAAATCAATCGTGACAATAACCTAATGAGAAATCTTGTTTAGTTTAATTTCAAATCAAAAGGGGCCAACAATATTTCTTTTTTTCCTTTTCTAATTCCTACATCGTAAATAAAGTCCCTAAAATTACATGTTAGAGGTGAAAATTCATTTGGCATTAGCATGTCTCAATTCATAAACTGCCTGTTCTTTCATGTGATATTAATATCAATCATCCTGGAATGCTGAAGTAATTTAAGTAATGTGCATGTGGGCATTATGTACCTGCCTAAACCAAAATCATATTTGCAGATGTAAATGATTGGCAAGTTTCCTAATGGTTATAAGTTTTCCCATCCTTGATGATTTCGCTTTCAATAATGGAAAACATGAGGACCTAAAAAGCCAACCATACAAAAAGACAGCAAAAAACCTTCTCAGTGAAAAAGATGAATTAATTAATGTAATTACCTTGAGGAAGAGATGTATTTCTCCAAGTCCTTTTTTTGTCCATCAGCATATATGAACCATTTTTCACTACGTGCAACAGAATTCCATGTACCCATATCTGTACAAGAAGAATAAATGATGATATGCAACATGTTTGCTTCATCATCTACGCAAATGAAAACAAACCAAGCATCCTAACCTTGAAGCAGAATATCCGACTGACCATTATAGGCATTTAGTTTCCAGAAAGCACGGCCATCAATGTCCAGAAGGACAGGGTCTGTTCTGACAGCATCGGATAGTCTCTCTGATCATTGCAGGTAAAGGTAAATATATATGTTTACAAATTAAACATTGCTATGCATGTACTATCAAAGAAGAACAATATATTAATACACAGGACAGATATACCCAATCCTAGCAGCAAGCATATAATACAAATTTCAAAAAATATATATTTTATCTTGGATTCTTCAGTTTCCTGTTGATGTCTTTCTTCTCAAAATTTAAAGGCATTCTTTGACAAATAACATAGTTCTTGTCTAATAGTCTTCAACCAAAATTGGTTAGGTGAATAAATGGAAAGAAACATCAAGAAATCATCCCTTGTCTTATCTTGAAAACTGAATATGTAACAACAATTTAGTATACTACCACAAACCCAAAGAATATCAAAACATTTAAACCCACTGAATATGTAACATTACTAGAAAAAATCAATGCAACCATTTTTGTGCAATCACATGAACTTGAAAAGTGGAAATATACTTACTCTTCTTTACCATGTCCATGGCCTCCACCATTTCTGCATGAGCTTGCGCGACTTCACTTCTTATTTGTGAAACCATTTCTTCATTATCAGAAACAGAAGTGGGAGCACCATGTTTCTCAATGATGGATTTGGCCACCTCGTCCGTCATTTTCTTTTTCAAAGCTTTCTCCTGTGCCGAACAAATAAGGGAAAACAACTAATTTGCAAATAAATGATGGATTCACCGATACCACTGAAAAACCATCACCATTTACAATGACTATATACCTTATCCTTTGCTGCAAGAACTTTTTCTTTGACTTGCTTCTGTCTTTCAAGAAATTTAGAGTTTTCATCCTCAATCCAACTCCTCAACTCTCTGGAAAATATATTTATAACCCATCAAAATAAGAATTTAAAATGTTTTCTTAACACATTTATGATTGTAAGAACCGAACCGAACCATTTCCATATTCTGTTTTTGTCGCTTACTTGGTATTAAGAGCTTCGTCACATAGAGAATTCAAGAGTCTAAGCTTTTCGGAGCTGTTTAACTTATCATATCCTTCATTACCCGAGCCAAAACAGTCAGAGGGAATTTCATTTGATATGAAAAGGCATTCCGAGACACATTTCCCAAGAGCTTGAAACCATGAGTTGTCATTTGTTGCACTTAGGGCTGGAGACCTGAACAAGAAATCAAAAAATTATTATTCTTCTTTCCCCACACAAAGCTAAAGCAGTTAAGAATTTGACAAGTTAAGAGATGACATACTCTTCTCCTATATCCTTTTGTAGCAAATGTACTAATTGAACATGAATCTGGGCTAGGTGATAGGATTGCGACCGACGCCCTCTGTGACCATTTATTATTTCTCCGAGTATAGCTTCAGCTTGCCCTTTCTTCAGACCAAGGACCTAATTAAGAGGGAAAGAAAAGGGGTAATCAAAAGAGTCCTGAATAATTGAGCAGGGAAAATGGAAACTAAATACAGCAATGTGGCAATAAATATCAGCCTTTTAAATAATTAAACCTAGTAGAATTGGTCAATGATACAAAAACAAAATCAAGAAATAATAGTTTGACAATAAAGAAACGGGAGATAGGATTTTATGATTGCTAAATCTACAACACAACAGAATTCACCTGGAGAAGCTAAATCACTTTATAGAAGCTGACTATAGACCAAACTTAAATAGAAGTTCATTGCAGACCATACTTAAATAGAAGTTCACTGTAAAGCAATGCTTAAATATAAGTCCAACCATCTTTAAAGCACCATTTGCAATCAAAAGAAAGGAAATTCACAATGCTTCATTGGCTACATGGTAATAATCCGATTTATTCATACCTTACCAAAACTAGCACAAAATTCCAATAATTGCAACGCATTACCAACATCTTCAGGAGGTAACTCAAAGCCTGCTACAGCCATTAAGCAGGTTCCCTGAGGCAACTGAATGTCCACATCAGTTTCTTTCTTCCAAAGTTCTGTGGTATGCCTCTCTTTGGTTGTCTTAGATTTGGTTTGAAATTCTGCAGGAAACTTGTTAACTTTGCTTGAGTCTCCATCTATCTCGATCTTGGTTTGAATTTTATTATTTCTAACACCACAAACTATTCCACCATCATACTTTGTACCAAGTAAAACTTCATTCTTGGAAACCTCTTGAGGGTGTGTCTTAAACATCTTCTTCTCCACAAAAGCAGCTTCACTCTTATCCTTCACAACATCACATTTATCCTTTTCATTGGTCTTCATTTTGTTTTTGGAAACTTCAGTAATTCCAGGCTTCTCCCAACCACTCTCCTTTGAACTAGCTTCGCCATTCCTGCTGCCACTATCAACTTCCTTTGTCCGTTTCTTTTTTGCTTTCTTCTGACCGCTCTCCTTTAACCTAGTTTCAGCGTCCCTGTTGCCATTACTGCCTTCCTCCAGTCGTTTCCTTTTTGTTTTCTTAGATTTCTTCTCAGCAGAGATGGTTGTCAAATTCTGAGAATGCAAATTCATATCAATGTTTCCATCAAAAGAATTTTCCTTCCCTGATTTCGGTGGCAAAGTGACTGTAGACTCCTGTTAAAGCATCAATTGACATATAAATATGGCGAATCAAAAATCCCATGAACGAAGCAGCCTAATAATCATAACCCAGGAACATCATAACTAAACACTTTCAAACCTTCTCTGACGATGCACTCTTCTTCGGTAAAACATCATTGTCTTTTGCATACTTGTAGTGATTCAAATTTTCAGGACCTTTGGCATGCAGCAACTCTGAGACAGAGGAAAACCCATTTTCCTTGGCTGTGTGGGCAAGTATGCCAGTGGGCTTGTGGCCTCGTTTCTTCCTGGAAACACATTATTCCATTAGTTTCAGCAAGAAGACTGGTCACATTCGATAATATCATCACTAAACTTCAAATATGATATGCTTACATGCAGAAGCTACAGTTGCAAATGCCCCTACACTTGGGACACTGCCAGTCATCCAACAATGCCACTTCTTCTGCTTTCTCTCCGTATCTAAAACACCACCAACCAACATTTATTTGAGCAAAAACTCACATGCAAAACCTCCTTAAATTGTTTGATAAAGTTTGTTGTACAAGAATTATGTCACAAACTAACCTGTTCAATAGGCATTTGTGGCAAAACTTGAGAGTACATAGTTTGTTTCCCTTCTGAATTGTACAAGCTGCCGCAAAATCCATAGTTTTTTGCCGGCACTTCGAAGATTACACACGAACAAGGACCAAAAGAAGAAAAATATCAATTAAAGAGAACAAATATAGAAAAAAGATCTACCACCACCAGTTTAAAGATAATAACAATGCTAAATCAAATTTTTATTCACTTTCATATGGAACAACAAAATTAATGCCACTGACCAAACAAGTGCTCTTAATGTCATAAAACAAAGATCCCAAATTCCACTTTCCTTTTAATTATCAACCAACAGAATCACAAGGACATACAAAGCAAAACGGAGCATAATTGTGCATATGTAGTACTGAGAGACAAATAAATAATAAAAGTAATTACGAGCCATTATTAAATAAGCCAAATACTGAAAAACGAAACTTGAGACTTAGGTTTCTTTCAATTTCATGCATGTTCTCATCAACCAAACAGAAAACCACAAATAGGATTTAATTGTCGTCTAAAATTGTATCAACAAAAAAAAAAAAAATCATATAAGTAAATTCATGGGTTCTCTTGAAATCAACCAAAAAAAAAAAAAGTTAATGACTAAAACTTGAACCCTAGGTTTCTTTCAGTTTCATGCATCTTCTCATCAACCAAACAGAAACCCCCAAAAAGGGTTTGCTTATTATCTAAAATTCTATCAACAAAGAAGTCACAAAAAGTAAAAATCATGGGTTCTCTTCCGATCAACCCAAAATAATAATACTAATAATAAGGACAGAAGCTTCAAACTTAGGTTTCTTTCGTTTTCTTGCATGTTCTCATCAGCCAAACAGGTAAAGACAAACACAAAAAGGTTCCACTTATCATCTAAAATCCAATCAAAAGAATCATCCATTACTTGATGACAAGTCTTCCAATTTTGAGAATCATAGATTCTCCCTCCAACAACACGAACTCCTGGAGACTTTGTCCGACTCTTCTTCTCTACAACTTCATTTTCTGTCAAACCGACAGGACTTGAAGTGACTGCCATAACTGCAAACCTATTCTTCGTAACACAAAACAAAACAATACAAAAACAATAAAAAACAAAACAGCTTATTAGTATTATAGACCTCTACAGAAGAATGGTTGTTTCTTGCTTTGCTTTGTGTTTGGAGAAGTGAGATTTGAATCTCTCGCTCTGACTGAGGCGGGAGAGAGAATTTGATGTGCCTTTTGGGTTTGGATTTTGGAGGGATAATGGAGCGCCAAGTTGAAACTTTTTTGAGGGTTTCTTCGTCTTTCTTCTGTTTTTTTGTTACTCTAATGACTTTTCATCTCATTTCTTATTGCAGGCCGTACCATAAAAATGAAAATGAGAGCGTTCAGTGAAACCACTACCTCCCGCCGCCTGATTTTATACTTTGAAGATCATGTTTCCTTCGAGTGTTTTTTTGTATCGAGACTAAATCTTAAGTTTTCGGTTTCATGGTTGGTATGGCATTTTAGGAAAGATAATCTCAAAAAGTAGAATAAATTCATTTAAAATCTTGCCAAATGGACAGAACGGAAAAATACCACTAGATGTGTAATTATTTAGTGATACTTATCATTTTCTTTTTTGGTTGTTTGACATGATTGACACGATTTTCGAATGACTTGCTTAATAAATAGCTATCGATACTTACTCTATAAAAAAAGATAAACATAAAAAAAATATATTTTAAAAAATTAATCTTGTATGAAAATATTTTTATCATTTTTTATGGATACAAATGTAAATTTCTTTTTACTTTTTGTATCTATCTCTTTTCTTATAGTATTCATAATCACTTCTTGAGTATTTTAAAAATTTTCAACATTCGGTAAAAGGACAACCACCTATTGCTTGTGTTTTGTATGTCAAGACTAAGTCTAAATTTTCGATCTTGCTATTATTTATGTTTGGTATGGCATTTTAGGAAGGATAGTCTTAAAAAAGCAAAGCAAATTCATCTAAAATCTTGCCAAATGGACACGAAAAAAAAAATCAATAGATCTATGGTTATTTACTTAAAGAGCATAGAGAAATAAAAAAAACAATGAATTTAGATAAAAATATTCTTATCATTTTTTATGGGTACAAATGTGAATATATTTACGTTGTTTTGTTTATTTCTCTTCATGGAGTATTTGTAGTCACTTCTTAAGTATTTCAAGCTTTTCGGCTCGTAGTACATAGCATTAAGGATATGTTCGGTGAAACCACAACCTCGTGCCTCTTTTTTTCGTGTATTGAGACTAAATCTAAGTTTTCGATCTCACTATTATTTATATTTGGTATGGCATTTTAGAAAAGATAATCTTAAATAACGAAAGCAATTCATCTAAAATTTTGCTAAAGGACTTGAGAAAAAAAAATGTCACTAGATATGAGAGAGAGATAGAAAAGACAAATTAAAAAAAAATAGCATAAATGAAAATATTTTTTCATCACTTTTGATGGTTCATATGTGAGCTTTTCTATATTTTTTTATGTCAATCTCTCTCCCCAAAGTATATAACATTAATAGAAAATGTTCGATGAAAACATAACCTCATGCCATTTGTTTTCGTGTATGTCAAGACTAAGTCTAAATTTTCGATCTCACTATTATTTATGTTTGATATGGCATTTTAGGAAGGATAATCTTAAAAAAGCATAGCAAATTCATCTAAAATCTTGCTAAATTGACACACACAAAAAATATCAATAGATATATGGTTATTTACTTAAAGAGCATAGAGAAATATAAAAAAAAAACAATGAATTTAGATGAAAATATTCTTATCATTTTTTATGGGTACAAATGTAAATATCTTTCTGTTGTTTTGTTTATTTCTCTTCATGGAGAATTGGTAGTCACTTCTTAAGTATTTCAAGCTTTTCGGCTCGTAGTACATAGCATTAAGGATATGTTCGGTGAAACCACAACTTCATACCTCTTGTTTTCGTGTATTGAGACTAAATCTAAGTTTTCGATCTCACTATTATTTATATTTGGTATGGCATTTGAGAAAAGATAATCTTAAAGAATGAGAGCAATTCATCTAAAACTTTGCTAAAGGACTTAAGAAAAAAAAATGTCACTAGATCTAAGAGAGATAGAAGAGACAAATTAAAAAAAAAATTAGCATAAATGAAAATATTTTTTATCACTTTTGATGGTTCATATGTGAGTTTTCTATATTTTTTTGTGTCAATCTCTCTCCCCGAGTATATCACATTAATAGAAAATGTTCGATGAAAACATAACCTCATGCCATTTGTTTTCGTGTATGTCAAGACTAAGTCTAAATTTTCGATCTCGCTATTATTTATGTTTGGTATGGCATTTTAGGAAGGATAATCTTGAAAAAGCATAGCAAATTCATCTAAAATCTTGCCAAATGGACACGAAAAAAATATATCAATAGATCTATGGTTATTTACTTAAAGAGCATAGAGAAATAAAAAATAATAATAAATTTAGATGAAAATATTCTTATCATTTTTTTATGAGTACAAATGTGAATATCTTTCTCGTTGTTTTATTTATTTCTCTTCATGGAGTATTGGTAGTCACTTCTTGAGTATTTCAAGCTTTTCGGCATATAGTACATAGCATTAAGGATATGTTTGGTGAAACCACAACCTCATGCCTCTTTTTTTCGTGTATTGAGACTAAATCTAAGTTTTCGATCTCACTATTGTTTATATTTGGTATGGCATTTTAGAAAATATAATCTTAAAGAATGAAAGCAATTCATCTAAAATTTTGCTAAAGGACTTAAGAAAAAAAAATGTCACTAGATATGAGAGAGAGAGAGAGAGAGAGTAGAAGAGACAAATTAAAAAAAAAATTAGCATAAATGAAAATATTTTTTTATCACTTTTGATGGTTCATATGTGAGCTTTTCTATATTTTTTTATGTCAATCTCTCTCCCCAAAGTATACAACGTTAATAGAAAATGTTCGATGAAAACATAACCTCGTGCCATTTGTTTTCGTGTATGTCAAGACTAAGTCTAAATTTTCGATCTCACTATTATTTATGTTTGATATGGCATTTTAGGAAGGATAATCTTAAAAAAGCATAGCAAATTCATCTAAAATCTTGCTAAATGGACACAAAAAAAATATATATATCAATAGATCTATGGTTATTTACTTAAAGAGCGTAGAGAAATAAAAAAAAACAATGAATTTAGATGAAAATATTCTTATCATTTTTTATGGGTACAAATGTGAATATCTTTCTCGTTGTTTTGTTTATTTCTCTTCGTGGAGAATTGGTAGTCACTTCTTGAGTATTTCAAGCTTTTCGGCTCGTAGTACATAGCATTAAGGATATGTTCGGTGAAACCACAACCTCATACCTCTTGTTTTCGTGTATTGAGACTAAATCTAAGTTTTCGATCTCACTATTATTTATATTTGGTATGGCATTTTAGAAAAGATAATCTTAAAGAACGAGAGCAATTCATCTAAAACTTTGCTAAAGGACTTAAGGAAAAAAAAATGTCACTAGATCCGAGAGAGATAGAAGAGACAAATTAAAAAAAAAATTAGCATAAATGAAAATATTTTTTATCACTTTTGATGGTTCATATGTGAGTTTTCTATATTTTTTTGTGTCAATCTCTCTCCTCGCAGTATATCACATTAATAGAAAATGTTCGATGAAAACATAACCTCATGCCATTTGTTTTCGTGTATGTCAAGACTACGTCTAAATTTTCGATCTCGCTATTATTTATGTTTGGTATGGCAATTTAGGAAGGATAATCTTAAAAAACATAGCAAATTCATCTAAAATCTTGCCAAATGGACACGAAAAAAAATATCAATAGATCTATGGTTATTTACTTAAAGAGCATAGAGAAATTAAAAAAATAATAATGAATTTAGATGAAAATATTCTTATCATTTTTTTATGAGTACAAATGTGAATATCTTTCTCGTTGTTTTGTTTATTTCTCTTCATGGAGTATTGGTAGTCACTTCTTGAGTATTTCAAGCTTTTCGGAATATAGTACATAGCATTAAGGATATGTTTGGTGAAACCACAACCTCATGCCTCTTGTTTTCGTGTATTGAGACTAAATCTAAGTTTTCGATCTCATTATTATTTATATTTGGTATGGCATTTTAGAAAATATAATCTTAAAGAATGAGAGCAATTCATCTAAAATTTTGCTAAAGGACTTGAGAAAAAAAAATGTCACTAGATCCGAGAGAGAGAGAGAGATATATATATAAGAGACAAATTAAAAAAAATAGCATAAATGAAAATATTTTTTATCACTTTTGATGGTTCGTATGTGAGTTTTTCTATATTTTTTTATGTCAATATCTCTCTCCAAAGTATATAACATTAATAGAAAATGTTCGATGAAAACATAACCTCATGCCATTTGTTTTCGTGTATGTCAAGACTAAGTCTAAATTTTCGATCTCACTATTATTTATGTTTGTTATGGCATTTTAGGAAGGATAAACTTAAAAAAGCATAGCAAATTCATCTAAAATCTTGCCAAATGGACACGAAAAAAAAATATCAATAGATCTATGGTTATTTACTTAAAGAGCATAGAGAAATAATAAAAAAAAAACAATGAATTTAGATGAAAATATTCTTATCATTTTTTACGGGTACAAATGTGAATATCTTTCTGTTGTTTTGTTTATTTCTCTTCATGGAGAATTGGTAGTCACTTCTTGAGTATTTCAAGCTTTTCGGCTCATAGTACATAGCATTAAGGATATGTTTGGTGAAACCACAACCTCATGCCTCTTGTTTTCGTGTATTGAGACTAAATCTAAGTTTTCGATCTCACTATTATTTATATTTGGTATGGCATTTTAGAAAAGATAATCTTAAAGAATGAGAGCAATTCATCTAAAACTTTGCTAAAGGACTTGAGAAAAAAAAATGTCACTAGATATGAGAGAGAGAGAGAGAGATAGAAGAGACAAATTAAAAAAAAAATAAGCATAAATGAAAATATTTTTTATCACTTTTGATGGTTCGTATGTGAGTTTTTCTATATTTTTTTTATGTCAATATCTCTCTCCGAGTATATAACATTAATAGAAAATGTTCGATGAAAACATAACCTCATGCCATTTGTTTTCGTGTATGTCAAGACTAAGTCTAAATTTTCGATCTCGCTATTATTTATGTTTGGTATGGCATTTTAGGAAGGATAATCTTAAAAAAGCATAGCAAATTCATCTAAAATCTTGCCAAATGGACACGAAAAAAAAAATATCAATAGATCTATGGTTATTTGGCAAGATTTTGGAATAGCTAACTCATCGTAGTATATAGCATGAGGACGTGTTTGGCACAATAGATTGAAAATTACCTTTATATTCATTTAGATAGATTGTTTCACTTTCTCGATGGAGATTAATTTTTTAAAGGATTAATGATTAACTCGAAATTGGTACTTGTGAGAGGTTAATTTTAGGAAGATGAGTTACAAGTAAACTTGTCAACTAAAATTCCACATAAAACGGTGGGTCAACTTGCAAATGGTAAAACATAGATTTTGTAGATTTTAAATGATTAGTCTGATGCGACAAAAAAATTATTTTTCCTCACTTTCTTTTTGCATCAAAATACACATTTAAATAATTTTTTTACTTTTCTTTCTCCTAATTGTTACTAATATTTTAATTATTTTCTATCTATTTTTATTAATAATTTTCCTTCAACCTATTAACACATCAAACATCATTAAGAACTAATTTTTACACTCTTGAAAGTTAATCTTGTAATAATTGCTCGTGTTAAAATTCATCTCTATTTTTTAACCTCATACCAATTCGGCTTAAGATTAATTATTTGTTTATTTATTTACTTTTGTGAATGAAGACTAAATCAAATTTTTTTATGAATCAAAACTAAACCTAGCTTCTGGACTAATTGAAAATCTTGGTATGGCATTTTAGAAAGGATAGTGTTAAAAAAAAGTTGATAAACTCGTTGAAAATCTTGCCGAATATACCTTGAAAAAAGATCACTGGTTTTGTGATTCCTTATATACTTGCCTTGACACTAATTCGTCAAGATTTTCGGCAAGCTTACTTGCCCCATCTGGCACTATGATTCCGAGAATGTGCCCAGCCTCTTTCTTAACGCAAGTCCCAAATTACAAGCCCGTGCTTGCTCTTCTTGTATGTCAAATTGGTTTATTATTTGCAAATCTAAGAAAAGATAAGTGTTAAAAATGACCCAAAAAAAAAAATCCAATAAAATTATTGCCTCTAAATTGATACTTTTGAAGCGTTAAAAGTTTAACTTTCGAGCAAGGAAGTTGAAATTTAACCTAGCAGCATACTTTATTATCGATTTTTATTTTCTTATTTCGCTATTGCATCAAAATACACCGATTTTTTTTATTTCTTTTTTCCTAATTATCGTTAATATTTAATTATTTTATCTCTCTTTCCATTAACAATTATCCTTCAGCTTATTAACAAACCAAACATCCTTAAAACCTAACGTTACAACCTTAAAAATTACTCTTGTAAGAATTCATTTCTTATTTTTAATCCGGTACCAAACACCTCTTGATACTAAATCATAAGTTTTTGTTAAATGTTAATTAACACTAAATTTAATTTTTTTGTTGGTCAACTGCATATTTGGTATAGTATTTTAGGGAGGACAAAGTTAAAACAATCTAGTAAATTCTTCAAAAATCTTGCCGAATATATATATATATATATATAACACCACCAGTTGATATACATATATTGCCTTCATATCCTTCAGAGGCAGGATGGCAAAATTTCGGGTGAGGTTGGGCGTTAATTCCTCAATATAAATATATATGTGTGTATGAGATGTAAAAATTGATTCGAGAATATCTTATTACTTATATATGTATAAAAAATAAAAATGAAAAGGAGTTTGTAGAGGAATTGCTTCCATAAACCTCCACTGCAATTTTTATCCTTAATTAAATGATTTTCTTAGATCTTGTACTAGAAAACAAATAATTATCTTAATTTTAACATATAAATAGATATCTTAATTGGTATTCAATGAACATGATTAGCAACAAATTTTCTAACATGTCTTAATGCACTTCTCAGAACCTTGCAAATTAATTATAGGTTCATTGGATCTCTTAAATTACAAAACCTTTAGGGCTCAATTGAAGGAGTAAATAGATCTACCTTTTCTTTCTCGAGAAAGATAGATTTGATTCCATCAACAAAAAGTCTATCTTTCTTTCTCGAGAAAGATAGATTTGATTCCATCAATAAAAATTAAATCGATGGATATGATTTCTTACATCTTATACTGTAAAACCATACAATTTATGAAGGATTCTCTCAAAATAATAATAATAAAAAATAAAAAATAAACCACCCTTTGATGCTACAATGAGGATAGTCCAAGTGCACATTTTATTAATATAAAATAAAAACGAAATCTAAGCACTGTGCCAATCGAACAAACACCCGAAATCAAAGGTTGCAGTGAAAAAAATATCTCGCATCCGAATTTTTGACATGTATTGTGGTAGTAATTCCACTTTTGTATTCTTTGATCTGACCCTCTCGATATTGTAAAGGATAGGAATCTATTTTTATATAATATCTAAAAACTCATACCTATTTTTTAAGTTTTTAATTACATCTCATTTGTTCTTTAAATTTTTTGAGATATTCAATATATTCTTTCAATTAATTTTTTTAACAAAAATACCTTTTGTTAAAATGAAAAAAAAATCCTTAAAGTCACATGACTTGCCTGTTATATTTTTAAAATTTCTAGATTTTTTTTTTTTACATTTCAGTCAAAAACATTTCTTATGGTTTGAAAAATTGATAAAAATAAAGGATTGAATATTTTTAAAAAATAATTAGGGACAAATAAAATGTAATTAGAAACATAAAAATATAAGAAAAACTTTAGGTATTATATAAGAATAGATAATCTATCCTAAAAGATGTACATGATGATATAACACAATTATGACCTGATCAAATGTTCTTTTTTAAAAAAAAAAAATTCTTAGCTTTGGTTTTCAATACCAGAAAAAAAAAAAAAGACCGACAAGTATGCCAGACAATATAAGAAAAAAAACTAATAAAATAAAATAAATCCACAATGCATGGGTCTCATGAATTTCTAAAAACGAAAAAGAAAAAAAAACTAAATAACTGAAAAATGACAGGTTAGAAACGATGAAAAATGATGAGTGGGCAGCTACGAAAAAACCCTCAATCAGTAGTCTCGTACTTAGAAAAACTATAGAAAAAAGAACTTGTCCATGAAGAAAAAAGCAAATGGATATGTTTAGGGTTCATTAATAAGTTAAATAGATCAATTTTATGTTATCATTTGATATTTGAATTTAACAAAAGACTGCAAAAAATCAACTTATCAGAGATATATCTCAATTCACGAATAAACTACTCAATATATGATTTCAAAGGAATTTACTCTCGATATAAGAGATATACGTAATGTTTTTTCTCATGTTTTTTTTTATGAAATCGTAAATAGTTATTTAAATTAAATTTCATATAAACGTGAAAGTAGGGAGCAATGTGTTGAGAAATTCTCATAATTATTAGTGAAGTATAGTCAAAATCCAAAAAAAAAAAAACAATACTTAGTTATTTAAAAAAAAACTTTCCTAGAATTGAAATTCAAAATTTCAACGGATCCAATTCCTAACAAGTAAGGACGGGACAATCTCTTGGTAGAGGCAAACCTGGTAAAATCTCCAATCTTTAGAGGAAATCTTGATTAGGTCCCAAAATTAATTTCTGTCTTGATCGAGTTCCCAACATATCAATGAATTCTTAATCGGATCATTGCTTCAATTTTTATTGAAAAAACTTTAAGTAATCACGCAAACTCGTGTTATATATATATATATATATATATATATATATATATATATATATATATATATAAAGCCATCGTATACCATAAGATTTGTTCTCTAGATAACATGAAAGATCAAACAAGGAAACATAAAGTCATTTCATTTGTTTATATAGTCCGTTCTATCGTGAAGGGATTTTAATAAATTGTGCAAGGTTCTTAAAATAAGTCAGACAGTTAGCATATCCTTAAAAATAAAAAGTCAATATGATTTATAAAAGTAATAATCAACCAACCAACTATAATGAACCTAAGTGTAAAAAACACGAGAGAAAAATAGACAAGTGCTAACAAGACGTAAATTAATTGACAAATAAATGAGTGGTCAAAATAAAAAAATAGAGAGTTTTAGGTATTGTCTAATACGTGAGTAAGAGACTTTTGGAAGAAAGAGAGAGAGAGATTTAGGTTTAGCTCAATATCACAAAATTGAAATCCCCTTAAAAATAATGCGAGGTTGACATTGATAGAGTAAGAAAGATGTCTCCTACTTACAAAGTTGACACCACATCAACCATATTTAGACAATTAAATTTGAAAGGTTTTTTTGAACTAAATTATGTCAACTTGCTAGCAAAAATTAAATGAAGTAATTGGACTTTTTTCTAGTATATTCTATTTCGAATCCACCAAGAGAATCTTCTTAATGCATTAAAAACAAAACATTAACGCTAGCCATGCAAGAACACTTGCATCTATCCTTATATGGTCCAAAGCTTTGTATGAGGCAAAATCCATCATCAATCTAATTTATTGATCGTGTAACTTGAATCCATACAAAAAAAAAAAAAAAATTAAAATCATGAACTAGGACATAATTAATTAAAAATTTATTATGGATAAATCGAGCATATACATAAATTGATGGGTTAAGCCGTCAATTTATGTATATGCTCGATTAGTCCATAAGAAATATATTAGGTATCTAATCAAGATTACCCTACAGAGTTGGTGACTTTTTGAGGTTAGCCCAAGATTTAATACATAAGCTAAAGGAGATGACTTATTGAATATAGAGAAACATAAACCAACAAATGGGCACTCTTTACAAATACTACAAACCCCTCACTTCATCATGCTTCTCTTCGCCACCAACAAAATCCTTCCTTCTTTATTCAATTAGAATAAAAAACCTATATTTATCCTTCAAGAAAACATGATTACATGGTTTCTTCACCTCTATAACATCATCATCACAACCCTCGACCAAAATCAACAGTAGTGATGCCTTTCTCTGCAAGTCCATCATCAAAATTTTTGTTATACAACACAATGGGTATAAAAAAAAGGTTATTTAAGCCAATAGTTGAGGGTAAAGTTGGAATGTATATCTATGATGTTACTTGTTTATGATTTGAGCAATATTGGTTATGCTCGTGTTTATGCTACCTTCAATGTCTTATTCAAGTTTGCTTAGTTTTCTTTTTTCCTCTTGTTAAGCTATAAGAATCCATGTTTCAATGGTTATCGACAAGGGTTTTTTTGGTGGTTGGTAATTAGTTAGGTATTTTAAGCATTTGGGGTATGATGTTGGTTATGTTTGAAATTTTACTATTGTTGATGACAAGGTTAGTTGGTCTTAAGGTTGTTATTAGATTTGTTTATTTGAATTGCATTCAAATGAGTATTGATGGGTCACTCTTTATTGTGTGTGAACAAGTTTAGTAGGTTTTCGTGCTTACATTGTGTAATTTTGATGTGGACGAGGTATATTGGCCCCGTGTTTGAATGCGCTACGATGACAAGTTCCTTTATTGAAAACGTCATTTTGAGGATTTTTTTTTATTAATAAACATGGTTTGGTGAATAGGTGATTTGAGGTTATTTATGATGCAAGAGTTATTATGTAATAATTGGTCAAGTGAATGAATTATGAGAGGATCTAATCACTTTAAGTAGATGGTATTGTGAAAATTTCCTTCGTGATATGGTGTATCTTCATTTCCTTCCCTTTCTTGTTGAAAGCATGTGTCGGATCACATGCCCCATGTTATTCATATGATTTGGCAAGAAATTTGTTGACCCTGATTGAATTTGAATCTTTGTCTTCCTTTATGATTCATAAATACATGCCCCATATTTCTTTTATACTTCAAATAGTGATTTCTTGCCATGCCATCGTTACAAATTCTTGATAATGAGTATGCGTATAGAATTGATGGGGATGTTTACTTTTTTATTGAAAAATTACAAAATATAGGCATCCATTTCTTGAGTATTTTAAATCTTTTCGACTCGTAGTATATAACATTAAGGATATGTTTGGTGAAAGCATAATTTCTATCGCTTGGTTTCATGCAAGACTAAATTCAAGTTTTTGGTTTCACTATCATTTATCTTTGGTATCGCATTTTAGGAAGGATAATCTAAAAAAACAAAAACATAGCAAATTCATCTAAGTAAAATTTATGCTTCGAGTCATTCAAAACTCTAGCCAAACAACCAAGAGGGTTAAGTTTTGTAAATAATCATAAACCTAGTGGCATTTTTCTCCGAGTGTCTATCAATACTTACTCTAAAAGAGAGATTGACAACAACAAGAAGCGAGATTTTGATTTTTAAAAAAAAACTAAGCACATTTTTATTGTTTTTGGTGGATATAGATATAAATTTCTTTCTACTCTTTCGTCTATCTTTCTCCTTAAAGTATTGGTAGTCACTTCTTAAGTATTTTAAATTTTTTTAACTCATAGTATATAGCATTAATGATATGTTTAGTGAAAGCACAACCTCCTACTTGCTTTTGTGTATCAAAACTAAATCTAAGTTTTCGGTTTCACTATTAGTTATCTTTGGTGTAACATTTTAGGAAGGATAATCTTAATGAAGTAGCGCAAATTCATCTAAAATCTTGTCAAATGGATACGAGGGAAAAATGCCACTAGATCCATGATTATTTACAATACTTATCCCTCTTAGTTGTTTGGGAAGATTTTTGAATGACTCGTAGGAGAAATTTGATGGCATTTAATGAGTAACTACTTATATCTATTCTATAGGAGAGAGATGAACACAAAGATGAGATATTTTTATCACTTTTGGTAGGTATAAATATGAATTTCTCTCTATTGTTTGTGATTGATCTCTCTCCTCGAAATGTTCGTCATCACTCCTTGAGTATTTTAAAATTTGTGGACTTGTAATATATAGCATCAAGGGCATGTTCGGTGAAAGCATAACCTATGTCATTTGTTTTCGTGCAAGACTAAATCTAAGTTTTTGGTTTCACTTTTATTTATCTTCGGTAGGGAATTTTGGAAAGAATAATCTTAAGAAAGCATAGCAATATCATGTAAAATATTGTCAAATGGACACAAAGGAAAATGCCATCGGATTTATGATTATTTATAATACTTATCCCTCTTAGTTGTTTGGCAAGATTTTCGATGAGTTAACTTGTAGGATAATTTTATGGTACTTAAAAAGTAATCATCAATGCTTACTTCGTAAGAAAGAGATAGACAACTAAAAAGAGAGAAGTAGAATTATAAAAAAAATGAGGCTAGGTGAAATTATTCTTATCACTTTTGGTGAATCCAAATGTAATTTTTTTTCTCTATCCCCTTCCTCAAAGTTTTGATAATTACTTCTTGAACATTTTAAAATTTCTCAACTTGTATATAGCATTGAGAATGTGTTTGTTAAAAGCACAACCTTCAACCGCTTGTTTCTATACTTCGAAGATCATGTATTCTCTCGGTTGTCTTTGTGTCGCAATACTAAATGTAGGTTTTTAGTTTTATTATTATTTATGTTTGGTATGGCCATACATGAAGGATAATCTCAAAGAGGTAGAGCAAATTCATTGAAAACCTTGCAAAATGGACGTAAGGAAAAAATGTCACTAAATTTATGATTATTTACAATACTTATCCTTCTTGGTTGTTTGGCAAGATTCTCGATGAGCTGATTCGTAGTGTCTAACATTAAAGACATGTACGGTGAAAGCACAATCTCTTGCTGCTTGTTTTTTACTTCGAAAATCATGTATTCTTCGAATGTTTTGTGTATTCATATTAAATCTAAGTTTCCAGTTCAAGAAGGATAATCTAAAAGAGAGGGAGCAAATTCATCGAAGATCTTACCAAATTGATACAAAGAAAATATGCCATAAGATCTATAATTATTTACAACACTTGTCATTATTGGTTGTTTGGCAAGATTTTTGATGAGCTAACTACGGCTAACTCGTAGTAAATAGCATAAGAATATGTTCGGTACAAGTACAATAGATTGAAAATTACTTTTATACTGATTAAGCTAGATTGTTTCACTTTCTAGATGGAGATTAATTTTTATAGGGTTAATAATTAACTCCAAATTGTTGCTCACCAAGGATTAAAGTTTAGGAAAATAAGTTGCAACTAAACTTTTCAACTAAATTTACATATAAAACGAAGGGTCCACTTGCAAATGGTAACATACAGATTTCGTAGATTTTAAATGATTAGTCTTTGGTGAAAAAAATAATCACCGCATGCGAGAATTTGTATAATTTTTTTTTTATACAGCATTGCTTTAAATTTTATTTTTCTGACTTCCTTTTTCATCAGAATACACGTTTAAATAATTTTTTATTTTTCTCTGTCCTAATTGTTACTAATATTTTAATTATTTTCTCTCTATTTCTATTAATATTTTTTCTTCAATCTATTAACACACCAAACATCATTAAAAACTAAGTTTTACATCCTTAAAAAATTATCTTGTAATGATTAGTTATGTTAGAATTCATCTTAGTTTTTTAACCTAATACCAACACCACCTAAGATCGAAAGTGTGTGTGTGTGTGTGTTTTTTTTTTTTGTGAATCAAGGCTAAATTAAAAGTTCTTATGAATCAAAACTAGTTTTGCGATTCCTTATACACCTGCCATGACACTTATTCGTCAAGATTTTTGGTAAGTTTACTTGCTTTGTTTAGCATTATCATTCCGAGAATGTGCTCAGCCTCCTTTTTCTAGCAAGTCACCAATTACAAATCCGTAATTACAATAAAATTATTGCCTCCAAATTGATACTTTTGAAGGGTTAAAAGTTAACTTTCCAGCAAGGAAGTTGGAATTTAACCTAGCAGCATACTTTACTGTTGATTTTCTTTTCTTATTTTCTTCTTGCATCAAAATAGACTAATATTTTTTTATTTCCTTTTCCCTAATTATTATTATTATTTAATTATTTTAATTGGTATTCAACCAACATGATTAGCAACAAATTTTCTAACATTCTTTAAAACACTTGTCAGAATCTTGCAAATGGGTTCATTAGATCTTAAATCACAAACCCTTTATAGCTCAATTGAAGTAGTAAATAGATCTATCCTTTTTTCCTTTTTCTTGATAAAGATAGAGTTTATTCCATCAATAAAAAATTAAATCGTTATGGGTATGATTTTGTCTGAAAAAAAAAAAACAATCAAACCAGCCTTTGATGCTACAACAAGGATAGTCCAAATGCACATTTGATTAATATATAATAATAATAATAATAATAATAAAATCCAAGCCCTATGCTAATCTAACAAACACCTCAAATCAAACCTTAACAAATTCAAATATCATTTATTAATAAAATCTACAATCGAGATTTTCTTATTCAATGGATCAGGTTCCTAATAAGTTAGTACGGGACAATCTCTTGGTAAGGTTAGTTTTATAGGCCCAATGGATAGAGGAAGCAATAGAAGAACTAGAAGGCCGGCCCACAAAAGAGATGGGAAAATTAACCTGTAAATCCACTGTGTAACTCCTTGAGGTTTGGAAATTAGTCAAATCAACCCTTGTACTTTAATTTTAGGCACAATAACCTTCACACTTTCCATTTTTAGTCACATATGGTCGCCTGCACCACGCACGTCCATTAGATGTCTGCCCCATGCATTAATCTAAGTGGATGGAGAGACCACAATTGACTACAAATCAAAAGTGTGAGGGCTGATATGCTCAAAATTAAAGTATAAGTTATATTTTAAATATATAGACTCAAGAAGTCATGCAATGAATTTACCCGAAAATTAACACGAGATTTTAGGGCAAACCTTGTAAAAGTCCCCACCTTTAGAGAAAATTTTGATTAGGTCTCCAAATGTTTTTGTTTTAATCGAGTTCTCAATGTGGTAACAAATTTTTAGTCAGACTATTTCTTCAATTTTTGTTGACAAAACTTTAAATAATCATGTGAAACTCATGTTTTTTAGGGGTTTTATAAGTTTCGAGTGGAAGAGTTTTGAGAAGAAAAAAAAAATTAGAGGCTTAATTAAAGATCAAAAATTTATTATTTTTTTAACAATAATGTGAGTTTGATATTTATAGTTTAAAAAATAATGTTTTCTGATCACTAAAATCATACACATCATTTATATTTGAACGGTTGAATTTGAAAGATTCTCTTGCATTAAACTATTTTAATTTACTAGTTAAAGAAAAAAACAATTGATAATTCTTTTAATGAATTATATTACAAGTCTTTTAAGTCAATCTTTCTAATATATTTTAAAAATAAGATACGAACATTGATCTTGTTGGAACACATGTATTCATCCTTGCATGGTTCAAAATCTTGTACGAAATAAAATCTATCACTAGTCTAATTTATTTAGTGTGTAGCTTAAATATACACAAAGCAAAAAATATATATAGTGAATTAAAACATAATTAATTAAATTATTTAATTAAACTTTTCATGGATGAATCCAGTATGTTCATAAATTGATGGATTATTAATGGGAAAAGTAGAAATCACATGAGTTTCACATGATTATTTAACAATTCTTAATAAAACCAAGGGATTTGATTATAAGAATCCATTGATCCATTGGGGACTTAATCGAGAAGAAAAATATGTTGGGTATCTAATCAAGATTACCCCTATACGTTGTGGACTTTTTGAGGCTTGCCCAAGATTTAACACAGAAGCTGAGGCAGAACACCCACTGAAACAGAGAAACACAGAGCAGGAAATGGGCACTCTTTACAAATACTACAAACCCCTGACCTCAATCCGCTTCTCTCCACCACCATCAAAATCCTTCCTCCTTCATTCAATTAGAATCAAAACCCATTTTTCTCCCACCAAGAAAACAAGACTAGACCGTTTCTTTTCCTCTGTAACGTCATCATCACAGCCCTCAACCAAAACCAATGGTGGTGATGCCTCTGCTGCAAGTCCATCATCAGAATTGTGGTTGTACAACACAATGAGCAGGAAAAAGGAGTTATTTAAGCCAAAAGTTGAGGGTAAAGTTGGAATGTATGTTTGTGGTGTTACTGCATATGATTTGAGCCATATTGGTCATGCTCGTGTTTATGTCACCTTTGATGTCTTATCCAGGTTTGCTCAGTTTTTCCTTTTTTATTCCCGTTGTTAAGCTGTAAGCATCCATGTTTGAATGGTTACTGACAAGGGCTTTTTTTGGTGGTTGGTAATTAGGCAGGTATCTTAAGCATTTGGGGTATGATGTTTGTTATGTTCGAAATTTTACTGATGTTGATGACAAGGTTAGTTGGTCTCTTTACTGTCTTTTGACTAGTTAAGGTTGTAATTGGATATGTTTATTTGAACTGCATTCAAATGATTGTGTGATGAGTCAATCTTCATTGTGTGGGAGACATGTGTAATAGTTTCGTGCTTAAATCGCGCAATTTTGATGCGGACGAGGTATGGCGGCCCTATATTTGAATGCGCTACTATGACTAGTTTCTATATTGAAAATGTCATTTTGAGGATTTTTTTTAAAAATAAATGTGGTTTGGTGAATAGGGGATTTGATGTTATTTTGGTGTAAGAGTTTGGTTGCCGACTGCCTTTTGATATTGGTATGACAGGATAAGCTGAGTTGCAAATTTTCGAATTCTGTAGATAATTTCTCGAGCAAATGAATTAGGAGAGGATCCGATCAGTTTGAGTAGACAGTACTGTGAAGAATTCCTTCGTGATATGGTGTATCTTCATTGCCTCCCGCCTTCTGTTGAACCACGTGTGTCGGATCACATGCCCCAAATCATTGACATGATTCAGCAGGTAATTTGTTGACCCTGATTGAATTTGAATCTTTGTCTTCCCGGATGATTCAGAAATACAGTGCATTGCAATTAGCATTTACTTTCACGGGCGAAATTGGTTTTGGTCAATATTTATTCTATCTTGTTCATTTGCATTTCTTTTATACTTCAAATAGTGATTTCTTGACATGCCATCTTTGCAGATTCTTGATAATGGGTTTGCCTACAGAATTGATGGGGACGTTTACTTTTCTGTTGACAAATTACCAGAATACGGGCGATTATCTGGACGAAAATTGAAAGATAATCGAGCTGGTGAACGAGTTGCTGTGGACTCGAGAAAGAACAACCCTGCTGATTTTGCATTGTGGAAGGTAAGTGTCTGTAAGACACTGGTAATGCACAAGTACTCGAATCCGAGACTTGAAATTATCCAAGATGGTTATATTTGCTGATGGTTTGTTTTTCCTGGCTGTGATATATTGTATAGTTGTAATTGCGTGTTGTTCTTGATTCAAGACATGTGCATGGACACACACAGTAGGAGAGTACGGCAAATTCTACCCCTTGTGCCTTGGCTCTGGGAGTTAAAAGAGTTGGGCTGGGTTTGAAATCCTGCACAACAAAAAACCATGGTAAAATCTAGTTGACATAAGCATGTAACGTAAAGGTGGTTGGCATCATGATGTGAAAGCACTCATCTAGATACTGGACCTGTTTCGTTGTATATCTTTCATAATTTCCTGCAAAAGTTCAACTCCATATGTGGTAAATATTTTGATCTTTGTTGAAACTGGAATCTCCAATGAGTTTTGTTTGCAAACTGTACAAACTTGTAGCAGATTCTGCTTTTGTTGATTTTGATTAATGAAATTTCATTCTTCAAATAATAATAAAAAAAGGTTCAACTCCATATGCATGTCTTTGAATTTAACAAGTACGTTCAAATTGGTTAATTCATCATGTCATTACACTTTTTCTTTGGCAGTCTGCAAAGGAGGGTGAGCCCTTTTGGAATAGTCCATGGGGTCCTGGAAGGCCTGGGTGGCATATTGAATGCAGTGCAATGAGTGCTGCTTATCTTGGTCACTCGTTTGACATACATGGTGGTGGAATGGACCTTGTGTTTCCTCACCATGAAAACGAAATTGCTCAGAGTTGTGCTGCATGCAGAGATAGTAATGTGAGCTACTGGGTACACAATGGTTTTGTCACTGTTGACTCAGAGAAAATGTCCAAATCCCTTGGAAACTTCTTCACAATTAGGCAGGTAATGATTCCATTTATTATTGAATGATCTTTTGTGCTCTTGTAGTTTATGATTCACATGATTCTACTGTGAGTGCTTCGGTACTTGAACCAACATCCAAGTTAACATGATTCTTACTAGCCTTTTATCTTTACCCAGGTTATAGATCTTTACCATCCATTAGCTTTGAGACTTTTCCTGTTGGGGACCCACTATCGATCCCCAGTCAACTACTCTGATGTGCAGCTTGAAAGTGCTTCGGAACGTATATTCTACATCTATCAGGTCCTCTGAACCAGCCAGACCTTGTGGGGGCGTTTGTTTGCTCTGGTTTCTTGTGCAATCTTGTTATCTTTTTTAACTTTTCTTCCATTGTAGAAAGATGCTACATTCTGGAGATGCTTTACTTTCAGTTCTTTAATGCATGGCTAACATAAATTCCATCAACTTCTTCTTTCTACCGCTTAATATATTTGCTCATGGTTTTATGTTATTGACAAAAAGGAGAAGTATTTTTCCTTGAAGGCTTCTGTATGTTATTTCATTGAAAAAAATATTTCCTGTCTTTTGAGTTTGTTTGATTAATTGATTGCAGACGCTACATGATAGTGAATATATCCTCGGCCAGCACTCTGTGGCATTTGAGAAGGATGCTATTCCGCCTGACACAATGAATGACATCAATAAGTTTCACGCTACATTTGTCACCTCAATGTCAGATGATCTTCACACTCCTGTTCTTTTGTCTGCACTATCTGATCCATTAAAAAGCATTAATGATATGCTACATACTCGAAAGGTAGTGAGATTCAGACTCATTTATTTTTTTATGGATACTAGTGTTGATTTAATCAAACATAGGGTGCATCGGCTGTAGGCAGCTTTAATAGCTGGTATAAGATTGGGGTTTAAATTCTCTCTCTCCTCTCTCTCTCTCTCTCTCTCTCTCTCTCTCTCTCTCTCTCTCTCTCTCTCTCTCTCTCCAAATTGTTTATTATGAACGAATGATCCATGCAGGGAAAGAAACAAGCAAAGCGGATAGAATCAATTGCTGCTCTGGAAAAGATGGTCAGAAATGCTCTTATTGTCTTAGGGTTGATGCCCCCAACTTACAGTGAGGTAACTTACAGTTAGAATATCACTAAATCATGACCAGATTTAGATATGGAGCCTACCAACACCCCATTCCCTCTCCCGATTATAACATGGATAAGATCCACATCATTCTCAAATTGCTGCACCAACATGCATTTATTTTCCTCTACTATTATTCTTCATTTGTTCTCTTGTTACTCCCAGAATGCTTTGTGATAGCGCCTGCCTTTTCATGCAGATATCCCATTAGTTTTTTCTTTTAGCTGTCCAGATTTTCTCAGTGTGAATCTTAGTTTCATGCATGCTGATGCAAGCTCTTTTTTTTTTTTTTGAAAAAAAAAATCTTTTTATAGCAATGATTTACTATTAACCATTTCCTGCTGCAGGCTCTGCAGCAACTGAAGGGAAAGGCACTGAGGCGTGCCAAGTTGACAGAGGATCAAATATTGCAAAGAATCGAGGAAAGGACTGTAGCAAGAAAGAACAAAGACTACAAAAAATCAGATGATATTAGGAAGGATTTAGCTGCTGTGGGCATTGCTCTTATGGACAGTCCAGATGGCACAAGCTGGAGACCAGCCATTCCGCTTGCACTGCAAGAGCAGCAAGTTTCTTTAACTTGAATGGCTTGTGGAATTGCACTCTCTTGATGTATCTGCCATGATACCATCTCCAGGAATTAATTTTTTTTCGTGTTTTCCTCATCAATCAATATTAGGAAATTGGTTTTGGGATGTTGGAATGAGGGATGATGGCCTACAACATGGCTATTATGTGCTGTAATGCGCACATTGATAAAAGATTGGCTAGAAATTTCAGTTCATGAGTCAAAATTTTTGGTAAATGTAACATACATTCTTTAAATCAGTTATAGTCTTATAGAATTGTGGTCCAATGAAGGAAATAGTCATTGAATTCTATATCTGTGGATAATGTCCTTGCTACAGATGCTTAAATTACTTATGTTATGTAATGTATGGACAAGATTATGTGTTCTTTATTTTTTCAGATTCCATGTTAGCTGCATTTCAACACCAGAGCCCAAACTTTTTGCTCCAATATTTTGAATCTTATTAAGAAAGTACAAGTGATCGATTTTTCAATTTACATCTTCACAGGCAGGAACAGTGAAATTAGCAATGTGAGCAAATACAATAGAGAAAGGGGCAACAGTTATTGGATCGGACTGGCTTGTTTTAATTGGTTCCAACGGAGGGATACTCCCAGATGAATTTACAGAAAGCATGTTTCCGTTTAAAAGAACTGTTTGACTTTGCAAATCACCGTTCAGGGCTGTTAAATGATATTCCTCTCTTGTATTGGCATCAGCATTTGAACCCCTAGACATCCTAGAAAACTTTGTTCTTCCATTTTGTTGTTGTTGCATTGCCAAAGTTCCGTTGCTGATAACATTTTCAGTTGAAACATGGACTTTAACAGTTGTGTTTCCGTCGAGGTTAATCAACAGCAACGTTATTCCTTGCTGTAATGACAAGAACTAATGCATTAGCCAAGCAGATATATGAAAATTTGTTTACTAATCCAACTTTTATGGATCTGCTTACCGATGCTTTCGCACAGTGAGCATAAGTGCGTATTTTGTTTGTCCCAGAGAAAGTTGTCGACAGGACATTTCTTCCCATCAAGCGGTGCCACAGAAGAGCACTGATGGATTAAAATAACAATGTTAACAATGACACTAACTTCAAGTTCATTTAATTTACTTCTGAAGTTCAAGAATTACCTATAATAATCAGGATTCGGGACAAATGTGACAGTGTTGAGTAGGCCATAATTTCCACCAATCAATGTTTGTCTGCAATATGTTTTCGTATCATAAGATGATGCCATTCCGAGCTGGTCCAAGTACCTTTTTGGTCATGAAAAACCAGATCAATCAATGTCCAGGATTTCAAGTTCAAACAAAGAAAACCAAATAAAATGCTGAAAATTGTGGACTAGTTTACCAGAAACTAAACACAAATGTATTTGTGACAAGATTATGGCCGCTGTTGTAAGCACCACCTGCCTCACCAACCCAAGCAACTGCTGAAGTCTCTGAACTCTTCAAAATTCCTTGAAGACTGCTGAATGGCTGGGAACCTCCATCGAGGTATGAGGGATCCAATATCTTATCAATTAGATGATTATCAACTCCTACACACAAGAAACAAGTAGAAAACATGCTTCACTGGCAAGTATTGTGGACGCTGACTAGGAACACATTAATTTCTGAAGCAGAAAAATATCGGAACTAGATTGCCGAAACATCAGAATAACGGTGCAATAGAATGCCTTAACGGTTTGCTTACCGGGACCAAGGTTATAAATGTGTTGGGTGACTACTTGAAGAGATCTAGGTGTTTTTTTTATGAATTGTGTGAACCAATTTGCATCAAAGAACCCTCCTGGTGCTAGGACTAGTGGCTTAACTTCAAAACCTGCATAAATGGTTCGCACTATCATTTGCAGATTGTTTGTGTCAGATGCATATTGATCTGCTGCAATTCTTGTTCCAGTTCCACTCCCACTCAGTTCATTTCCTGACAAGCATCAAGAGTTTCACGTGAGAAAAAGGAAAGTATTTCCATTTTAGAAAAACTAGATAATCCAAGTTATAAGTCTGAAAAATTGGTATTAATGCCACTAGCAACTACTGCAGACACCTATAAGAACTACTGTCAAGAGTTAAATTCATGTGCTAACTTCAGTTTTAGCATATTTCAAGTTGCTAAAGAAAGCATAACTTTTCTTACCAAGCTCCCAACCATGAACGTTATAGCCCTTGTTAACAGTATATCGCAAGAGAAATTGAGCATCACTTGAATTCCAAGCACCCACAGCAGAACCATCTGCTGCCAAAGTCCTGCCACTTAGTGCATTTAACCCAAAAACGACAGCAGCCCTGTATTTCAAAATCAAAAGATTGAATGTTTCAATATTGATGTGGGGATACTATTCAATACATTAATCCAAATATTAAGGAAAAAAGAACGATTTTTTCATATACTTGAACTAAACACATTTTTAACTGATTTCATGAGAGGATTATAGCTAGTTACCCGGCTTGTTTGAAGAAGTTGTTTAATTCATCCCACCGGGACATTGGCAAGCAACCTTGGGAGAAACCGAACATTTCTGAACTATTTTTCACAAATGCTGGACAAGGTCCACCTTTTCTCTCGTATACGACTTTATCTTGTAAAGTGCCCCCATTCTAATTTTAAGAGGAGAGAAGGCTGCATCTCAATCAAGGCTATGTTACAACTTATCCATGAATTAAGAGTAAAACTTAGTAAATGACTCTTACCTTTGATTGCATTCAACAATATTGGGTTGGTAAGATCCTGAAAAAATTGGAAAAAGAAAGAAAGAGGCAAGGAACTAGAAAAGTGTCAAGTCCATCTCGGATATCTTACTTGGAGAAAACAAACAAAAAGAAAAGTAAAAGAGACAAGGAAAGCTGGAAATAGTACTATTCATCAAGTCCAAAGGCTACTTCACTCCGAATATTAAAAATTGCAGTCTTTATCACTTTCATTCATATTTTACTGTCATTATCGATATTTAGCCTCTTCAGATAAATGCCTTCTTTAATTTGGATGGTTCTTCTTAGAAGGTTTCAAAATTCAAATTTGTAGTGCTTCGCTTTCAGCTTGCCATGGCAGATTTCTAAATATGCAGCTTCACAAAAGATGACTACATGTGTTGAGGATTTTATAGGATGATAATTTCGAACAAAAAAGTTGAAAAGACCAAACAGAGTGAAAAAAGGAACATTTGACAGAAAATGTTTTTAAGTAAAAACTCAAGCTATATGCTAAAAGAATTCACATAAACTACTTGACAAGCTTACCAGATTAAGCAAAGAAGCTTTGCCCCAGCTACAAGTTCCATAATCACATTCATCAGGAGGCCACCAGTCCAAAGTAGCACAAATAAAATCACGGTCGGTTGTCCCAATTGGAACTGTTCCATTGATAGAAACAGTGCCTTCAACAATATTTCTAGACCCTCCTCCTGTGCTCTGTGAAGCCACAGATTTCGAGCTTTCACTCAACCAGTAGAGCAAAGCACAGAAAACGCAAATAGAGAACAAAGTGGCCATCTGATAAAACAGTGTAGTTTGCCTTGTCCTTGTCTCTGCATCAGCTTTTGAGGTCGCCATGCAGGTGTCAGAATTAAACAATAAATAAGCTGGACAGTATTAATATGGGTTAGATAGAAGCCTAGAACAGCATCTTACAAAAACATTGTCCAGAAACAAATCAGACAAGGCCAAATGGAACTATCAAACCAAATATATAAAAAAATTAATATTTGCAAGTTTTGACTTCGAAACAAGAGCAGAAAAACCTTCACCAAACCATTTCATTATAGTGAGAAAAGGTAAGGTCCCAACAAAACCTTCACCCTATGTTTTTATAATGGACCATTATACATGAAAACAGGTCAGACAATGGCTGCCTTCCTTCCCCACCGAGGTCAACCATGTACATATTTTTGAATATATGGTTGCTGAGTATACAAGTAAAATACATCAAAATTTTATTCCCTATATATTGTTATTACATTGCATAAATTCATCATTTTCTTTTCTTATCTTAGGGTTTGTTATTAGTAGTTATATATCCACAAATAATTAAGTTTGTTAGTTTAGCTGTTTTTCTTTCATACGCAACTCAGTTTGTTTAACGCGTCTTCTGTGACCAATAGTGTTTGTGATCACACACATGCATGATTAATAAGAAGAAAGAAGAAATAAAATGGGCTAACTAAGATGGGTTACAATAGCACTTTCATGGAGATTTCCTTTGAGCGAATTGAGCCTGTTTAGGTGGGTTTTTTTTTTTTTTTTAATACTTAGGTGGGTACTGGGTATGGCATACTTGTCTGTTTGTTTATATATATATATGGTATGACATGTTCTTTTTTTCTCTTCTCTTTCTTATTTCACAAGAGTAACTTAATGCTTTTTTAAAAAAAAAAAGAAAAAGAAAAAAATAACATCTATTGATATATATGGGAAATAACTCCAATTTATATTTCATGCATATTCGTCACATTTTGACAATTATGTATTAAAGTTGATAGAATTTTTATTTTTATTTTCATATTATTGTTTCCATAAAGTTGTTTTCATATTATGAACATTCAATTAAAATTTAATAATTTAGATTCAACGAATATATATGATGGTTATGAAACAATATTGACCTCAATTTGTCGATCAATATATATACAATTTTTTTTAGACATATATCATTGGAAATAGAATTAATTCTATTTAGAACGAAAACGATAAGATTTAACCCATCACAGACAAATGCAATTTCAGAATTTTAATTTTATATATTGATAAAAAATTTGACGAAAACCAATTCATTTGCTACTAAACCAATAATTTGTTGGTTATATAACTTAATTTAAGAAGATGGTATGTGATAAATACTTTAAAAAAAATGCTAGTTACTTTTTCTTGATACGTTGATAAGAGTGGTACATAACAAAACAAGTTATTGCATTTGAAAAATGTAGAAAAATATAGTCGGAACAAGCATAGAATTGTTACACATACCTTGATTTCAAATTCTTTCATCGAAATAGTCCAGCAGAAATCTTGATTACTCAAAGAAACAGGATTCCATGGTTCAAAAACCTAATAGTACCAAATAATAGTAAGGCTTTATTTTGTTTCTCTTCAATAGAATTGTAGAAAAGATAAATATAATTATATGTGCTTATATAATATTTAAAGTCTCTCATATTTTTATATATATTTCAATTGCATCTCATCTCGTTTCTAAATTTTTTAAAAATATTTAATGTATTTTTCCAATCAAATTTTTCGCTTACGATTTTTTTAAACCGAAATGGCATTTACTAAATATATATATTTAAAATCACATGATCTACGTATTCTATTTTTAAAGTCTTTAATTTTTATTTTATTTTTTTCATTTCAATCGGGAGTATTTTGGTCAAAAATATTTTATTTGACAAAAAAATTAATAAAAATAATAAATTAAACATTTCAAATGGACAAATAAAATACAATCAAAAACTTAAAAATATATAAGAGATTTTGAGTATTATATAAAAACAAATATCCTAATAAAAAAGAAAAAGAAGAGTCGGTTTTTATTTTAAATGAGGAAATCTATTTTCCTCGAGATCTATTCGTATCTTTTGTAGGCATGTCCAAATTAACGACGAGATGAGACCTAAACATGAGCTCTCAATATTGAGTAAAGTGCAAAAAATAAAATTAATAAGTACTAGAAGGTAGTTAGGATTTCGGAGCATAGTGACGTAACACCAATTTAGGACATTCCATGTATATCAAGTTGACCCTCCTTAATAGTAGGATCATTGTAATATCTCTTGATTTGGCCTTTACTCCGCATGATTCGGTTTCCATATGCGGACCTTGTAATCCGTATAAAATCCGAACTTCATCTTTAATACAAGACAATTTTCTCCCTTAAAATCTTCATGGTATCGGAGCTTATCTCTCGTCAATTGAACGGAGATTTCCTTCTTCCTTTTTTTTTTTTTTCTCTTCTCTCAACCCCGTAACATCTTACCCTCTATTCTCAATGTCCACACTCGCCGAAAGCAGATTCAACTCTACCCGAGTCCCCTTCAAAATCCCCCATGTAGCTCGGATCTCCAGTGAGTCAATTCCACAGTACCGCAAACACCATGACTCAAAGTAATATTGTTCCCTCTAATGGAAATCCGATATCCCTTAATGCCTCATCTCGCATTCCATTAAAGCTCTCAAAGGGTGGAGGAAATTATGCATCTTGGAAATCTCAAATGACTAATCTTCCGTTTGGTTATGGACTACTTGGTTTCATTGATGGTTCTCGACCTTGTCCATCACAAGCAGATCCAAACTATACCTACCGGCTTTGTCAAGATCGATTGGTGCTACCGGGAATACAAGCAACCGTCCACAACACAATCAGCCCCACCATTAACGGTTGCACCGGATCCGCAGATGCCCGGAACAAACTAGAAACCACCTATGCAATCGTTCCAAGCACTCGAATGCTCTCACTTCGTCCTCACTCATGTCAAACAAAAAGGAAGGGAAGTCGATTGCTACTTACATGAATAAAATAAAAAGTATTACCGATGATGTTGCTCTCATTAGCCATCCGTTAAGTGATGCGTAAATCATGGCTTACACACTAAATGGCCTCGGTGATGAATTCAAGGAACCGACACCGTTGTACGCAATCATGAAACTCCCATATCCTTTGAAGATCTCCATGATAAGCTTCGATGAGGAATTAATTCGGAACCGTGGAGAATCAAAGGAGGATGACTCACCGGTTATTGCTCGACTTACACAACGTAGAAGCATCCGTGGAGGCAAAGGAGGACGAGGTAACCGTGGTGGATTTAATTCCACATACATCCCAGGACAAAGAACCGGACCTCTCCATTCAATAACAATCAACGGAACTACACTCGACAACGACAACCATATGGTCGAGGGTATTACTCACAAGGTACAAACCTTAATTCAAACACTCACCATTTTTCACCCACATGGAGTTCAACTTCTTATCGGGGCAACCAGAGACAACAACGTATTATTTGTCGCCTATGTGACAAGCCGAGTCACAATGCAAAAATATGTTACTCACGTGGGAGACCCTCCTCTCCAGGCCTCTCAACCTCAAGCTAATCTTATCCACAGTGATTCAAACAACAACAATTGGATTTTGGACTCGGGTGCTACACATCATATAACATCCGACCTTCAGAATCTCTCCATGCACTCTAACTATGTGGGGAATGAAGATGTGGTAGTCGATAACGGTAATGGAATTTCAATCTCTCATGTTGGATCCTCTACTATTGATTCACCTGTTACTTCATTTACACTTGATAATGTTTTATGTGCACCCATGATAAAAAACAATCTTATCTCTCGTTTCACAATTCCGCAAACATAATAACACTTCCATTGAATTCTTTCCTAACCATTTTCTTGTAAAGGATCCGAGTACGGAGGCATCCTTGGCTCGAGGCCGGAGTAGGAACAACTCCGTACGAGTGGTCATCATCAACTTCACCTACTAAAAGATCTAATCCATCGCCTTCCACCTCTACTACTCTCACATCTCAAATCCGGCACCAAAGACTTGGTCACCCATCTCTACTAATTCAACGAAGCAAATCATTGTTGAAAATCAAATTCCGGTCTCGTAGTCTTCAAGCTCAAAAATAATATGTGATTCTTGCTTATGTAACAAAAGTCACAAGTCGGCCTTTAAAAATTCATCAATCACATGTGACAAACCTTTTCAAGTAATTTATTCGGATGTCCGGGGTCCCTCTCCGATCATCTCTTTTGACAATTTTCGTTATTATGTTATTTTTGTTGATTATTTCACAAAATATACATGGTTTTACCCTATCAAATTAAAGTATGATGTCTTTAGTATTTTTGAAAAATTTCAAAAATTAATTGAAAATTTCTTTGAAACACGGATTAAGACAGTAGTACATCGATGGTGGAGGAGAATACCAAGCACTTGCTCCCATATTTGCCAAAAATGGTATCCAACACCTTGTTTCCCCACCATACACACCTGAACATGTAGGGTCAGCCGAACACAAACATCGTCATATTGTAGAAATAGGACTTACACTTCTCCATCAAGCTTCGTACCCACTCGCTTTTGGTCTTACGCCTTTCAAACAGCCTACCTATCCGATTAATCGCATGCCAACTCCAGTACTACATAATGACACACCTTATAATAAACTATTTGGCCATCAACCTACTTACACCTCCCTTTGAGTTTTTGGATGCCTATGTTATCCCCGGCTTAGACCCTACACTAGCCATAAGCTCGAACCACGATCTCGTCCTCGTGTGTATCTCGGTTTTTCTCTTCCCCATCATGCATTTACCCGCCTTGATATCAAATCAAACAAAATATTTATTTCTAGACATGTTGTATTTTTTGATAATATATTTCCTTTTAAAACAAAATCATGTCGTATTCCTACCGTTATCGATCGATCCTTTTCTAGATTTTCTTCTATATCTACTAGCAACAATCATGCAACTAATTTCTCTCCCACGGATAATTCTAATGATGATACAGCCTATTTGCCCAAATTGGATTTCATTGTCGTTCCTCTTGCTCCAAACATCAAAACACCAAGTGTTAACAACCACCAATCTCTTGGACGGCAGCCTCAACCCACTTCACCAACCGATCCAAATACCCAAGCCCTTAGGTGTCGGTCCCGAGCCACTTCACCACGTCCCATGTCCAATTCATCCACTCGATCAATCTTTTCCCACTCAACAAGAAACTTCTACTTCTTCCCTTGGTGCCTCCAGGATATCGCCTACTCGGGTAAGTAACTCTTCTTCCTCTACAGCCTCCTATTTCATCTCCAAAACAACTTGCTCCTCCTCGCATGGTAACACGCTCCCAAAACAATATTCACAAACCCAAAATACCATTCTCTCTTCACACCATAACATCATCCAAGTAGCCTCCTCCAAACCGAACCCACGTCTTTCACTCAAGCCAATAAACATTCTAATTGGCGTGAGGCCACGAAGGCAGAATTCACAGCCCTCCAAAAAAACCAAACCCGGTTCTTAGTCCCTCCCTCGCCTACATAAAATATTATTGGGTGTAAATGGGTATATCGGGTTAAGAGCAATCCCGATGGTTCCATTGCTCGCTACAAAGCTCGAGCTAGTAGCAAAAGGGTTTCATCAACGACCCGGAATTGATTTTAATGAAACGTTCGATCCGGTTGTGAAACCTGCTACCGTTCGACTTGTTCTCGGCATAGCAATCACCGGTGGTCGGGTGTTGAATCAATTGGATGTTAACAATGCCTTCTTACAGTGGTACTCTCACCGACCATGTCTTTATGCAAGCAACCACGTGGATTTATTGATTCTCTCTATCCAAATCATGTCCGCAAATTGAACAAAGCACTTCATGGGCTTCGTCAAGCTCCCCGAGCATGGTACACCGAGCTTCGGTCTTACCTTCGCTAATGGATTTCTCAACTCCAAGAGTGACACCTCCTTATTTATCCACAAATCACAAGCATGTCACCATGTACCTTCGTGTACGTGGATGACATTATTCTCACGAGCAACAACTCTCATGCCATTAGCAACTTCACTACTCAACCGTCTAACCGCTTCTCCCTTAAAGATCTTGGCAAGCTAAGCTATTTTCTAGGTGTTGAAACCACTCGTTCCACCAATGGTTTATTCTTGTCCCAAAGGAAATATATATACTAGATATCCTTCACAAGACCAATATGCATGAAGCTAAGGCGATCAAGCACTCCTCTATCCTCATCGAAACTCTCAAGCTTGATGATGGATCTCCCTCTCATGATTCAACCGAGTATCGACGAGTTTTAGGGTCTCTTCAATATCTCTCCCTTACACGGCTCGATATTACATTTGCAGTCAATAAACTCGCACAATTTATGCATCGTCCTTCTTCCACTCATTGGAATGCGGTTAAACGAGTTCTTCGCTACTTGAAAGGTACAACTCACTATGGCATTTTCTTGTCTAGTCACTCCACTCCATCTCTCGCATGCATTTGCGGATGCCGACCGGGCCGGTGATGCCGATACTCGCCACTCTACATCGCATATGTGGTCTTCTATGGCTCTAATCCTATCGATTCATGGCTCTAAGAAACAATCCACTCGTTGCTCGTTCCTCAACGAGGCGAGTATAGAGCCGTTGCATCTACTACAGCTGAAGTCAATTGGTCGACCAATCTTCTACAAGAACTTGGTGTTTCAATCTCATCTCCACCAACAATCTATTGTGACAATATTGGTGCAACTTACCTCTCGCTCCAATCTTGTTTTCCACTCATGCATGAAGCACATCGCCATTGATTTTCATTTTGTTCGTGATCGAGTTGCTTGCAAACTCATTCGAGTCACTCATGTTCATACCACCGATCGGCTTGTCGATTCATTAACTAAGCCTCTTGCAAAGCAGCAGCTTCAACTGCACCGATCCAAGCTTAGCATCCTTCCCGGACCCTTGCGCTTGTGGGGGCATGACGAACACCAATTTAGGACATTCCATGTATATCAAGTTGACCCTCCTTAATAGTAGGATCATTGTAATATCTCTTGATTTGGCCTCGACTCTGCATGATTCGGTTTCCATATGCGGACCTTGTAATCCGTATAAAATCCGAACTTCATCTTTAATACAAGACAATTTTCTCCCTTAAAATCTTCACATAGCTCCTTCATACTGTGTTTTTAGTTTAACTGAAAGATTCTACTTTCTTCAAAATCTATTCATATTATTTGTGGGCATCTCTAAATTAATATGAATCAAACTATGAGTCTTCAAAACGGGGCGGGGCGAGGCTCCACCAAATTACTTTTTTTAAAGGTAAAAGAGCAAGACGGGGCTGGGATGATCTCAAAAAAAAAAGAAAAAAAAAACCCATCTTTGTTGCGTGCCTCGTTCGAGGTAAAATTTTATGTCCCATTCCTGCCCCAAACAGGGTGAGGCGGAGCGGGGCAGCGTCGGGACGAGTTGGATTGCCATCCCTATATACAAGTTAGTTTTCTTTTATATATCATAATTTCCTGTAATGTTTTTTATATAACGGACACACTATTATTTTTTATGTTAAGCATTGTAATATTTTTTATATGATACAAAATACAATGCGATATTACTTTCTAAAGTTATGAAATAATAAAAATATCTTTCATTTTTTTATTTTTTGTATTATTTCTTTCAACAATATAGAATACAATCCCAAAAAAATGATAAGTAAGAAATAGATAAGTAAATTAGAAGCTAGGAACATTTAGCAACAAATGGGGAAGGTTGGATGTGGACTATCTCTATCTCTATCCCATTGGATCCTTTTCCATGTTGATTAACCAAAAAATAAGAAGAAAGTTTTGGGTTCTCAAACTTAGAAAAATTGTCCATTTTACCCCTAAACTACAAGGGTGACATTAGAAAATTTTAAAATTTAATGGTGCAAGTGAATTAATGAATCTATTTTAGCAAAAAAGAAGTTTAATCCCTGATGTTTTTTTTTAAGACAAACCAGCTTATTCTCTAAATCAAGCCATCATCTATCACCGCTCTGTGTGCAACACTGACAGCAACCACAAAACCACCTTGATTGGACGGGACTCATCTTAGAATCTAATGAGCCCACCTGCCTTTGCCTTAGCTTTCTTGGATTCTCAAAACGGCCTCTATCTCCGGGCAAGAGCAAGGCACATTTTCCGGGCCCAAGATTTGTGGAAAGTTTGAGGTTATCCACACTTGGTGCAAGAACAACAATTGTTTGACCCAAGTATTGCATTTGGAAACTCAAAAAGAAGAAGTGTAACCGTGCAAACACGTGGCACTACGTGATGCAAAAAAGTCCAAGAAGGTTCCACAATTTCTTCACCACGTCTATGATAATTATGACATGACTTACACTTCCTTTGACGTTCTTGGCAACTGCTAATATCACTCTGCAGTAATGCAATGGCAGGCTTTCTCAATCTTCTGTGTACAGTCTTCTTCCTCAGTCTCATTAGCCAAGGTAAATTTTGTCCATGTTGTTTTTTTAATGCTTCAAATCACCAGACATGCATATTGCTTTAACATGTTTTTTTTTAACCCAAAAAAATTGCTGTAACATCTAGAGAAAACATGGGACTTTTGTCTTCAGTTAAAAGAAACTTCATTACAAATTGCTGTAACATCTAGAGGGGTTTGAACCTCAAGTTTTTAAGAGGTTATGAGAACAATTTTCTTCCAAGAATCATGTGATGATATGTAGCCCTAGCCTCGTATTTGTGCCATTTTTCTTGTCTTTTCCTTTCGTCAAAATGGAAAGGCTCGAGTGTTCCAAGTCCTCTTGAGAGGGAGAGGAGAATGCGGATGCTAGTTCAGTTCCGAGTTCATTTATTTATAATCGTGTGTTTTTAAAACATTCTGTCTAATTTTATTCATTGCAGGGAATTGTCACTGTCATCAGGTAACGGACATCAAAATTTTCCAGTCTCAAACAGGATTGCTCGTGCAAAACAAGCCGCAATGGAAAGTAACCATCTTAAATGATTGTATATGCACTCAAGTAAATATCAAACTGGCCTGTGATGGATTCCAAACTGTTGAAGGTATTGACTCTTCCATCTTGGCAGTAAGGGATGATGGATGTCAAATTAACCATGAGCAGCCAGTGTATGGGTTTCGAACTTTCAATTTCACCTACTCTTGGGGTACTCAATATCCATTCATGCCAGTTTACTCCGAAATTGCATGCTCGTGAGGACTGGCTTTGAGAGCTCGGAGGCATGTGGCTGTGCAGATGTAATTAAGTTTTTTTTTTTTTTGTTTATGGAATGAGAATTATGGGGAGGTATTGCTATGTATTAAGTTATTAACTACAGACTTACATGTCTTTGATTTCTGAAGCTTACTAGCATCTAAGGCCCTTTAAAACCTTCTTGTTTTGATAGACCTCATCATCAATTATTTTAAGTTATTGATCTGGGAATGCTTGAAATGAAAGCGGATAAAGTAAATGTTCCCAATAAGTTGATTATAAAAACATTGCAGTGTAGAATTGTTGAAGAGTACCACAAGATTCATTGAACAATTGGTTTCCATAAAAATATATGAACAATGCTGCCATGCTTAGCAATGCCAATACCAGGGTTAAAGCTTTGTTAGCAATGGCAGAGCAGGCAGCACCACTGCCTAATGCATCCCACCTACACTTGTAGCTGAGGGCAAATCTGAAGCACTTTGTAGCCTGAAGGATCCTAAGCTAACACTCTTGACCATAGGTGAATACAGTACACACAGGGAAATACGCAACTGTATATACTACAGAATTCTTGACATTAGAAATACCAAGATGTGTCCACACAGTTACCACAATCATTTTTTTACCATGATGTAGATAAGACATCATGAATCCTCCAAGCATACACTCCCTACTAACCCAAATTTCCACCCTAACAAGAAAATAAAACAAAAGAAAAAAGAGGAAGATGATTCTAGCCTCATTTCCTCTTCTTAGCTGGTGGCTGGGGAATATCTTCCTCCTCCTCCTCCTCTTCCTCCTCTTCCTCATCCTCGTCATCGTCGTCGTCGTCTTCATCTTCCTCCTCATCATCATCTTCCTCATCGTCATCATCGCTGCCACCATTACCATTGGCTTCAGGCTCATCCTCTGGATCCTCACCATCCTCGCCGTCTTTGCTAGGCTCATCTTCCTCAACACCTTCTTCATCATCATCATCCTGGTCATCTTGACCATCCTCCTCATCACCATCTTCATCATCCTCGGTATCACTGCCATCTTGATTATCAGGATCAGGTTTCCTCTTTGCGTGAAGCTCAGTCAATGGAAACCTGCAAGACAAAATTAGTTATAAACTACAACAGTACATAAACACCATCCAGGACAAATATATAAGATCACTAACCCTCGACTTGTGCCCGACTCTTCTGGGAAGACACTGGATCCGTTAGGCAAAGAACCTATCTGGTTAAAAAAAAAAAAAAGCCAAATTTCTGCTCAATTAAGAGATCAGTTGGAATAAACACATTGTTCCCTCACAAGCACCATGAAGAAATTCAATGCAACCCAAGAAATTTCTCATGCAGCACACAAGCTTTTAAAGAAATAAATTTGCAAGCCATAACTGAAAGACAAGTTGAATTCATTTCAATGATACCTGATAAGTATAAAAGAGTATTGTAATCTCAAAACGTGCATGTGAATCACTCTAGCTATCAATCTCCTTATGTCAGATCATATACTTTAAAAGAGCTTACGCTCTGATACTGTTTATCACTCATCTAATTTGACACATTTCTTCCATTCCTATATATATTATGCTCGCTATTTTAACAAACTTGTGGTTTGTTTTTTTTTTAACAACGTAGCAGTTTAGTTTTTTAATGAGAAAAAAAAATCCATGCCAAAACTTTATAAAGGAATGTCCAGGCATAGACAGAACAACACAACAGAATCAAGAAAAGAAAAGGGAAATCATTCAGTTATAAAGGTTATGATATTTATAATATAATTTCATAAGCAACTCTTACACCCATCAACGTGATCTGATGAGAAACTATCATAACAGACAGCCAGCCAAACAATTGACGTACCACAACTTCACCTCTCTGATTTCTCAAACCTCAGACTAGAAAAAAAGAAAGATCGCTTCTCTTTGAAGTTCTTACCTACCTAACATAACTAGTTTGTAACAGACACACTCAATAAACAAAAAACTAGCTCAGTATCAAACCTATATCAACAAAACAAGGCAGCCAAATACAGTCATACGGATAGCCTGCATTGTTAAGATGTTCTTGTTTGGTAACATAAGAAAAATATAAGAAGACAACCAATAACCTATTATAAAAAAATAGGACCTTTTCTCATAATGAGAATGTATATAAGCCTATTCCGGTCTGGTCCGGCATGAAATGAACTTATAATCATGGAATCGACTCGATTATAGATTAGCATGAAAACAGATAAGTTCATAAACCTAGCCCATTCCCATTTTGGGTAGAACAGATATACTAATTCTTTGATTCCAGTTTACACCCTAGCAAAATAAACAGAGGAAAAGCAAAAGAGGCACCAATAATTACCATGAAAGCAAAATAAATAAGGAGTAAGAACTCAGTCCAAACCCTAGCAAAAAAACAGCACCTTTAAAGAGCAACTTTACGCAAATCCCACATCCAAAAAAGGCTCCTTTAAACATAATAAGAAAATAAGAAGACAACCAATACCCTATTATAAGGGAAAACAACAAACAAGCCAAATAAACAGATGAAAAGCAAAAGAGGCACCAATTGGACAATTACCATGAAAGCAAATTAAACAAAGAACAAAAAGTCAGACCAGACCCTAGCAAAAAACAGCACCTTTATGAGCAACTTAACACAAATCCCATATCCAAAATAGCTCCTTTAAACACAATAATAAAAACCCACATCATAATTACCCCAAGTTTACATTAAAAAAAAAAAGATACTAACAAACAAGAATATAGACACACAGAGTAAAAATAGCAAAACACTAACTTTCTAATAAAAAATAAACACAGTACGAAACAGATCCACACATTCAAAGTGCTGTCCTTACTCAAAATTAACACAAAAAAGTCAAAAAGAACATCATAAACACGTGAAAAAAAAACTTCAGAATTTTAACAAATTATGCAAGGTGACAGAGACATTATACCATGAAAAGTGATAAAGCAACTGCCCTGGATGCAGCAATGGCTGTTTCAAGTAGTAAGGCGTCCATAAAAGACGACAGGATGCCCTCCGAAATGACAGCGTTAGAGCAAAGAAGACCCTCCATTTTCTGCAAAAAACCGCAAAAGCCTAGAGAGAAAAAACTCAATTGAGATAATTTAAGGATTTTTCTTTGCGGAAACGAGAGAATAAAAATTAGGGTTTTGAATTTGGGTTTAAGTTAGGGTTTTAAAAAGAGAGATTTATCAAGATCAAAGCTGCGGAAATTTTCTGGAGAGTGCGTTAAAAGATGGATTGTTTGACTGTCTGGTGATGTAATAAAAATGACGGGCAATCAGAATCGTTGAATTTGATGGACATAGGGCTTTAGCTTTGGAGTGTAAAATGACAGGACGATCTAGACTGTTTATTTTCGTGGTCAAGATTGTTTGTTTCGAAGTTGCATAAAGGGACCAGAGAGAGAGAGAGAGAAATACAAGACATATTTCGATTTTGGGTATTAAAAAAACACTAAAAAAATGGGAGTATTTATGCATTTTGCAACAGTGGTATTTTCAACTTATATGTGAAGAATTTATATGTAGGTTTTTTCTAATATTACATTTTAATTCCTCATGTTTTTAACGATTTTTATTTTGATCTTCGAGATTATTTATATTGTAATTTGGTTTCTAAATACAGAAATAAATTAAAAAAAAGTTAAGATTGGCTCTAATTTAAGCCTCTTCTTTGGCCGATCTTGCATTCATGTTATTAATTTTGATAAAGAGAGTGTGTTTATGATAATTTCTAGTTATAAAATAGTCGAAGAGGTAGATCAAAACTTAAAAAAAAAAAAATAATTTGATTTGATATATATATATATATATATATTCATTGAAATGCTTTTTAATTTTTTTTTAACTTTTTTGAATTTTTTATTATTAAATTTGGTGTAAAAATTATAAAAAATCAATCATTTTTTTTTAGTTTTTCACACATACTGATTATAATGGAATATATATATATATATATCGGATTATATTACTCTTATTGTTTATAATTACTTTTTTTATTTATCATTATGAAAATTATCATTAAATTAATTTTTTATATAATTTTATTTATTAATAAATATGATTTTTTTTCCTACATATATGAATTTTTGAATAAAATTTTAGAGTATAGTTATTTTATCTTTTCTTAATGAACATACATATTAAATTATATTACTCTTAATGTTTAAAATTGATTTTTTAATTTATCGTTTCTTCTAAAAAATCTCATGAAATTAATTTTTAATTTTTTATATAATTTTATTTGTTAATAAATATGATTTATTTTCTCTATGTATAGATTTTTGAATGAAATTTTTGTCGAGAGTGAGAGAGAAGGAGCGTGGCCGAGAGGAAAGTAAGGAATATCGCGGATGGATGTTACTAAACGTTGTGAGTGTGTGGGTGATTAAAGGACCTAAATGTAACAATTAAAAGATTGGGACTTAAGTGGACTAAGTAACAAGGTAAATGGACTAGTATGTAGAGTTGTTCAAACTCAGTGAGACTTAGAAATATAACTTGATTAAGTGTGCACACAGGTGTTAAGCCAAAAATAAAATTTAATTAGTATCCCATGCAAGTGTTAGGCTTGATTAGTCTAGGTTGCTCTAAAAAGTTCCATACTAAAATCCAAAGATAAGCATATTAATTATGTAGAAAAATCTAGAAAATACTCAATACTTAAGTATTTAATATATAAGTATAAAAAAACACTACTTGACGTAGAAAAACATCTAGAAACTACTTAATACTTAAGTACTTAATATCTAAACGCAAGTTGTATTTACTTAATACAAGTGACAAATCTAGCTTTCTTGAACTTTCCTAGAGTCGGCAAAGAGGGCTTATAAATAAGGAGAGTACTAGGTCATTTGGGGGCATGTTAGCTTAAAAAAATAAAAATAAGAGAGGAAAAACGAATTGCCACGAGGAAACAAGTTTTGATCGAGAGTGAGATAGGGAATTTGGCCGAGAGGAAGAGAGGAATATGGTCAAGAAAGAAAGAGATTTGGGCAATCTTGGCCGAGAGGAAAGCAAGGAAGGAAAAGGAAAATCTTTGAGAGCTTTAGGAGAAGCTAAACCCTAAGGTGAGTGTAGTCCAACTCACCACAAGACATAGGTGTCATAGGGATTTTTATGTCTATATTTCGCTATGCAATACTCAATGTAGAGGATGTTAGGCTTGCATTTATTGAACTATGAGTGTAGGTATTACCGGTGGTATTCTCGACCTCCTTTAGGTCGAGAGTGTTATAACTCGCACATGACCTTTACTTTGACAAAAAATGCCCTTTGCGGATCAACATATTAAGTTTCTAATATATCCTTATATAATGGGTTAAGTTTTCAATATATCTCTAATGCTAAAAGGCCCATTATATTATTGTTATTAAATTTCCTAATAATGTGTTGAAGATTTTATGTTAATTAAAATACGTCAAAATAATTAGTATAAGTTATTATGTAGTTTGTTTAAGAAATTATCATTTAACATATTTTTAATACTAAAGAGTCCATTATATTATAGCAATTTACTTATGTATAACAATGAACAAGTCGATATAATATTTACCAATCTATTAAATCATCTTTATAAAAGAAAACATGTGAATCGCATACAAAAAATAAATAATTATGTAATTAAAGAAAACATGTAATTTTTTTAATTACATGCTAATTAAAAATTAATTAAATATAATTATTTGTGTTTTAAATTGCATGTTTAAGAGAATAATTAATAATTAATTAAATATAATTATTTGTTTTTTTATTTCTTGAACAACTTGTACTAATTATTCTTATCTATTTTTAATTAACAAAAAATTCACTATGTTGGAACAAATTATTAGGAAAATTCTTAATAAGAATATAATAGATTTCTTAGTATTAAGAATAGATTGAAAACTCGACCAATTATATATAGACAGATTATAAACTTAACATGTTAAACTACAAGGGGCATTTTCATAAAAAAATTATATGCAAGTCATGTGATATTTTTTGATGGTTTGACTGAAAAAATTGATTAGAAGAACGGATTGAAAACCAACTCAAATAATAAAGACACATTGGGGGCGTTTTAAAATTTAGAAACAAATTAAAAAATTGGTCTATTATATAAGAATAAGTGAGGGTATTAACCCTAAAATTTTAGAATATCATTATCTTATGTTTTTAAAATATACTGATGTAATTTAGATGCTTGATTCTTATGATTTTTAAATGAGAGTGTTAAAAAATTAAAGTATATTTCAAATAATTTATCTCAAACCTTTTTAAAAAATCAATTAATAAAATTCATTTGTTTTATTTGCTTCTTCTTTATATAATTAAAATTTATTAAAATAAAATTTATAGTTTTTTTTATTTCAATCTATTAATTTTAATATATTCCTTGCAATTTATTTATTTTTTAAATATATATTTTTATTTATGTTGCACACTTTGAATCCACTAAGTATGGTCAATAATTATTTTTATTAAAAATTAACTATGCATCTACATTTATAACATCAACCATTTGTTATTAATTTTTTAATATTTTAAAATTATATTTTTAAATAAAATAATTAAAATAAGATTTTGGTAGAACCATCTAACTATTCAAATACAAATTTTTGATACTAATATTATTGATTCTTATATATATATATATATATATATATATATATATATATATATATATATATATCATATATAGATAAAAATATATATATATATATATATATATTATTATACTATTATCAAATGTATGTATTAAAAAAAATTAATTAAATATTCTATTTAGATTATTGTAAGTTTTTATTTAAAAATTATTACATAAAAAATAATAAAATGTGTTTTTTTAACTATAAATTTATGAAAAATACAAAAAAGAATATATTATAAAATTAAAATTTTTAAATATTTTATTCAATATATTTTAATAGAGATGTAATATAATACATGCAACTAAACTAAAATTATTTTTTCGATTGATTTCACATATTATACTTGCCTGAATTGTAACACAAGCGCAGCCAGCTAGTCTTGAGCTAGAATTGGAATGGTTTTCTCCTGGGGCCAATGCTTAAAGGGCCATTGGGTTGTCAGATTCTATACTTGTGGGCTTACATTAAATGGAAAAACATATAATACAATTTTGTAATATTTCTTTCAAAAGAATCAATAGCAGTTAACAATTTGAATCGAACTAGATTTATTGTATTATGCAACTCTCTCTCTCTCTCTCTCTCTTATATATATATATGGAACGCATTATTCAACTATATATTTGATATTTTTCATGAATTATTTTGTATTGATTTCTTATTTATTTATTATAAGAAAGACTCCTAACATTTTTTATAAATTTCTGAGTAAAAATTCGATAAATGAATCAATTAGTCTTTTTAGTTTCAAAAACTGATTATTTAGTCTTTTTATTCGGTGTTGATCATGATTAATTTGATTTTTTTATTAAATATATTATTTTCTCGTCAATCTATTCATATTTTAACCTATTTTTCCTTTTTATTTCTTAAAAAATAACAAAATAATAATAAATAAATAATCAATTAGTTTTTAACTAGGGGAATTAATTAATTCCTTTTTCGAAACGGAAGGGACTAATTTATAATTTACTCATCCTCTTGTTTGTTTTCGTCCATAATCTAAATTCCTTGCCATCAAAATCTTGAATCAATCTCTTATGCAGCATAACAAACCCACCAAAAAAAGGCAGCAAACACAAATAAACAAAATAAAATATCTAGAACGAGTAAAACATCAAGTAATCTGAATAAAAAAAAAAAACACATCAAATCTAATAGTATAGTCACTAAATTTGAGATTATTTAAATTAAAAAGTATGAAGTAGTGCTGCTGTCGATGAGAAATTTCTCACTGACAGCAACTAACCATATAAGGAAAAAAAAAAAAACTCCTAAATTAGAGAAAAGAAAAAAGAAATCGCTAGAGTTACAAAAAAGCATGTGAGCATCAGTTCTTTGTTAAATACTTAAGTTGAAAGGCCAATATGAGAAAATATAAATCCTCGTGCTTAGATTTATAGATTTTTTTATTTATAAAATAATGCATTTAATAACTTAAGCGTTTGTTTATTGAAAAAAATATCAGTACCTTAGTTCATCATAACTCCATCATGACATTAGGTGAAATTAATCTTGATGGAAAAAACAAAAGATATATCCAAAAAAATTAGTTTGAATAAAATGAGTTTTAATTGTTTAAATAAATGTTTTTAAATTTAAATTTTTATTTATGTAAAAAACCCATTAGATAATTATACTCGCATTATATGCCTGACAATAAAGCGAAAAATTAATCTGGATCTCAGGATCTAAAATGCCTTGGAGATCCAAGAAAAAAACCAAAGATACTGGTAAGCACAGCTCACCGTGTGTTCAGAATTTTAGGAGCGACCAAACCTGTATTTGTTCATATTAAAATCAATCTATAATTTTGTCAAATTTAAAGTTAATATCTGATGATTTTGAAATTTAGGAATTAAAAATTAGTGAAAATTTTATTTTCTTTTTTGAAAAACACATATGCTGATTGTGCACTTGTCTTCTTTTTTATTTATTTATAATAATTATATTAAAACATTTACTTAATCGCATTTGCAAGTATGTACATTGTGAGAATTTAAAAATTAGTACATAATTTTTTTTCTTTAAATACTACCAAATATATATTAAATTAATTAAAAAAATATAAAACGTGGAGGGATTTTAGTCCAACATGTTTCTATTTTTTTATATAGAGGTCTTTCTACATATGGTAATTAAGAAATATTATTACCTTTATTTTTCTACCTATGTCTACTTGTAAAAGAAAGGAGTATTTCATTAATTACACGAAAAAGAAATGCCATTTCATAGGATTGCCAAAGATTTTTATAAAATCCTTGAGAATATTCTTTCTATTGTATATTTCTTTTCCCAAGTTTTTTTTTAAGGACACGAGAAATTTTATAATACTCAAGAAATAACTAGTGATATGTACAATAGTTACTTCAAGGATTTACTTTTAAAGAGAGAAATAAACACATAAAAAAGAGAGAATTACACATGGATTCACTAAGAGTGATATGAAGATTTTTACGCTTGTTAAATTTCTCTCTCTCTCTCTCTCTTGTTTTTATAATTATTATACATGTCATTAGTTATTCCTTGAATATTATAAAATTTATCATTAAATAAAAGCAGATTAATGAAAAATTGAGGATTTTCGTGGATTCTTTTTCTTTAAATACTACTAACTACTAAATAATTAATAAAATAGAAAATATATCGGCATTTTCGTCAAACATGCAGACCATATTCCAAATAAATAAATAAATAAAGTCCTTTCCTTACATGGAGTATAAATATTTTAATTTTGACAAGTAGAATCTAGTTAAGGTAAGACAATATATTTGATATTTATCAACAAAGTCATTTTAATGTTATTAAAATTGAAGGTATTTTTTATCCAATTAAATGTTTGGTCATAGAGTACATAGTATTGCATATAGTTATGAATAAATTTGTAGTATGTAGAATATATTATATATACTCTATATGTTCTAAATAAATTTTCCCTTTTGATTTTTTATACAGTTTAAAAAATATATTAATTATTATGACATATTAGTATTTTTTTTTCATACTTTTCGAAAATACCTTTTTTTTTAAAAAAAATTATTAGTTATCAAATTTAATCATACATTACATAGAATCAATATTAAATTAAAGATAAAATATATCCAAAATTAAGGTGCTAAATCTAAGGAAAATTCATTAAGTTAATTAAAAATCAAGTTTAAAAAAATTATAAAAAAAATATTCAACCATAGACCAAATATTTTATATATTTTGTTTTATTATATTTCCTTCTTTGTATCGTTATATGGCTATATAAACTCTTCATTATTCTCATCTTAAATTTCTTGAACAACTAGTACTAATACTATCACTCTGCGATGGCAGGCTTCATCAATTTTCTGTGTGCACTTGTCTTCCTTAGTCTCATTAGCCAAGGTAAATGTCTATGAAATCTGCTTCTGCGGTCTCTTTATTTATCAGTGCTACAAAGATATACATGTTGTAATTTTTATGCTTCAAATAATCAACCTTGCTTCTTTACTCAGTAATGTAAACATGTAAACATGTCCTGCTTTATTTGCTCTAATACGGTAACATGTAGTAAAAAATGCGACCAGTGATCATATTCATGGCAGAGATTTCTGTGCTGCCATGAATATGATCTTGACCTTGATCCCAAATTCATCAATGTTTTAAGAGGTTATGAGAACAATTTTCTTCCAAGAATCGTATGACAATAAACCTAGTCTCATATTTGTGAGTTCTTTTTTCTAGTTTGGTTGAAATCTTTTATTATTGCTTCAGACCTTTAATTATAATGTCATCAATCGGTAATCAATACATTATCTCCGTTCTTCAAGATTTGTTATTTTATAATACCATGTGTCGTTGATCGATAATGTTATAATGGAGGATTTGAAATAAAAAATCTCGAAGTTCTAATGTTCAGTAGAGACCGCATAGTTTCAAATAATGATTATTACGTTATATAATAGTTATTATGTAATGGTTTCGACGTATTTTGTTGTTGTTATTTTATAATTAAAGTAAAATGTGATTTGCGATGACGACCGTGATCGTTTTTTCAATTGTCCTCAATTTAAAACTATAATAGAGGCTTTCAATCAAATAAAAAAAATTATAAAGAATCTCAATTAAAAAAATTTAAAGAGTATAGGTTTTCAAATATAAGGAAAACCCTTCTTAAAATAGAAAGGTTCGAGTGTTCGGACACCTATCGAGGGAGATAGGAAAATACGGATATCATTTGAATTATGAGTTCGTTTATTTATAATCATGTGTTTTCAAAACGTTGTGTGTAATTTTATTCATTGCAGGCCATTGTCAATGCCATCCTGTAACCGATCTCAAAATTTCCCAGTCTCAAACTGGAGTGCAAGTGAAAAACAAGCCGCAATGGAATGTAACCATCTTGAACAATTGTAAATGCACTCAGCTCAATGTCAAACTGGCCTGTGATGGATTTCAAACTGTTGAAGAAATTAACCCTTCCATCTTGGCGAGGGGGAGTGATGGATGTCAAATTAACAATGGGCAGCCAGTGTACAGGTTTAGAACTTTCAGTTTCACCTACTCTTGGGATACTGAATATCCTTTCAAGGCAGTTTCCTCTGATATTGCATGTTCATGAGATCTGGTTTTGAGATTTGTGAGGCCTGTGGTTTTGTAGAAGTAAATGGAATAAGAATTGTGGTGAGTTATTGCTGTCTTTGTTTCTTGAAGTCAAACCTTCTTGTTTTGAAAGATCCTATCTTCAAATTATTTTAACTTACTAGATAATTAAACGATTTTAAATAACATTGTTATCATTTGATTCAAACAAAGTAGATCAATTATTTAGCCACAAATTGATAGCCCATTAAACGTTTACTTGTAGATTAGGTTCATAGTTCAATTCTTATGATCGAGGTAGCTCATTAAGCGTTGACTTGTAAATCGGGTTCATAGTTCAATTCTTATGATCAATATTTTAAAAAATTAATTTTAAAATATTTAAAATCGTACATTGGAAAGCGTTCCTTAATTATTCCAAAGAGATTGATTTTGAGGTACGTGAAAATTGGCACGAGTACATCCTTGTTACTAAAAAAAATCAATCATTTTAGTTTTATATCAAACCACCATCACTCTCTCCAATGCCTAAAAAAAAAAAAAATTAACGTTAGTTGTGTTTTGTGCACTTGAAAGGCTAGCTTATACAAAGGGGTGTCAAAAAAAGAAACATCGAAATATATTGTGATAATTATTAAAATTTTAGATTTTTGAAGCTCATGGATCAAATTGATCCTGTTAAAAGTACTACAAAATTAAATTATATAGTCATTTTATTGCCTACTAAAATAATTAAATTGATTTAGCTTTTTTTCCTCCCATTTTCAAGCATTTTTTTTTAACCTTCTATAGGAAACACAAAGTCAACCACTTTCCTTTAAAAAATCAGTGTTTAAAAATTCCTTCCATGGAACTTTCATTTTTACCTACTCTTGGGGGTACTGAATACCCTTTCATGCCCACTTTACCCTGAAATTGCATGTTCGTGAGAGAGCTTGGAGGCCTGAGGCTGTGTAGATTTAATTAGGCTTGCTTTATAGTGCAATGAGAATTATTGTGAGGCATTGCCATGTTCTTGGTAATAGTTCAAGGAACGCTATTTCAACAGTTTATTTTTCCTGTCACCGTAATTACATGTTTTTGATTCTTGAAGCATACTAGCATGTAAGATCCCTTCTTGTTTTGCTAGAGACCTCATCATCAATCATTTGAAGTTGATGATCTCATATGCTTGAATGAAAGCAGATCTATTAAAATGTTCCAAATAAGTAGATGGTAAAGACATCGCAATGCAGAATAATTGAAGAGTGCCACTGGATTCATTGAACAATGATTTCCTTAAATTATATGATCAATGCTGCCAAGCTTAGCGGCGCACCAGCACCGCCACAAGGTTTCAAGCTTTGGTAGCAACAGTGGCAACGGCAGCACCACTGCCCCATGAATCCACCGACAATTGTACCTTGCAGGATCCTAAAATTATACTCTTGAACATAGGTGAACACAGCAGAGGGAAATATGCAACTTTGAATTCTACAGAATTCTTAAAATTAGAAATACCAAGATGTGTCCACACAATTACCACAATCGTTTCTACCATAATGCAGATAAAGACACCCTGAATCCTCCCAGCCTACACTCCTTAATAACCCAAACTCCCACCATAAAAAGTAAAAACAAAAGAAGAAAAAAGGTGAAGGTGATTTTAGCCTCATTTCCTCCTCTTAGCTGGTGGCTGGGGAATATCGTCCTCATCTTCCTCCTCCTCCTCCTCGTCCTCGTCTTCTTCCTCATCATCGTCGTCCTCATCGTCTTCATCTTCCTCATCATCATCTTCCTCGTCATCGTCGTCGCTGCCACCATCACCATTGGCTTCAGGCTCATCTTCTGGATCCTCACCATCCTTGCCATCTTTGCCAGGCTCCTCCTCCTCATCACCTTCGTCATCATCATCATCCTGATCATCTTTGCCATCCTCATTGTCGTCATCTTCCTCATCCTCGGTATCACTGCCATCTTGATTATCAGGATCAGGTTTCTTCTTTGTGTGAAGCTCAGCCAAGGGAAACCTGCAGGACAAAATTAGTTATTAGCTTGTCCAAAACTTCAGTACATAGACACCATCCAGGACAAATAAATCAGATCACTTACCCTTGACTTGGTCCTAACTCTTCTGGGAAGACACTGGATCCGTTAGGCAGGCAACCTATCTGATAAAGAAGAAGACAAATTTTTGCCAAATTAAGAGATCATTTGGAAGAAGCAAATTGTTCTCCAACAAGCATCATGAAAAGAAAAGGAAAGAAAAAAAAAAAGCAATGTTCTTTAATCAGCCAACCCATGACTGAGAAACAGGTTGAATTCATTTCAACGATATTGATAAGTATGAAAGTGCACAGCATTCTCAAAATCTCTGTGTGAATCACTCCAGCCATCAATCTCCATTTACTCTAAACAAGCTTCTGCCCTGATATTGTTTATCATTCATTTAATTTGACACTTGTATTCTATTCCTATATATATTATGCTGCCAGTTTAACAAAATTGTGGTGTAGTTTTCTGAGGAAAAAAAAAAATCCATGTCAAAACTTATGTAAAGGAAAGTTCAGGCCTAGATAGAACAACACTAGGGAACCAAGAGAAGAAAAAAGTGATCCTTGGATTATAAAGGTTACAACATTTGTATTATGATTTCCTACCAGACCTAGCAAATCTTTCGCCTACCAACATGATCAGAAGAGAAACTATCATAGCAGACTGCAAATAAAAAAATTTTTGCAGACCACAGTATGTCTTCCTATTACCATGTCGTGGCTTTGCCTCTCTTATTTCTAACCCTTACACTAAAAATAAAAATCACTTTTAGTTTAAGTTCCTACCTACCTCGCATAACTAGTTTGTAACAGACATATAACAAACCAAAAACTAGCTTAATATCAAACTTATATCAACAAACAAAGCAGCATAATACTGTCGTACCGAAAGCCTGCATTGTTACCATGTTCTCGTTTGGTAACATAAAAAAAAAAAAGGGTAAGGCAGCCGATACCAAATGAGGAAAAACAACAAACAAGCCAGATACACAGACGAAGAGCAAAAGAGGCATCAATTAGACAAGTACAAAGAAGAAAAAGTCAGTCCAAACCCTAGGAAAAAAAATAGCACTTTTAAAGAGCAGCACAGCACAAACCCCACATACAAAAAAAAGCTCCTTTAAACACAATAATCAAAACCCGCGCATAAGTACCCCAATTTTACTTAAAAAAAAAAAAAACAAACAAACAAGAAGAAGAAGGAAAAAACACACACACACACACACTCTACAAAGTAACAAAATTCTAACTTTCTTCATTAATAATTAAAAAAAAAATGAAAAAAACACAGTACAAAACAGATCCACATATTTAAAGTACAGTCTTCGCTCAAAATTAACATACAAAAAGTCAAAGCATCACCAAAAACATGTGAAAAACCATAAAAACTTCAAACTTTTGACAAATTTCAGCTGTAATAAACAAATTATGAAAAGTAACAGAGGCATTGTACCATGAAAAGTGACAAAGCAAGTGCCTTCGAAGCAGAAATGGCTGCTTCAAGTACTACAGCTTCCATTAATGAAGAGAGAAAGCCCTTCAAAACGACAGTGTCTGAGCAAAGACCCTCCATTTTCTGCAGAAAAAAAAAACACAAAAATATAGAGAGAAAAAGAAACACAATTGAGAGAATTTGTGTTATTTTGCGTGGAAGCTAGAGGGATTTAAATAAAAGAGAATTAGGGTTTTGAATTGGGGTTTAAGCTAGGGTTTTAAAAGATTTATTGTAGCTGTGAACAATATCTGGAAAGTTTGTCAAAGGTGGATTATCTGACCGTCTGGTGATGTAGTAAAAAGGCTAAAAAACAATAATAGTCCCTTTACTTTGACGACTCGATCAAATTAACTCTTATATGAATAATTATTTCAAATCAACTCTTGCACTTTCTATTATAGGTTGCATTAACCCCTCCTTCCAGATCTATTGTTAGTTTGACTGAAAACTTTAAGTTGACCACATAGATGTCTCTTATGGTATTTAAAAGTTAATTGTTGAAATAAAAAGAATAATAATTAAACGTTTTAAACAAAATTATTTTTTAATTAAGCTGGAGTTTGTTTAGTCAAATTCAATAAAAAGAAAAAAATTATGTGTTAATATTTATTGTTCTAGAAATAAAAAAATAAAAAAATTTGATTAAATTTAAAAAAGAGTTGAATTGAAAAAAAAAAAAAAGAAGAAACAAATATAGAAATGAATAAGAAAAGAACATCATGAATCTTACATAAAACTTCCATATCAAATTTGATTTGCACAACTACAGTTGCATATCATGAAAAAAATTAAAATACTCTAAAAATTTTATAGACACCACCGCCATCCCTATTAATATTTTTACTTTTACATCAATTGTTTTGATACAAACAAAAAAATCAAAAATCAATTATTGTCATTTTATTTCAAACCACCATCAATTTCTTAATACTCTTTACAACTTAACAAGTTTTTTTTATTATTGAAATAAAATATTTCATATCGGAGCAAGAAATGTGACATTTTATTCAAAGCTATTTTTAGCGTAAGAAAAAAATAAAATTTAATTTGATTTTAATTCATTAACGTACTACTTATATGTTTTTTATTTATATTGAATCTAATCCATTCACATGGCATCATCTAGACTCTCTATTTGGGTCAACGAATAGGTTCGGTCAACTATCTATTTCATCATAGCCACAGTTCGGTGGACGGTCCATAGTACCCAAAATTGGAAGCATAAGGGTGGATCTGACTAAATTATTCGTACAGATGTTAATTTGATCAAATCCACAAAATAAAGGAACTTCCTGTGTTTTTGTAGCATGTAGTAAAAACGAAGGACAATCAGAATCGTTGGTTTGACTTTTGTATGGTGCTGGATCTAGGGCTTTTGAGTGTAAAACATCAGGACTTTTTTATTTTCTAGAGACTGCAATTTGCATGGTCAAGATTGTTTTGAAGTTTGAAAGATAAGGAGACGTTGTCTTTTATAGAAATTTGACTTTGGGCTTTAAGAGCTAGATTTAGATGGCCTTTCATGTGGGCCAATGATAAACAGATATTGGGCTTCCAGTTTTATACTTGTGGGCTTACACTTAACGATAAATAGTGGGCTTAACCATAAAACATCCTCCGTAGATCAGGGAAAATTACTTGGCGGACACGCTAATCATGCCTACTTAATTATCTGATATCTTACAACAGTATGATTGTTTTTTTTTACTAAAAAGGAGGTATAATTTTGAGTTATAATAGAAAGTTAATAGTTAAAAAAGTGTGTTTTCTTTTTTAATCTCTTAAGTTGAAAAATGAAAAAAATGATTAATAAAAAAGATAATTAAGTGGGATTTTGATTAATAAACAATGGTTCAAGTTATTCCTTCTCTTTGCTTTCCGGTTTAGGAACTTTGATTAATAAAAAAGATTTAAAGAGTAAAGCAAGGACTTGGATTAGTAAATCATTTCTGAAAGTGATTTGTTGATGAAGTAAATAACAAACGTTTAGCAATTCTTGTTGTGTCTATGCCGGTTCCATTGCTCATCTAATCTCAACCAGAAAATAGTCCAATTAAACCTAAGTTAATTACCAAAGAGCTTGTAACTCAATGGTTGTGGTCTCTTGCAAGAGATTATAGATTCAAATCCTAACAAACAAATTTTATTAGAAGCCTTGAGTATGCATGTTGAGTATGTGATTTTTTTTTTTTTTGAAAAAAAAAAAAACCTAAGCCAGTTAACATAGACCATAGATTACTATAAAAGGCTTGCCAAGTTTTGAAAGAACTGCTATCACTCATTCATTCTATAAGAAACAGATGCATTAAAGAAAGCTTACTATAAAAAGGCTTATCAAGTTTCCTACATATTACATATTAAGTTGCTTCTTAAACTGGTTTAAATGAACAAACAAAGATGTTGATTTGTTCACTCCATGTTCTGGGGTTGGTCTAAAGCGACAACTGGAGGTGCGGGAGCGGAAGGCATGCTACTTGATGCGCCGTTTTCAGCAGGTGGGGGACGCCCCATTTGCCCTCTGATTCAAGAGGCTCGAAAAGTTGAACACTGCCATCTGTTAAGCCTATGGCAAACTGATTAGGTTCTTGAGGATGTGCAGCAATTGCTAGTGGATATACAGTAGAACTGCAGAAAATGAATGAGAGTTATATTAGATCACACAAATAGGACGTGCTAGAAGCAAATCTGCTCATATCTAAATGCCACAAGCTGCAGCGTTGATATAAATGGTTGTAAATTGTTGAACACAAAGTCCAGGAAGTTGTAACATGAGTATGGAAAAATCCCAATTAATTACTATAGGCATCATGCTAAACAAGAAGCAGTGGAAGCATAATTTATTGTAAAAGGAGATGATAAAATGAGATCAACAGAAATACGATTCATGTTGATTATGCAAGTTGTTGAAAAGACCTAGAGACGATTTGTCTATTTTTCACAAACACTTTGGCAAAGAAACAAAAATAGTTGTACCTGACATCTGACGGAAGATAGGCATTGGGATTGATCTGGCATCTCGCTTGAAGATTTGATGCACCAAATACGCGCAGAGTTCCATCCAAGAAGCTGGCATAAACTAACTGGCTATCACAAGAGAATGTTGCATGGGAGATTGGTGCAGAAAATTCTCCAATGGTCCACTGGAAATTTACCATGAAAGGTAAAAAAAATTTAAAAGAAAAATAGAGAATGAAGAAGGGAGAAGGGAACTGCTGAATGATGACTGTTCCGTTTAAATACTAACTGCCATCACAATCATTTTGCCTATCAACAACAGTATATTCCTTATGAGTCCATAAAAAAATTGAGATTATAGCAAATTCTCCAGTTCCACATGTGGTGGCACATCAAAGCACCCTAAATAAACAGACTCGTTTCTTTTCTTTTTTTTTGAGAACAAGTACACTGGCATTTAAGCTGCTAGGACGTCAGCTAAAAGAGAATGAACTGGGCGAAGTCAATAGGAATTCACATTTGGAGTGCTTTAACATAACACAGTTGAGATCAAAATACCTGTTTTAAGCATTCAAGTTTTGTTGTTTCATATATGGCAAGCTGAGTGTCATGTACAACAAGCAAATGGATTTGATCTTGGTGAAACTGAACTTGGGTGTCTGACATAGCTGCAGGTGCCCTACCAGCTGGAATCTGCAAGACACAATTTTTCTTCCTTTCCCACCTATCACTGCTCCACACAATAACCTGGGAAATGGTGAACGCATTCGTCAAGATTCATATTGTATATATCGCATTACAGGACCCTATTATATTTTCTCAAATAGGATGCTGTCACCCTGTCCTGCAACTGGGGAAGGATATTACAGATATTAAGGAAGTAACATGCCAGGAAAAAATTAGGAGAGCGCACAGACTTGTTAGGGTAGAGATGGTATAAGAAATGAAATACCAATCTGAGAATCTACGCCTGAAGAAACAAGTGTATTGAGCACATTAGAGAAGGCAAGACCAGTGATTCTCTGGGAGTGACCCTTGAGCTTGCTTTTGATCTACAACGAGAAAGACAGTAACCAAATCCTAGTTTCTTTTTTCAATTGGAATTCACAGGGACCATCAACTGACATCTCATTGTACCTCATCCACGCGATAATTATATATGTGTACTGTGGAATCATCCATTCCCACTGCAACAATATTGTTATCTTGACGGGGGAAAGCAAGATACGTTGCTGCAGGTGGCGGAGACATGAATGCTGTCATGGCCTGCAGTTGCCAAAAAACTTGTAAATAGCAGCCCAAATAAGGTAGCTTTTTGAAACTGCAGCAGAAAACAATTCACAGCCATTTTCCATATGTAAACAAATAATTAAAAAGAAAGTAGAAAGAAAAGTTACTATCATGTTTCAAAAATTACCTTGAATGTCATGGTGTTGAACATGGAAATTTTCCCTCCAGATGCTGACATGATGTAGGAATCATTCTTGTACAAAGCAAAACATGGCACAGCCTCTTCTGATCTAGCATCAACTAGATCATTGGTCATTAATATGCCAGATGCTGGTTGCACCAATTGAGGGGTAGCCTTGGTTGTTGCCTGGACAGCGAAACAAAAATGTTGCTAAGGTAATGAATTCAAATTTTAAAAGAGATGAACAACTTTATAAGGTAATGGGAACCAACTTCCACCCAGTAAAACATTAAGAAGAAATACGGGAACCTCATACCTTCCCACTCGGATTAAGGTCATTTCGAGGCCACTTCCAAAGTAGATGGAGGGCATTTAGTGCAAGTGCCAAGATGGCAGTGCCTGAATTTGTGTAGACCAACCTCGCAATCTGCAGTTTGATAAGAGGAAAACACAATAAGAACCTTTTTTCCCTGGAACTTAATGGCAATGAAGTATTACATAGATTTTTCCAGAAAAAGCTTAAAACTATGGAAATTCAAAACTTCCTGCTAGACAGGCACACACGTATAACACAATTGTACATGTTATCCTGTGCTCCGTTGCTAAATGACTGCAAAACGGGAAGTTATCAAAAGATGGATTGCGGGTACAAAACTTTAGATTGAGTAGAGATATATTAATAAAGATGGTATCTGATATGTCTTTAAGTGCACTGTTCTGGTTCGATACAGCCTGCTGAATTTTAAAAGGTTTCTCATTTCCAAATTGAAGCCTTAGAATTTCTCCTGTGCTCAAGGCCAAGCTACTCGTAAACTAAAATTCGGGCAACAGAATACAAGCCAAGTGGCCCAGTCATACCTTATCTGTTCTAACAAGAGCTGTGAGCCTCAACGAATGAAGCTTGGAAGGATCATTAATCTCGTTTTGCTTCCATATCTGTGGTGGGTGTACTTCTTCAGGCACCCGTGTTTTTGCACCTTCTGAGTTTCTAGCAATTACACCCGCAATATTTAGTTTGTGAGTCTGGCCAAGAAATGGAAGTGAAAGACAAAATACTGACCTTTATCGGTGCCCCAGACGCTATTACATGTCTGGAGGCAATCAGAGAATGGCCTTCGAATGTGCCCATCAAACCGAGACCACCAAAAGTTGCCAAGATTTTGATTCTATTATCATTTGCAGAAACAGCCAATAGGTTGCCCCATTTACCGAATCGAATACGTGGACTTGTCTTCAGACCAAAGAAACAAGAATACAAAACCAAGTTAAGCCCGTAGGATGCTTGCAGTTGACTTTAGTTTAAGAATGAGTAGGCCTCCCTCCTCGTCAATGTTTGTCAGAAGAGAAGGATTATTTATAGCTCAGAAATTATCGAGTAGTCATCATCGACAGCCAAGAACCTTTTCTTGGCAGTATCGAATTGAACTACGCCCAAAGAACGCTTGTGAAATCCTCGGTAAGACATCCCAGAAAGGCTAAAAAAACATTAGAAGTCCCTTTCCTTTGAGGATTCGATCAAATTAAATCCTCTACAAATAATTTTATCAAATATTAACTACCAATACTTAATAAAGAATTAAATACAAGGAAAAGATAGAAATATGAGAGAAAATTAAAAAATAATTAAGCTAACGTGGAAACATTTTTTATCACTTCTGGTTGTTTTGAATGTGATTTTATCTCTTCTCTTTGTATTTCTTTCTTTTTTATGGAGTAAAAAAATTGATAATTACTCCTTCACTATAACTTCCAATGTGTACTTTTATTTATTTATTTATTTATTTTTCTTTTGTTATTTTTATTTCCCTCTTTGCGCTAATTATTTTTAAATTTGGATTGTAAGAAATTTGATAATTTATTTTCTTTCATTTTTAGGGTAAAAAATATTTAATTTGATTTTAATTCATTCTCATGCTATCTTCTATATTTCTTACTTGTATTGAATCTAATCCATAAACATGGCATCATACAGACTCTCTATCTGGATCAACTATCCATTTCATCATAAACTGAGTTTGATGGATGGCCTCGAAATCGGAAGAATGAGGGTCGGGTTGACTAAAATTATTTGTACAAGGGTTAAATTGATCAAATCCACAGAATAAAGGAACTTCCTGTGTTTTTGCAGCCTGTAGTAAAAACCAAGGACAATCAGAACCATTGGTCTGTACACTGTATGGTGCTGGATCTAGGGATCAGGACAATTTTATTTTTCTAGAGACTTTGCAATTTGTTTTGAATTTTAAAAGAAAAGGAGAAAACAAAAGTTGTCTTTTATAGATTTCGACAGTATAATTATTATTTTTTTCGTTGAAAAGAGTTGTATAATTTTGAGTTATAATAGAAAATTAATTTAACCTCAAAGGAATATCCATGCCATTAAAAGAATTTATTAAAATTTTATTAATGTTTTGAGGAAAAAAAAAAAAACAATCTTTATTTACGTATAAACTGGTTCGAGAATAATTCTTCTTACAGAAAATAAAGCAAACAAAAAGTTAATTTTGGTAAAACGTTTAATAACCACATCACAGAGACTTGGTTTCAAAAAAAAAAAAAAACTCTTTGATTTCCTGTTTAGGAACTATGATTAATGAAAAAGATTTAAAGAGTAAAGCAAGGACTTCGAGATTCTTATTAAATTTCGTTACCAATTGATGTGGCAACGTTCATTAGGAAATGTTTCCAAAATCACAGTAAATGCTTATATAAATGTGATATTACCATTATTTAATTTATCCTTAGCAGTCCTCGGTAAAAAATATTGCTCCAAGTAAAATTTTGACTCAATCACTAAAATTCTGAGAGTGATTTGTTGATTAAATAAACAACAAAATTTTAGCAATTCTTCTAGTCAATAATTGTAGAATAAATGAAAAAAAAAAAAAAACTTCCAATAACAGTGGAAGTAAATTATTTTGTAGTTTTTACAGTTCGAGTTCCACCACATATCATCATTTGATCTTTTCTTTTAATCCAGCTTATAATGATTTTCCTTCTTCATACCATGCCTATTAAGCCTTACTCAGGTTAAAAAAATGTTTCCACATAGAAGACCTGGTAAATCACACACTAATTAATTAAGATACTAGCTTGTGTGGGAAAGGATTTGGCGATCAAAATTTCTTTCCATAGCTTTGTGATTTCAACAAGCGTAAAACTCTTTCCTTCCAAATGTTGAAAACATAAAAGTACTTGTTATGCTAATGCCGGTTCCATTGCTCATCTAAACCCGACCGGAAAGTAGTCGAGTTAAACCTAAGCCTGTTAACATAGACCATAGATTACTATAAAAGGCTTGACAAGTTTTGAAAGAACTGCTATCACTCATTCATTCTATAAGAAACAGATGCATTAAAGAAAGCTTACTATAAAAAGGCTTATCAAGTTTCCTACATATTACATATTAAGTTGCTTCTCAAACTGATTTAAATGAACAAACAAAGATGTTGATTTGTTCACTCCATGTTCTGGGGTTGGTCTAAAGCGACAACTGGAGGTGCGGGAGCGGAAGGCATGCTACTTGATGCTCCGTTTTCAGCAGGTGGGGGGACGCCCCATTTGCCCTCTGATTCAAGAGGCTCGAAAACTTGAACACTGCCATCCGTTAAGCCTATGGCAAACTGATTAGGTTCTTGGGGATGTGCAGCAATTGCTAGTGGATATACAGAAGAACTGCAGAAAATGAATGAGAGTTATATTAGATCACACGAATAGGACGTGCTAGAAGCAAATCTGCTCATATCTAAATTCCACAAGCTGCAGCGTTGATATAAATGGTTGTAAATTGTTGAAAACAAAGTCCAGGAAGTTGTAACATGAGTATGGAAAAATCCCAATTAATTACTATAAGCATCATGCTAAACAAGAAGCAGTGGAAGCATAATTTATTGTAAAAGGAGATGATAAAATGAGATTTCATGTTGATTATGCAAGTTGTTGAAAAGACCTAGAGACGATTTGTCTATTTTTCACAAACACTTTGGCAAAGAAACAAAAATAGTTGTACCTGGCATCTGACGGAAGATAGGCATTGGGATTGATCTGGCATCTCGCTTGAAGATTTGATGCACCAAATATGCGCAGAGTTCCATCCAAGAAGCTGGCATAAACTAACTGGCTATCACAAGAGAACGTTGCATGGGAGACTGGTGCTGAAAATTCTTCAATGGTCCACTGGAAATTTACCATGAAAGGTCAAAAAACTTGAAAAGAAACATCGAGAATGAAGAAGGGAGAAAGGAACTGCAGAACCATGACTGCTCCCTTTAAACACTAACTGCCATCACAATCATGTTGCCTATCAACCGCAGTATATTCCTTTTAAGTCCCTTAAAAAAATTAAAATTATAGCAAAATCGCCGGTTCCCCATGTGGTGGAACATCAAAGCACCCTAAATAAACAGATTCTTTTTTTTTTTTTTTTGAGAACAAGTACACTGGTATTTAGCTGCTAGGACTTTAGCTAAAAGAGAACGAATTGGGTGAAGTCATAGGAATTCACATTTGGAGTGCTTTAACAGAACACAGTTGAGATCAAAATACCTGATTTAAGCGTTCAAGTTTTGTTGTTTCATATATGGCAAGCTGAGTGTCATGTACAACAAGCAAATGGATTTGATCTTGGTGAAACTGAACTTGGGTGTCTGACATAGCTGCAGGTGTCCTTCCAGCAGGAATCTGCAAGACACAATTTTTCTTCCTTTCCCACCTATCAGTGCTCCAAACAATAACCTGGGGAATGGTCAATGTACTCGTTAAGATACATAATGTAGATAGAACATTACAGGAGATGAAACCCTACTATATTTTCTCAAATAGGTTGTTGTCACCCTGTCCTGTGACTGGGGAAGGATGAAATCTATCCCTTTCCAGCGAGCAAAAGCCCAGCACCAACAGATAATACAGATATTAAGGAAGTTAACATGCCAGGAAAAAATTAAGAGAGTGCATAGAACTGTTAGTGTAGACATGGTATAAGAAAAGAAATACCAACCTGAGAATCTGCGCCTGAGGAAACAAGTGTATTCAGCACATTAGAGAAGGCAAGACCAGTGATTCTCTTAGAGTGACCCTTAAGCTTGCTTTTGACCTGCAACAAGAAAGAAAATGATCAAATCCTAGTTTCTTTTTCCAATTGGAATTCACATGGACTATCAACTGACATCTTATTGTACCTCATCCACGCGAACGTTATATATGTGAATTGTGGAATCATCCATTCCCACTGCAACAATATTGTTATCTTGAGGATGGAATGCAAGATACGTTGCTGCAGGTGGTGGAGGCATGAATGCTGTCATAGTCTACAGTTGCCAATAAAACTTGTAAATAGCAGCTCAAATGAGGTAGCTTTTTGAAACAGCACCAGAAAAAAAATTCAAAGCCATTTTTCCAAATGTAAACAAATAATTAAAAAGAAAGTATAAAGAGAAATTATTATCTTGTTTCAAAAATTACCTTGAATGTCATGGTGTTGAACAAGGAAATTTTCCCTCCAGATGCTGACATGATGTAGGAATCATTCTTGGACAAAGCAAAACATGACACGGCCTCTTCTGATCTACCATCAACTAGATCATTGATCATTAATATGCCAGATGCTGGTTGCACCAATTGAGGGGTAGCCTTGGTTGTTGCCTGGACCATGAAACAAAAATGTTGCTAAGATAATGAATTCAAATTTTCAAGAAACGGACAAATTTATAAGGTAATGGGAACCAACTTCCACAGCTGACAGTAAGACATTCAGAAGAAATATGGGAACCTCATACCTTCCCACTCGAATTATACTCGTTTCGAGGCCACCTCCAAAGTAGATGAATGGCATTTAATGCAAGTGCCAAGATGGCATTGCCTGAATTTGTGTAGACCAACCTTGCAATCTGCAATTTGGTAGAGGAAAACCCAATAAGAACCATTTTTCCCTGGAACTTAATGGCAATGAAGTGTTGCATAGATTTTTTAGAAAAAGCTTAGAACTATGGAAATTCAAAACTTCCTGCTAGACAGACACACACGTATAACACAATTGTACATGTTATCCTGTGCTCCATTGCTAAATGACTGCAACAAGGGGAAGTTATCAAAAGATAAATTGCAGGTACAAAATGTTAGATTATGTAGAGATATGTTAACGAAGATGGTATCTGATATATCTTTTAAGTGGACTGCCAGTTTGATAAGCCTACTGAATTTTAAAAGGTTTCTCATATCCAAATCGAAGCCTTAGAATTTCTCCTGTGCTCAAGGCCAAGCTGCACGTAAACTAAATTTTGGCCAACAGAGTACAAGCCAAGTGGCCCATTCATACCTTATCGGTTTTAACACGAGCTGTGAGCCTCAACGAATGAAGCTTGGAAGGATCATTAATCTCAGTTTGCTTCCATATCTTTGGTGGGTGTACTTCTTCAGGCACCCTTAGTTTTGCACCTTCTGAGTTTCTAGTGTCACCATTCTAGCAATTACACCCGCAATATTTAGTTTGTGAGTCTGGTCAAGAAATGGAAGTGAAAGACAAAATTACTGACCTTTAGCGGTGCCTCAGATGCAATTCCAAGTCTCGAGGCAGCCGGAGAATGGCCTTCGAATGTGCGCATCAAACAGAGACCATCAACTGTTGCCAAGATTTTGATTCTATTATCATTTGCAGAAACAGCCAATAGGTTGCCCCCTCTATTGAATCGAATACGTGGACTTGTCTTCGGACCAAAGAAATAAGAATACAAAACCAAGTTAAGCCCATAGTTTGCTTGCACAAAGACACGTAGTTGACTGTGGTTTAAGAATGGGAAAACTTACTGGCAGGCCTCCCTCTGCATCAATGGTTGTCAAAATAGAAGGACTATCCATATCCCAGAATTTGATCGAGTAGTCATCACCGACAGCCAAGAACCTATTCTTGGTAGTATCAAATTGAACAACACCCAAAGAACGCTTGTGAAATCCTTGGTAAGTTCTCTTTATAGTCCCTTCATTTTCATTCCATTCCACCATGTGTGCCTCCCCATCTTGACTGGTCCCACATGAAAATAGCCTAAATGTGTTGTGAAGAGATTGAATTTTCAGTTTGTCCTTAAAATATAATTTTTAAGTGGTATTGCAGTTCTAACAACCTACCTTTTCCCATCAGCACTATATGCCATTGTGGAGCATGATCGACCAGGAGCATCATAATCAACCCTAGATCCCATCACGCCATACAACCATGCCTTAATTTTTCCATCCACTGACGTTGAAAAGACAAACTGAGGCGTAAAAGATTGAAACAATTAGTGAACTGTGTGTGAAAAGCCAGGGGTAGCAAAACTATGGCATATATCAGCAGAAAACGAGTATCCAATTGGAATTCTTACATGAACAGTTTCCCTAGAATGGGGACAGACAGAATGAACAGGAGCTTCATGACCTTCGAACGTATACAATTTGGTACCAGTGGCCACTTCCCACACCTAAAATTTTAAAAACTTAGTATCTACAGTAAGAGCTCTGAGAAACAGTGTCATTAACAATCTCACAACAAGCTAACCTTGATGGTCTTGTCGTCACCACAAGTGATAACAGATAGTTGCTTGTTGGGGGTGCAAAATGCTAGATCATTTACACTTCCAACATGAGCATCAATCTGGCAAATAAGACATAAATTATTTTCTTTGGAAATAATATAACAAACTTGTAAATAAGGTAGACACAAAAGTAACTTACCTCGATATGCTGCCGAATATCAAGTCCACTATAATAAGTGTATAACTGCACCATATGCTTAGAATATGCAACCCCTGTTTAGTTGAAGAGTAACAGACTTTAATCATGAAAACTCAAGTCATAAGAAACTGTTTGATCGTACATTTTCAAATCTTACCAAATAAAGAACCATCAGGACTCCACAATACACGTTTAACTGAGACAGATGGGTCTTTGATTATAGATGCCTGAATTTGACCAAGATCAATATAGAATTAAGACATCTGATGACAGAACTACAATCGTGCCATATGATATATTTGTTAGAAAGGAGCATACCTTCAATACCATTGAACTTGCTCCAATATCCCATACCTGAAAACTTTTCGAGGCCAACTTCTCCCTCGAACTAACTTCCCACAAACTAATGTCCCCAATACCAGTTCCAACTGAAAACTCACCACATAGATATAAGTAATGTGCAGCTATTGGGAAAAAAAAATAAAAGTTACCATAAACTATAGAAGCAAGAAACCTGAACTAACCCAGAAGTAGAGTCTGTTGGATAGGGTGGAAGTCCATGCTTGTAGCAGCTGAGCCTTGATTTAATGTCCGTGCCACAGTCCTGGGCAGCTCTTCGGTTATGTTAAAGGCCAAGCCATGATGATTTTGACCAGAATTATTTCCTGTCAACATTGCCTGCAGGAAAAATATCACACAAAGTTTGTAGCTTTGACATGAAACCAGCTATTAAAACTGTGTTCATGTAGTTAGAGTTCAAACAACTTACCCTGTCCAAAGGCCCAGAAACTCTTGGTCTTGACAAATCAGAATCCCCGGGACCTTTTGGCATTGCAACTATACCTGACACTTAACGATGTTAAAAGGCTAATAATCTTACAACCATTCCACCAAAAAAAAAAACACCAAGTATGTACATGAATGGATTGAACTGAATGCATTAATATTCACTCTGAATTCTACAAAGAATCTGTTCCATGCACATTATAACCTGGATTTGGGCTGATGAAATTCAATCCACCTCCAGGAACTACTGGATGAGTTACAGTTGTGGGATTGGACATCCAAGTTGTTAAAGGTGTTTGAACTGGTATTGGTACTGGTACTGGCGCTGGCGCAGGTGCAGGTGCAGGTGCAGGTTGGAATGACTGATAGAAAGAAGATAATCAAGCAATGTAAGAAAATTCTGGTCAAAGACAGCAAGACATGATCGAAAACAAAAGGAATCTAGTCATGTACCCCATTTGCAACTATTGGAAGAAAGCCTTCAGACTTTGGTGCAGCAGCTATGAGGTGATTGCTTGGTCCTAGTTGGGGATACGGATGATTAGCATTTCTACAACTGTGATCGACAAAGAGGGTTCTTATATCAGGATTTTGCCCTGGATTTCCACAAAGGGAATGCTGCCAATTCAAGCTGTCATATTCCATACCAAAGATCAGTTTATTCTCTACGGCTGACGAGGGTTGCTAGAAATTACAAGGAATAAGATTGCAGCAGCCATATTCATTTGAACAGAAGAACAAGAACAAAGCAAATGACATCTTAAAAGCCACATTTCAATTGAAAACAATAGGGGCATAGCAACCATTAAAGACAGAATAAAATCTCTCTATTTTCGTTCTATTAAAATCCATCTGACCTTTGGTTGATAAGCATTCGTAATCTTGAATTTTTTATGTTAGGATACTGCAATTTGTCACGGAAAAGGGGATTTGACTCGATAAGCTTCTTGAGCTCAATCAGCATAATTGTTCTTGCTGACTTTGTATCTCTATAATTGGAAAGCTGATCATTTTCCCTGCAAAGTGGTCCAAATTACATCTCAGTCACCAACTAAAATTGAAAAATCTTAATGCATCTTGTTCAAGCATACATACCTAAAATTATCCAATGTGAGCAGCTGAGTAATTTCTTTAAACAAGTCTTCATTAAAAGAGGCAAAAACTTTCAGATCCTTCATCAGGATATCCACAGCCTTGGTTCGATCAAGCCTATCAATTAAGAATATTTAAAAGCAGCAAACACAATAAAAATGTGAACCGTGAGACTGACTCGATAACAAACTGCCTGAAGCATATCACCAAAACTAAACACATAAAAGATTAACAATCTTACTTGTCCAATGCCTCAAGGTACTTCTGCTTGCGAATTTCAAAAAATATCTTCATTGAATATCGGTTATCATCCACTTTGGTAAACCCAGAGAGATATTTCTCAACCTCGTCCCAGTTGCCACCCAACACAAGCTCCTCAAAGAACTTTGCGTTGAAGAACAACCCGGATTCTTGCTCGAGCCTAATCAAAAAATGAAACAAATCCATTGTTTTTTTTAAAAAAAAAAAAAACTCAATAAAAACTAGGTAGTGGTAGAAATTTTTACTTGTGAACAGTTTCTTTGAACTTTTCTTCATCAAGGAACTGCAAAATTAAAAAGATAAGGTCTCTACTGAGCGACGACGTCATTACAGCAGCCAGTTCTTATCTACAACCACCAAAAACCAACCAATATCAACAAAAACAATATAGATTACATAATCAAATTGGATTATACATATAAAATTATAAAAAGAAAGAAGAAACAAACAGAGAAGCAAGCAAATGGGTTCATTTTAAGCCCAGAAAAAAATTCTCAACATTTGCTCTTTTTTAAAAAAATAAAAAATAAATAAACCAAACAAATAGAGTTTAATTGAGAAACAAAGGACTTACATGGAAGGCAAAATTAAGCGAAAAACCAAAAGAATTTGATGTTACCAAGCACAAAAACCTCAAAAACATCAAAGAACAACACAGAATTGCATGTCTTTAAGGCAAAACCAACTCTGAAAGTTGGAGAAAATTAGGGTTTTAACAGATTAGAAACAGTAAAGTAACTTTAACCCAATAAAATTAAAGATGCTCTAAAGTAGACTAAAGAGTGTGAACCAAAAAAGATGAAACAAAAGGGAACCATTTATCATACTATTAAAGGTAAAAACACAGCATAAACTCACCTTTAAAACAGAGTTAAAAACACGGGACTGAAGAAAACAGAGCACTTTTAGCTCTCTAGACCAAACTCCTCCTCTCTCTACCTCTCTCGCCCTCTCTCTCTCTCTCTCTCTCTCTCTCTATCTCTATCTCTGAGCTCTATTTCCTAGAAGATGCTGCCTCTGAGAGTTTTGAGGTGACTAAAGCAAAGTGAAATATATATAATAAAGGCGGTATCCGCGAGGTATAAGTTCCACTGCTTATCATAGCATGCAAATGATAGGCACACCAAGTTATATAAGCTACATAAGTGGGCACCACTCGAAAAACCTCAGCCGACAAATGTCCTCACTTTGTCAAAAGAAGACAGTGACGGTTGAGGTGTGCGTGTATCTGTCCTTACCTACATTTTTAGGCAAGTGATTGCAGTCTCTGTGTAAAAAATCTTTTTTTTTTTTTTTAATCGTTTGCCGAATTTAGAGACTGTTTATCATTGTTAATCACTTAATTGTGCTTAATAATGATAATGATTTCAAAATTTAGCAGGCATTGTGAGAGGTGAGGAATTTTTTTATATCAATATTTATACTTTTCAATTTTTTTTATTTTTTTTTCATGCGCGTTTAATTTTTTAATATTTAAGATATATTTGATAAAAAATATATATTTAATTATGATATGGTAATAAATTTTAATGAAGGTGTATTAGTAATTTAAAAAGAAAGCGAGTGATGGAATAACAAATTTGACGGTAAATTTAGCATTGGCCATTAGAATTTCTTTAAGTTTGTTTTCATATCATCTGCAAAATTTAGAGACTTGTAAATAAAAAAAAATATTTTCCTAACATTTATCAAAATTAGTGATATCCAATTGAAGTTTCACCTACCAACGTTTACTATAAATTGCTAAATAAGATGGAAATTCTTTGAAACCAAATCTACACTGATTAAAATGCATGCATGCTCGTTTGGGTCAGGGAAAAAAAAAAAAAAAAACTACTTGTCTTGTCAAGTTGGGGACCATTTGAGGTGAGTCAAAATTTATTAAAAATATCTAGATTTTTTTAGCATATTCAAATTTACATTTCAAAATATTCAAATTGGCAAAATTTTCAAACGCTGATAAAAGAGGATTGATTTAAATGGAAGAAACTCTAGTTATTTAAGAAGGTGGCTCAAGTTAAAGTCCTTCTGTATACAAAAAACTCTTTATATAGTTGTGTCTATTTTGCATCCGAAAAAACATCAACATATTAATCTAATTTTTGGGACTTGAAATACCTTGGTGATTCAAAAAAAAAAAGTTTCGATAATCTTCTTGTCCAAACTGAATTTTTTTTTTTTATTGGAGTTTTGTTAAACTCAGTAACTTCATGGTCAAACATGGAGTAAATTATAAATTAGTCCCTTTTTTGATAAACAAATTAATTAGTCCTCTCGGATTCAAAATCTAATTATTTAATTATTTTAATTACGGTTGATCACAATTAATTTAATATTTTTATTTTATAATATGTATCCTCTTCTCATCGATTTTTCATATTTTTTACTTTTTTTATTTCTTAAAATAAAAATCAAAATGAATTTAAAAAATAACAAAAAAAAACTAAATGATTGAGTTTTGGAATCAGAATAATTAACTAATTCATTTTTCGAAACGAAATGAACTAATTTATAATTTACTTGTCAAACGAGTATGGCTTTTTCTTGGCTAACAGGTAAACCTCGTATCATGTTATAGAAAGGTCGCTAATAGATTTTTTAATTTGACATGAATAAATATTTTTGAATTGTTAGTGAAAGATCCACATTTTAATTGTTTTTAACTACAATTTATCCTGATTCAGTTCTTATGCATTGAAGACTAAATTAAGTTTTAAAGAAATCCTTCACACTAAGGATGGTACTGCATTCAAGAAAAAATATTTTTTTTATAAAGTTTTTTAGAAATAGAACATTAAATGATAATTTAAATAGTAAACTAATTCACCAATTATATTAAATCTTAAACACACATAGATGAACTTAAACGTTGTTTGAGGCAAAGATTGGGACTGCACAAATCCACCAAACCCACCACCGATTTTTTGTTGACGAAAAAATTTAGTATGGCTAGAGGCGAGCATTCTATTTAGTTTCTAATATTTTAATTTGGTTCACTAAACAAACGAATTTGAATCAAACTTCTATTCGGTTTTTTTATTTATAAAACCAAAATTTTGGTTTTTAGATTCATTATTTTGGTGAAAATTGATTTTTAAAAGAAAAATAATATAAATATTTTTGAAAAAAATTGTGTTACCGACTATGAAAGTCCTTCTCTAATTCAAATGATCTAAATTAGCTTAGATAAAAGATAACGAATACTTGTTTAAATAAATTACTAACATTACAATCCATAATAGAAATTCAATCCGTTTAGCAGAGAAAAAAAAAAAAAAACATAATTGATAGTACTAAATAAAAAAATGATATTAATTATTAAGATCTTCCAACCATGATAGACATATAAGTTAATGATCCATTAACTATCAAGTCTTGGCATTTTCTATCAAAATGCTTAAATTTGAAAAAAAAAAAAAAAGCATATATCAAGCCAATAAAAATTTAAAATTTACTTATGTTATTCAAAACACCATCAATCCATCATACCTCCATAGTAATGTTAACGTTGTTCTTTTGGTTTATTTACATTATTTAAAAATAAAATTGGCAAAAAATTATATTTTTTGTTTAAACGAAATCAAAAATTTCAAAAACCAAACAAAAATAAATTCAATTTATTTTTAGTTCAAAATCCATATTTCAGTTTGTTTTTTTTTTTTTTTGGTTTAAATCAAATATTGTTTACCTCTAAATATAGATACAAATGGATTCCACACTTAAAATGGTAAAAGTCGAGATATTCTTTTTTTTTTCTTTCTTTCTTTTCACAATTTTAAAAATTCAGCATTTTAAAAACTCACATTTTATTCTCATCACTACCTTTTATTCCACACACACACAGATATACTTAATTACAGAAAAAAGAAAACTAAAATTATTGATTACTATTCATAGTATTATTTGAAACATTATTCATTCGAGTTCATTCACACTACTCATCCAGGCTCGGATGTAATATTTATTTTACTATACAATGACATTTTTATAATTTTTAAATATTTTAAAGATATTTTTTATGAAAATTTTCGTGACATTATACTTTGGTTCCTGTTTTTTAAATATTATTTTTTTAATCCACAAATATTTTTATTTGATTTTGGTCTCACTTTTTTTGTTTCATTTTGGTCACTCTAGTCTTTGTTTTTTTTCTGATTTTTTAATTAAAAATTTTAAGTCAAAAGGATGTTAAGAGAAAAAAATTATAAAATAAGATTTTAGCTAAAAATATAGATAGAGATAAATAAATAATTTTTTAGTAAAAAATTATGAAAATATAAAGAATAATTAGCCAAATACAAAATTTTGATTAAAAATGATAAAATTAAATAAAATTTTATTCAGTTTTAATTTGATATATTTTGATAGACGTATAATATGATATAAGATATCATAATAATATGATTTTTTTTAAAAAAAAATATATATATATATATATATATATATATATATATTCTTCTATATGCCGCGTAGCAAGTAAAAAAACTAGCCAATAACTAAATAAAAAAGTTGGGGATTACAGTAACATCCATGTGCGGCGTGTAGTCTCGCACTCCAAGGTGCAGTAGAGTGGGAGAGTTGTAAAGTTAACACTTTGGTCAGTGCATGAATGACTCTACTGTATCTGACGTAACGACAAATTAAAAGCCGTTCTGTGGTCCGAATTGTCCTTTGATGGCTGATGTAACCACTCATTTTCTTTTGTCCGTACGTTAAAATGGTTGCTTCGTTTACAGTCCGAGGTGCAGCACTTTCCTGCCTCCTGTTTTCTCACTACGTGGCAGCTTGCCACAGTGACAGGCGGTTCACTTTGTCTTATTTACGAATCCAGATATTTTTTTTTTCCAAAAGAAAACATAAAATTTTCAAGTCGATCCTTCATCCTTGTGGCATTCTCAAAATTTTGAAAAAAAAGTAACTGATAAAGGTTAGTGCCTACTCAAATATATATATATATATATATATATATATATATATATATATATATATATATATATATATATATATATATATATATATCCTTTTTATTGAAAAAGGACAGTGGTATGTTTTAAAAATTTAATAGACAGTACGTGGCTCATCCGTCATAAAAAAGCTAAAGTTGCTTTAGGTGCCACCCACATTTAAAAAAAAAAAAGAAAAAAATCCAATAAGAAATCAACTAGGTCTTAGATGCACATTATTTGACAAAGCTCTTTCATTCCTAAATTATTTAAAAAGTTAGGAGGCTTGACTCTTGGCCTAAAAATAATTATTACCCTCGTGTGGTATAACTTTTCACAATTAAGAATTACAAATGAATTCGGATCTTACTGTGAAAAAATAAAT